TCAATTCTTAGAGTAGATCAAAAATAATGATGAGTTTGATAGATTTCGAGCGAAATGTACTATCTATAAAACCTTGATAAATATAACTAGACATTTACTTTAATCAAATAGGAGCTGAAGTAGAATATTTGAGGAAATTGTTAGAAAATAAAAAAAATCCGTTGTGAGGAAGTAACAGCAATATAATTTGTATTACTGGATGAGTTTTAGATGATATACTTTCAATGTTTGCAATAATATTCATCATTCACACTCATATTCCTTAAAGAGTGAAATCGTTTGTGGGCTTGAAATTTTTCAGTCATAGGAAACGAAACTGAGAACTGTGTAAATCAAACTAAAGTAGAATGAAATATTCAACTTTATTCAAGTTAACCTTACTTAGCTAATGCTTATAGTTGCAACAAAAAAATATTCAATATAATATAACCTATATCATAAAAAACATATTGATTAATAATGAATAATTAAAGGAACTGACTACCTTAAAGACAATTAGGGTTATATATCATATATGCACTTATTACAAAGTCGATTTCATCAAATTTATTCTTTTGAAGTGACTGATGTTTCACTCTAAGAAATTTTTTTTCTCTCAAATACACTAATTCTCATGTACGACTCATGGAACAGGATGAAATGTATACTATACAGTTTTATCGGCACTCATCATTAAAATCCTTAAGAAAAATGGACCAAGCGACTTCAATTTCATTCATTAGTATGTGAATTCAAGAGAGAAAAAAGGTTGTTTTTGGTGCTGTGTTGACAATATGTCTCACAGAATTTTTTATTACAAAACACGTAAAGAGAACTTATCCAGACAAATAATTTTCAGTCAAAACAAAAATAACATTATCCAAGTGTTTTCAGTATTATACTTCACTTTTTAGTATGTTTGACTAGTTATCGGCTAGTGGTGAAAACTGGAATTTACATTTCGTCCTATTTGGAGCTCGTTAGCTGCATACACTAGCATTCCAATGCTGATGTTTATATCAACACTCGTACACACTACCTTTCTCTTCGGCTAACGATCGCTTCAATCAAGCAGCTACTGAGTGTAGATAGTCACAGTCAAATGCAATGGGCTATAATTAATCAGTTCTTTTAGCGGATCGTTTCAATATTGACATCTAGTCACACTGACACATGTTGAGTGAGTCAGTAATCTCTTACATCTTGACTGTGATAAACTGTAATGTCAACAGTGTTCAAATAAACAATATTTATCACACTTCGTTCCTTTTGTTTGATGTTTGTTGTAAGATTATGTAATTTCTTGTTTCTTCACCTAAAAAACTTTCATTTTTCATTGATTATCAAAAACAAAACTTTTGTTCAATTCACCATTCAGTTAATAGCAGATATGATGACTTAAAAATCACTTTTTACTGAGAATTTTAATCATCTGAGAATTTGATCTGTTCTCAAATGAAGTCATATTATTCTGTTTGTTAGTTATTGTTCTACATTATAAGCAATTTTTCATTACGAACTTTAATGATCACTTCAATTTGTCTGTTTGTTTTTTTGTTTGTTTGTTGCAAATTCATTAATGAGTCACCAAATAACAAATTTTATGGTCTTCATAATTAAAATATGATCAGAGAAAGTAAAAACTCATATGACAGAGATTCGATTTGTTTATTCAAGATTTAATTATCTTCTTTATTTAGTTATTTTCATTTGAACAAACAAATTTCTATAAATTGATGTATGTTGGAATAAAACATTTTAATATTATCTGATAGACTTATTTCCTGTAGTCTCAGTAAACCTAATTTTTATGATCAATTTATATTGAGGTTTCAGTTCATTTAAACACTGTAAATATTAAGTCTATGAACTTATTAAAACATAAAGTTAGTATTAGCTAACTATTACTATCGATTCGTTAATTTAACTTATTTTGTTTAAATTATATTATTTTATCAGAAATCTGTTGTTATTCAAATAAATCTAGCAAATATGGATAGTGACAAAGTTCATTTTAAAACTTCAAAAGTCAAGTAAATAACATCTGTTGTATAATCTTTTTGAAATCATTATTTCCATCTTTAAGCATTTCCTTACAAATAGCTATCAGCTTTTTGACTAGAATAATAGTTTCTTGAACTTATATCTACTATTTTAATAAATTATATGATTCTTTAAATGTTTATTAAAAAATAGTTTAATACGATTTAAGATTTGACAAAGATGATAAATACACTATTAAAAAGAAAAACTAAAATGGTTGGTCATAAAATCTGTTCTGCCAATTTACAGATAAAAACATTTACTTCAATATTTTCACATGAATACGAATTCAGATTTTGTGCTTCCAGAAGATAATAAGCCATATGAGAATAATTTTTTATATATTTATTTCCTTCTTAATCTTAAATTTATTTCCAATCTAAAACATGTTCAAATTTTAAATGTATTGCTAATGTACAAATTTGCAACGCATCATTAAGTGATAATCTTGCTAGTTGTGGTTAATTCATTAAACTATTTCATTTTTATAATGATGTATATTGCAAATCCAAGCTAATTTTTCAGTTGAATCAAGCGATAATGTCAATTTTATAGTGCAATTTTCTCTTCAAAACGAGTTGACCAGAAGGTATAATAAAGTGTTTTGAAAAAGAAACGACCTTAATTTCAAACGTGTTGATAGGTTATCATATTACAGTTACAATTATTTCAATAAAACTTCAAGCGTCTTTTCCTCCATATCCTTGAATATCGTTAGCTAAATTTCAAGTAATTTATAAGAACTAAAACCTTTTCTATTATTAGATGATTTTCAACTATAAAATGCCAATTTATGGCCAACTTAAAATTTCGCATATTAGATATGTCAAGAAGTTAACTTCCAGTTTCGATAACTTATTACAATTTGAATAATCACTAAAGATATAAGGATAGTAGAGAAGCATGATATGTGAATTATACATAGTATGTAAGTGAATACTAATACTGTTAAGTAATCTTTTGTCTTAAAGTGAAATTGTGAGCCGGTTTTATATGCACATTTGGTGCTTTTTTCAAATGTATGACTCGCCCTAGTGACTTTCTTCCAAACGTACGGTTATTATGTATTGTATGGGCCACATTTTCATTATAACTTTGCTGATACAGTGCACTAGATTATAATGTCTGCAGATATTAACCTATATTTGTGTAGCATTTGAGTTGAATAATTAAGTGTTTGTTCGCTTATAGACTATACTTTGAGCTATATTTAAACTTTATTGTCCATTATAATGGATAGTATTAATATACTCGAAAGTCGTGGACTACTACTATAATATTTTTCTTGTTTTATACGTAAAATTTGAGTCACTATTAGCAATCAGCTGCATGGACTGAAGCAGTTACAGTATACAAATGAACTCTTTGGACGGCAGCATAAAGATTAGTTGTTAAACGATTTTCGTTTGCGACTTGGAAGACTTTTTCAGCAGGGACCTCAATTTAAAAGTAATTTTCTTAAAATCGAAGAAGATTCCTCATGGAGACTAGGTAATTGCATTACGTTGTTGTGAAGACTGTTAAGTTACACACCTAAAATCACTTATCTGCTACCTCTAATACAGCAAAACTCAATGCTAAACCGCCCATGCTTTTTATCGAAATATTTTTGAGCGTACTCGATTGTACAACTCCTGTTTAATCCATAAAGTGAGGTGAATTATGTTGGATCTACAGGAAAATTGAAATAATATTATTGAGCTCGATTGGGCTACACAAGTGTGTGGTATGATGGATACTCAAAATTCGCAAAAATATTTTACATTTCTAATATATAAGATGACTTAAATGAAATTTGTTGACCAAGTGAAATTCTCACATTTATTGTATTAGTAAAATAGCTTTAAGAGCAAAACAGACCAAGGCAGCTCTAACGAGGGGTAAACTCTGCTATCTCCTTTGTCTTATTTCTATGCCAACCCTTAAAAATCAGCAATGAAAGAAATACAATAAAAATTAGGATGCAGTTAAGTGAAATTGATAGTAAATGTTTTTTAGTGAGCCCATCATACAATTACATATTACTCTTTATTTTCTTTAAGAAGAATGTTTAGAATGACTTATAGTGAAGTTATTTTGCTGTGTAAACTATTTTCGTTGTAAATGATGAAGTTATGCAGTCCAGAAACCTTCTGATCAGCTACATTGTGAAACTTGTGCATAAAATTTAAAAAATTTTGAATATTGCAGCAGGTAAGTTTGAATGACATAGCAAAAAGTTTTGTAACAACGACTTTCAAAACAGTTCTTCTGCCATCAAAAGTGGCACGTTAATTTGCACAGTCATATCTACCCGTATTCCTATATACTGACATCATGAGCCTGATATAAAGTGGCATATACCAGCTGAATCATTTACACAGTTAGTCATTCGTGTGATTTTGCCGGTATCTATCTAAAGTGATATATTTTCTGTGCCATTTTTGTACTAGTTTTCATCCACTTTTGAGAACGATTAGAGACACCGATTGAGTCATCAATAGAGTTTTGAGTGCATGAGCAAATTGGTATCCTTATGTGGGGCAGTAACGATGTAAATTTCGTAATTCGAAAATGTGGAAAATGTAAGACGAAAAATTGTTCTAATTATAATTAACATTACATACAAATCCACTGATGAATAAAAAACACTCTTTTTTCTCAGATGTCACTGAGAGTGCCTTTTGAAATAAAAATATGTGCTGGTTATGTAGGACATAGTTGCATATGGTAGGACCAGTCATTGTTTTACAACCATTTCGCTGGAGCTTCGAAACGAACTTTTTCAGATATAAAATAAGTTGTCTTATGAAAATAACAGTGCAGTTATAAAAGTGACACACTCTTAAATAACATGATATGTTTAAAAAGCCTGGAATATCATAGTGTACTAATATGTAACTGAAGTAATTCTTAACAATACACTATATTTACGCCGTGTAATAATTTATTATTAAATATTCAAAAAATATTGATCCTTGCAAAACAAAAAGACATACTTTCTCATAGCGTAAAATTTCTTTCCTTTCATGTAAGGTAAGGTTGTCACGATACAAATTTACAGCCTCCAGAGGAGAAATTCCGTCAGGATGTTCACCAATGGGATAAACACCTCTTAAAAAGGGTCTATCCAGACGTTCCAAGTTTGAAGAAGTCTTTCTTTCAAGTTGTATAGGCATGTTTTATTAGTAAATGAGAATTTCATTCAACTACTGGAAAACTCCGAAACACTTCATAATATTGCGCTCTAGAATAAATGACCTTCAGAAATTATGAGCTAGCATAGAGAAGATAAACAAACTCGGTAATGAGTTCAAGCAGCTTCTTATTAGGTTAAATGAAAATTCTCTTGAAACTAAAGGCCTTAGTTTGTGGAATGACCTACCAGTAGATCCAATATCTTTATCTTCAGCTAGTATAAATCATTTAGTCACTTTTCATACGCTTCTTGTTGTTTTGGTGAAGTTTCAGGCACTCGGTTATTTTCAGTGGGTAGTAACCTAGCCAGCCAAGTACAGTACTTCTAGTCAATTCGGTATTTATATGTAAATTTTCCTTTCGCGTAATTTTACTGCACTATATTGCATTATAGAAAATAGCAAAAAGAAATTCCAGTGCTTATGAGAAGACGAATGTTTCAAGAATTAAATAAATAAGCGTTCTAAGCAACTAAATTAGCGGATAATTTGAAGAGACGGATAAGTGATAATAAGAGAGAAAAAATGGACTATATGAACGGCAAGTTTGGAGACATGCATTAGTTGCAATTGTTTCAAGTTACATATGGTGATTCATGTATATCTCCTCTTGAAGCTTCTCACTAAAGAGGTAATCATCGATTCTGCTGACTAAACACTCGTGTTAAGAATAATTCCAACTAAAAAGACAAAAAGCATATCCTGATGTTTGCTCTCTAATTTTAGATCACTTGAAGTTGTCTTGAGTGAACAAGTAGTGGTGCCGCGGAAGAAGAAGGAAAATTTGATAGATTAATTTGTTGTGCGCCTCTTTAACACAACTCGTTATTCTCTTACAAATCAGCCAGAAGTATCCACGTGTTGAAGTATGTCTTGAATGATTGATTCTCTCACTCAGCCATCTTACCTGTCTGTGTCCTCGTCAACGTGATAGACAATGTACTACCAAGCTCTCAAGTAAAAGGTCTTTTCCATTTTCAAAATGTGCTGAAATAACGCAGACAACTGGTCTGGATGCGAGCTTGTTTAAATATTCCTATATGGCAATAATGACGACGATAACAGTTTCACAGAACCCAAAAGAATTCCAAAAGCCAAGGATCCTTGATTAGCTGTTACACCCATCAGTATTTCCTGGAAACTCTTTGAATAAGAGGTATGTGGTTGCAAAAATTCAACTAACTACTTTCACGAGGCTAACTCTTCCTATGGTACAAATAAGCTTGTATTGATCATGAAAGCTTTTGATTCTCTACTAGTATCGTTGATTTTTTGTACACTGAAGGCAACACTGGCGATTTCACAGGAAGGAATTCGGGTCAGATTTGATTCATTTGTTGAGTTTTCGTTTGTTTATGTCGCACAAAAATGTTCGCTAAACAGCTCTGCGATACGTTTAGGGTCCTCATACACTTTGTTATCCTCAATAAATATGCTCCTTCATTTCACTTTAGAGCATTTAAGTTTAATGCGAAGGAGTTTAATAAGTGCAGAAGATTCATTATTCATCTGAACAATAAGCTGTTCATGTGCCATTCACATTGCAGTACGTATCATCTCTGCCTCGACACACATTTCGGTTACTAATAAGGAGAAGTCACTACAGTTATGAAGTCTCGAATGATGTCTTCGAAGATGTTTTCGTATAGGACCTGGCATTAGAAATTCTGGGTCTCAAGGATCCTAAGGTTGCGTGTATCACCAGGCACAAAAGAGCCGACTAGTTTGATAGTTCACGACTTACCCAAACTGGAACAAGATATAGAAATAATAACAAGATACAATGATTAAACCTCAAATGGGATCAAATAAAGTACCAAAATATCCAACAGAAGCGTCAATCATATCATAACACAAATATATATAAATATATATATATATATATATATATATATATATATATGGAGGGATTTTCCCAAAAACAAAACCTTCCAAATAGATTCTACAACGTGTACGATGTGCAATAATTAAGTCACCATTTTTATGGCTGTCGAACTCAGGAATCCGAAGGACCTAATCAGAGCTCTTCAGTCGAGTTATAGGTCGAAGGCCGACCTCTCTAGCCACTTAGGGTGTTGCGAATGCCGACCCAGATCAGTGAGACAACATCAGGTAGGCCAAAAGAAAAGCACGAAAGTGACAGTTGACCTAGATCAACAACTTCCGGCACAAGACACAAAAATGGTAGTCTAGCCGACTGAATGCACTGTACAGTCTAGCTAACTCGGTTCAAACAACTTCGTTGAAAATTGTACAATGGTTGTTGCTTCGCAAGGTAAGAGGACTAAGGGGACTAAGGGAATATGTACTCTCGGATGGACCTGAAGATCAGAATGCTAACTGAAACATGACTATCCCCTGATATCGTAGACGATGAAGTGAGTTTAAATTCTTCCGAAGCGATAGGGTACACCAAACAGCAGGCGATGTGGCTATATATATAAACAGACACCTAAAAGCCGAGTCGCTATACGACACCCAACTAAGATAGGTGACAGAATAATGTTGCTGTTGTTTCCAAAAAAGTAGCACGAAGTACTTGACTGGAAGGATTTGCTGGCCTCTCTCAGGCAGTAAAACTCAGAACGATTAAGTGACTGAGGCAATACTGTAAATTTCACTCCTTGGGTTTGCTTAAATACTCTTAAATGGAGATTTCAACACCCCGTCTCTAAACCTCAGCAATCAGGGTACAACTCCCACTGGTTGGTTCCACAGAAGACTTGAGGCAGCCATTAGAAGCTCTGGACCTACTGAGTATGTATGCAGTGCCACTAGATGTACTAAGGAGGGAAAGACCTCAAACCCGGATTATTTATTAACAAATGATCGGCCCCTGGTCGGGGATGTTCACATCCATGCACCAGTAGCAAGTAGTGACCATGGCATAGTATTGTTTAACATGGTCATAAACTAAACAATTAGGCAGGAAGAAAACGAGCCCAACCTTTTCTGAACTAGAGCGGATTACGCTCGCATGAGACAGAACCTTCAACATGCTCCATGGCCACGGGAGTGGTGGAGGCTGACAGTAGATGATCACTGACAAACAGTGAGAGACATCCTCCAGAATGCAGTCGTATACAATGTACCTCAGTCACACCACACATCGAGAAACAGAAGAAAATGGGTTAGGCGCGGCACTGAATGCTTGCTACAGGCAAAGTGAAGAGCCTGTCACAAGTGGAAGGTCTCCTTGGAGGATTCCGATCGTAGTTCTTACTTGACATTGAGAAACAGGTGCAATACCAAAAGTATGAAGTGATAGGAGATGCTTTCAGATGAAGCTGGCTGCCAAATACTCGCAAATTCTAAGCATATGTTTAGGTTCATAACAAAAGGAAAAACTAAGAATCAGGGTTTGTGATCTATCAAAGGTCCGAATGGAGAAGACCTCACCAACCTAGAGATCTCTGACATCTTCAACGCAAAATTCACCGATCAGTTAACCCAGGCACCCACATGTTCAGAGCACTACGCAAACCCAATGCCAGCTGATGGCTTAGGGAATATCCGTATAACTCGGCACTAAAGAAACTCTAATCCTCACGCCCAGGAAAGACACCAGGTTGTGAAATTATTCGACCCATAGTCTTGGAACAGTGAGCAGAAGCCATACTTCACCAACAAGTGACATGTGCAGGCATTCACTGGAGTCACGGTGCAGACAATATTTCTAGACTTTGAAAAAGCCTTGGACACAGTACCCCACGCAAGTCTAGTAGCAAAGGTTGTGAAAATGGATTTCACTAACTCAATCCTATCACGACTCAGAAACTATCTTGAGAATAGAAAGCGTTGTTTCAAAGTAAATACATGGCACGCTAGTTGGCGAGTCTCAACATCAGGGGTTTCACAGGGGACTACTTGAGGTCCACTTTTTTTCCTGATATTTATTAGCGACCTGTTAGACTCAGTTAGCTCGGCCCCACTGATCTATGCAGGCGATGCAAAGATGTGGAGGATCATTAGAAGCGTATATGATTCGGCTGAGCTTCAAAAGGACCCTACATCCATTCAGGAATAGGCAATAAAAATAGCTTAAAATTAAACTGACCGAAATGTTACCTCATGTACAGTCTGCCTCACATGACGCAATCGATTTGCACTCTCATTTAAAGTCAGCTACCAAATGTCTCTTCAGAGCACGATCTCGGTTTAACAACCACTAGAAGCCTCAACGCCAGCTGGAACTATAAAGAGGACATAGCCAAGGAAAATTCAACTCTTCACTTTCTGTGAAGACAGCTTGGTGCTATCACCCGACAACTATTCTTAACATTGTTGAAGACATATGCACAACCACAGCTTGAGGTTCACAACATCGTCGCACCCGCTATCCTTAACAGAGACATAAATCTCTTGGATGGAGTGCGGAGTCTATAGGAAATTCAGTTCTGTGAACCTTGATTTCGGAAACAGTTAGAATTCAGAAACGCGCCTTGCCAAGTCCAGTTTCAAAACACAAGTTTTCTGGGTAGGAACGGTTCTATTATTAATCAAAAAAGGAATATAGACAATTGCCTAGACAATATTATACTGTCCCGGTCCGAAATAAACACAATGAGTTTCCAATTCTGGAAGAATGCATCCTTCCAGTCAAGAATACGAAGTTACCGCAAAGGTATCAAATTCGAAATGGCTGTAGCCATATTAAGTATTAATTTAAACAACACATTAACAGTTTAGAAGGAAACATATGAACTCCAATACAAGTACAAAAAATAGGAATTATAACAAAATACTAATATTAACATCCCAAGTTGGGACTAAACGGAGTACGAAAATATTGAACAGAAAGAGCCAGCAAGGTCATAACACAAATATGAACATGGAGGGATTTTCCCGAAAACGAAGCCTCCCAAATGGATTCTACAGAGACGAGCAACCAAATAGGTGATAGGTTTGAAAATAAAACTTATGAAGATAGACTTCAGAAATAGGAATTATTCCCCCTAAATTACAGGAGAACCATGGGTGTTCTGATTATGGCGTACAACATACTTAGCCTGTCAAATCATCCCAACGTGGGCATATTACCTATGCTTCACTACCAGGTCCCTCGAGTCAATCCTCAAAAAATTGCACATCAAAAAGCGTTTACTCAGGTCCATGCACACTTTTACTCATTAAGAGCTGCTGCAACTTGTAATGCTCTCCCAGCCGAGGTCACCGCAGCGCGCTAAGTGTACAGTTTTAAGAGGAGACTAAACAAACACATACTCACAGATGGATTATCATCTCTCTCTTGGACAAGCTGTGCATGAGGCATGCCTTGAAACTTTATTGTCGTTACTATTGCCTTCTCCTCAGATCACCAATTTAACCTATCCCTCTTATCATCTCTGTTTTTTCTCCCATGCTTACACTCCGGTCCCCTGGAACAATCCTCACTAGCATTTATTAAACTAAATGATCCATTTATTTTTTTAGCTCTGAAATCTAATTAGAATTAGAATTTCCCCCCTAACTATTCGCTTTATTGCAACACAATGATCTCCGGCCTGGTATCCAGAAACCCTACTGCCAACTGACTAGAATCAGGCAGTCGAGTGTCTGGACCCCTATCCTTTGTACACTTTCAAACACCTGGAAACTTTACCGAAAGAACAAGAATCAAGCGCTAAGAAATCAATAGGTTTATATTAGCTCTTGAAAAGAAATTGGATATTGGATAAAGTTGAAAAATATTCAAACATGATCGCTACCAACTCCTAATCTCGTATGGACACTTTTGATTTTCCTGATTGTTTTCAATTTATTTAATCGTTGGATTTACGTGCACTCTATCTACCTACTTAGTTGTTGGGTTACTTTTCGTCTAAATATTTTCACTGTTACTATCACTGCCTCAATACACAAATTACCTGCAGGTTAGATGCGAATTTTTATCAATGGTTGATCATTTCAACATACTTTTGACGTGTGCTTTAACATATTAGGTCTGTTTTTTCTGATGGTTTTAAATCAGTTGTTTTGTACTAGCTCTTGTTAAAGATGTTGGGGCGTTTGCACCTAAACAAAATAACTTGAACAAATTATAACGTTGAATAGCAGATCATATTGTAAAGTAATCATTGTTTTACCATTTAAAGACAAATGATGGGGGGGGGGGCGGATCTTTCTATATCGCTTAACAGCATTTATGCGTTGTGGTGAGTGTCAGTTTTTTCATGCTGACTATTAATCCCTCACACTTCTAACTCCCAATTCCTCAATAATTTAGAACATGCTCTTGAAACTGATCAATTTTTAAGTTCTTTCGAAGTCAATTAGGCATGGTTTAACAATTGTCCATAAGTTATAGTCTCATATGCAGTAAGTCACATGCACTTTAGTACATAATCTACTTCAGAAGTCGTAGTTTATAATATGGTTTAAGCATTATCTTTAGTTTGCTTTATTGATCGCTTAATGAAATAATTATTACCAATGTTTATCTAGTTAATAATAATAGAAGTCACACATTGCCGCTTTTTGAGTTTTGCCCGCGAGATGATAATAATCGATGGTTAGAGACCCTGAATTGCATGGCTAAAAACCTATGCAATGGCGCGGGTGTATTCGTTCTTTGTGTTCTCTCAAGTCCTAAACATTTTATTTCCTCATCACTTTATCTCTATCTTTTTAAGTTTATTTCACAACATTCTACTTCTTGAATAATATCTCCTAACTCTAATCTCTCCGATTACTGCTAATACCTTTATTACTTCTACTACAATGGTATTTGAACTGACAATTACATCTCTATGCTAATGTGATTTGGCATCCCGGACTGATGTACGTACGTATCTCTTCGTTGTTACCAACTGATTGACTGTTGTCTCTAGATTTCCTATCGTGCTTTTTATCTCACCACATACTTTTTCTTGTCGTTAATTCCTAATCTTTTCTAATACAACTGTCATTGTTACTACAGATACTACTTCGGGATTTGCATTGACGATTACATCAGTCTGTGTTGATAGGGTGTACGCTTCTCATGTCCTACATCGCTTGTAACTGCCAGAATGTCAATTTGCCATCCACTGTAGTTTTTTTGCGTAAACTCTTGTTGATATTTGGTAACTATGTGGCACAAAATTGAACATATGAGATCGTAATCGTTGGATAGGTTCCATTCAAAGACATTCAAGACGTTTCGAATGATGTTTTTATTTTGGTTACCATCGATGGTAATTAAGGAAACTGGTTTACGAATCTAAATATATTTCATAATATTTATGTTTTTGCGCTTTTTATTCAAACCAACTAAATAACAGAAGTAGAAATTCCATGTCAAACAAGCTGTCATTACGAATTTTGTTCAATGTAATTTTAAGTGGTGAAAACTGTTGATGAATTGAATATGGCACTAGTGAACACATCAAATATCAAGAATTTATACTCACTATTTGTTTACTTTTCATTTATATCTTTTCAGAGGTTCTAAAAACAGCTCATCAGTTTATTAAGACCGTCCAAATTCCAAATATTGCTCCTTGAAACCCCACAATTGTTTCTAACCTGTCTTGCTCTAAAAAGAGTTGTGCACATTCACATCATGGCTCTAAATAAATATATGCATCAACGAAATATCTACAAACAGAAAAGGCCCAATTTCAAAGAATTGGCTGCAAAGTTTGATTTTTTCGATGCAGTAGCCGTAAAAGATGAATGTGGTCGGGTTACGCTTGATTTTAGAATACCATCTCACTTGTCGGCCTTGTCTAAAGCGCTGTTATTGAATGACTTCGGTCTAAACGTAGACTTTCCAGGCGACCGTTTGATACCAACAGTTCCTCTGCGTTTGAACTATATTTTATGGTTGGAGGACCTAATAAAGGGTAAGACATTGATTGTTAACTTTTTGGATATTAGGTCTTCAAAGATTCTCCGAACGTGTAAAGATTTTGGATATCGGCGTTGGTGCATCTTGCATTTATCCGTTGCTAGGCTCAGCGAAAAACTCATGGCAATTTTTCGGCACAGAAAGTGACGTAAGAAACTTCAGTCTAGCAAAAGAAAATGTTGATAAAAACAATCTGAGCAAAAGCATTAAGTGTAAGTCGGATATTTCTTGTTTAAGTTCATTAACACTAGCTTTTTGTTGTGAACCTTCCTTTGTAACCAAGGAAGCTTGATTGAGATAATGAAAACCAAAAGCTTACACGATAAAGTCAGATTATATTAAGTTGCAGAAATATTTGCGTTCAATCACCAACCACATTATTTGTCCTAAACTGTCAGAGGCGTTTGATGGATAACGTAATAACTGATCAGTTTTGTAGTGTCTGTCAGTCGGTTGGAACGTAGAACTTGGTTGCAACTTAGTTGCAATATCCATTTATCATAAATCGGTGAAATGGCTAGACCAGACCTCAGATTAGTGGAGGTAGTAACAGTATTAGTGTTTGAAGAGATAAAATTCAAGCAAAGTAAATCAGTGGATAAAGAAATTTATGATGATTTTAGAAACGTAGAATTTGAGCATGGACAAGAAACGGAGGCAACTCTGTCACTGCAAACGATTTTAAGCCATTTCGTTCAGCCTCTAGCTACTGGTTACGACTATCACACGGGCTCTAACCGGGTAGTCTGTATTTATTCGCATGACTTAGTCAAATTGTATATTACTTCATGGATTAGTGCTATGTTTACATTTGGCCGTTTATAACTTTCTTCTAACCTACTGTCACATCAGACAATAGCTCTTATCGAGGTGGGCTGTGGTTGGGCAAACGTAGTATATGTCCTAACTATATCAGCTGATGATTCACTACTTCATCAATCGATTTACCATCCCCAGCTAGTAATCTCCTAACTCAGGCATTGTTTTCTCAGTGGCCTCAAAAAGACACTTATGACCGAATAATACTAATCTACTGATATTCTCTATTCATAATGACCATATTTCACACCCGTAAAGTCTAACGAAGAGAACTGTTGCACAGTAAACTTGTCCCTTGTTTAGGAGACGGATATTTCGCCTATGCCGTGGGTGACAAGTTGGCAAAAGCCATTCTAGCCTTCTGTATCCGTGCCAAGATTTTGCCAGACTCTGGACTGGATTATTGGATTGATGAAACAAGGTTGATTTACTACTTTGTTACACCTTTCAATCATAGACATTGTCACAGAGCTAAATTTCGTTGTATTATTAAGGCTGATATTCTGGATAATTAATTCAACGGATTCCATATTGATTATCACAAGCAAACTTTTGTCCTTTCTAATAAGACTGGAACGATCAGTCAAATGGGATAACTTCCAGTTCCCAGGTTCAAATTGAGATATCAGTTAATCTAACTGCTCAAACTTGACTACCATCCCTAAAAATCTCCATCAGTTTCTGCTATCCTTTCTCTCGCTTCAAATTGCTTATGGTCATTTCACTCTAACTAAGAGTTGGAGGACTCACATCAACTTGTCATCCAGGTCGACTGGAAGTAGTAGCTAGCTGAGGTGTGGTTGAAGGTCAGTTGGACTGTTCCTTAAAGTTTTTTGCCTATCGGTTCAATCGCGATTGGTGTTATTTAAAATGTTTACTAAATTATCTTCTAGTTGTTCTTGAAATATATGCTTAGTTTCTTCAATAACTAGGTTGAGCTCTCAGCAGTTTCCTTAATGTGGCTATTTTATATCCAGTAAGACGCTTATAAATACGCACTCATCCAAGAGCATGGTCTGAATCTAAACATATGTTCCAGGACCAACAGCAGTATTCTATCAAGCATCTCTATCGGTGGCTGATAGCAATGCGGTCTATTTGAGTTCAGCGTTGAGTCGATTTTTAGGGTCTCCATATCAAAAGATGTCTTTCTTCATGCTTAAAGTTGGTGTTTGCCAGAAATAGGTCGTTAACTGAGCACAGTTAAAGTGTACAGTCGCCGCGACACTATAAGATCCACCTACGTGTCTTTCGGTTTAGCCTATTCACTTACTTAAGCATTAAAGTCACCAGCCACTATGAAATCAGAGTGCTTAGTTTGTTGAGGGTTAGAAAGCTTTCCGTAAAATTTATCTTTTACTTAATCTGGGCTTCAATCAGTGGCAGCATAGGCAGGAACGACAAATAGGCGATGGTAACTGTCTCTATTGAGGTCCACGAGACGATAGTAACCGATGGTTAGAGACTTTGAGCGACATGGCTCAAAATCGTTTGCTATGGTACAGGTGCATCCACTCTTTGTGTTCTCTCAAATTTTGATCTGCATTTCTCATTTCCTTTATTTTTCTATTTTTAAATTTATGTCATTAGGTTTTACTTCTTGAATACTTTCTTCAATTCCTAATCTTTTTCATTACCTCTAATACTTCTACTATCTCTACCTTTATGGGATTTGAACTGACAATCGCATCTTTGTGCTAATGTGGTATGGCGACTTGAACTGATGTACGTACGTACGAAGTTCTACGTTGTAACTGACTGACTGACCACGGGTAGTAGCAGTAAGGTCTCCAGATACGCAGAACCTAAATTGTGTCCATTATTTTAGGCGACTTGAGGCCAAGTGATTGAACGTACTTAAATCCTGTGTGCGCGACTTGGGTACGCCACAAACATCGTGAGATTCTAGAGTCCTACCTAAGGCGGCCTGTTGTTCTCTCTGGTACGAGGTGTAGGGTATAAAAGCTTTAATATTTAGTTAAGTGTTGTTTTAGGAGACAGGAGATAACATTTCATGGATGCGAATCATTGTCATTAGCATCGTGATGTGATATAGTTACGCGAGAATCGTTAGTCGGGAAGATGAGAAAGTTAATAAGAGGGGAGATCGGTATTTGATCTTCAACGAGATGACCTCGTGTGTTTTTAGATTTATTACACTGGATTATACTTCTTGAATGATACCTTCGAACTATAATCTTTTTGATTACTGCTCTTACTTCTACTACCTCTACCAATACGGGATTTTAATCGACGATTGTATCTATATGCTAATATGGTATGACAACTTGAACTGATGTACGTATACACGAAGTTCTACGTTGGAGCTGACTAGCTGAGATGTATGACGGTGGTTATCACTTACCAGATGCCCACACCGTAAAAGGATGTTTATTTTTGAAAAACCTGGAAAGAAATCTGGGTTACTCTTCGTCCTAGTTCTTGAAAGTCTTTCAAATAATAGTAACTTTGGTAAACATTTTTCTTATAGACAGCAATCCGATGTTCAAAAGTTCTTAACGTTTTCTAAAAATAAACTAGTTTAATACTTTTGTCAAAGTAATAATATTTATTATGAATTCAAAGTTGAGTAACAGGTTTCGACCACATAAGGTATTCCATAAAACACCTCCCTACAGATTCCATTATTTTGATTGCGTATTGTGTCTTTGATCTGTTATGTATCTACCTTCCCCCATAATAATCACACATAGAATGGTTAGGTGAGATAAGCATCTATGTTCTTTTTTTAGGTGAGTTGGTATAAATTACTTATAATTTCTGCAGTTTTTGCTAGTTTTCGTGAAAAATTTAATATTTCGATGCCCTTTTTCATTCCAATGCTGGTTTTCAGTCATTGTTTAATGAAAAATTTCAATTTCCTTCTAGTATTTCACATAACTGAGAATACTTCATCATTGGATGTTGTTTTCGGTGGTACAGAAAATACAACTTATTTACATGCTGTAATGGCCAATCCTCCATTTTTTAGTGACACATCAGATGCAGTTGGATCTAACACTTGTCGATCGCTTAAAAGACCACCACCGAAAACTATATCATCTGCTGCTAGGCATGAAAGTCAGACTGTGGGAGGTGAAGTGTACTTTTGTATTCGTCTAATCCGTGATAGTATTCGTTATTCAACTCGAGTGGGGTATGTGCACTTTCAGTTTAAAAATATTGTTGTCATAAGGTTGTGGAGATTGTTGAGTCTCATCTAAATCGTGAATCTATCTGTGTTAGACCACCATTGGGAGCTTGGACAGCCTTTTGGTCCTAGTATGGGACAACAATGTGTATCCTCGACCCTGCAAACAAGAATCCAACCCGAGACTTTCAGTCTCGCGCACAATAGCGTAGACTGATTGAAGTTCGACGTTAACTCCGTTGAACGCTAACTGTGATCAAGGGGTTAAGTGTTCTCACACAAGAGAGAACGTCTTGGTTCCGATTCCCGCCTGCGAGGTCGTGGATACACATTACCGATGAATCCCATACTAAGCCGAAACCGCCGTCCAGTGCTTTCAATGGTTGTCTAACATTGATTGACTCATGATTTCAATAAAGTTTAGACATAGTCTATTTAACCATTGAATCAAATCTAATGAAATTTATGTTTGACTTTATCTTCCGAGTATTTCGTCGGGCTTTTCAACATCAATACAAGCTTGTATTTGTATTAACCATCAAGAAAATTATAATATTTCATTATTTCGGTGGCAATGTGTAGATGTTTTCATTTATGATGTGATTTATCTGGTTAATTGTTTTGGAATCGGTAGCTAATATGATATATTTCATCCATCTCTCTGTATCTTCAAATTTTTAGCTAGCAGCGTATTATTCTGGAATTATTTACTAAGCTTACAGTCTTTAATTTACTACTCATAAAAATTCCCACGAAGTCCATTCGTCTGATACTCTTGAAATATTTCCCTCCAGATGTTGTTGATGAAAAGGAATTTCAAATTAGACAACACTGGTACATTAACAAGTTGTAACTTGTGACTTAAATGACTAAATATGAACTTGGTGAAAGTTGCAACTCAATGGTGCAAACTGTTAACTTCCAACCACTATGTTGTAATGTAGAAAGCCTAATCTATCAGTTATTGCATGGTCTTATTAAAATGTATAAATCTTTACTATATCTTTGAGTTATGCTACATTATATTTTGCTGTTGCGAAACACTTAATTATTTACTGAATTAAAGAAATTCTAAAAATTCATATATTTCACTTTTTTTAGCCACTAATCTTACTTTTTGTAACTTTTTATTTTTCATTCTCCATTTGAATGAATGTTAGTGTATTCACTATTATGTTGGGTAAGAAGTCAAGTGTTTCTTCAGTTCGTCGAATATTACACAAGTTTAAAATCACTCAAATATCTGTGTACGAAATGTGTCAGGGTCGAATAATGCGATGGGGTGTTGCTTGGACATTTCTTCCTAATTTTCAATTTCCTGTAAGTGTCCTTTAATTTTTGTAAAGCAATAACCATTATCTCATCTAGTTGCTCTTTTTATAAATATTTTTCTTACTACAAAAACAAGTATCAAACAAATTAGTACTGTTCATTGAATCGTATATTTTGACAGTTTGACAGTATTCTCATCATATTTTGTTTGTTTATCATTGCTCGACGACTTAACGTGGGTTAACATTTAACGAATGAAAATCCCCAGTTTCTTAAATAAGCTTATCATCAATTATCCAACTTTTTGTTTTGTAACCAGACATTGTTTACTCGGTGACTTTTCTACAAATAAATGTTATGATGTTGAGAGAACATTGATTGGATTAAAGTATAGCCAGTGCAGAATTATGCTGATTGGCAAATTCTTCGCCAATTCTTGTGTACAAATTACAAATATACTAATTCTTTTATTACTACGATTCCTCCACATCCAACTTGGTATGTTAGAATACAATTACCTACTTGTTCAAGCCTTGTTCAGATTTTGAGGACTAGCTGAGCGTTGTAGTGTTCGAAGAATACTAAGCAATATGAGTAGCTGGTTCTCGTATAAGAGGAGGAGAAATGGTGAATTTTTAGTCTTCAAATATTTTCTGATTATAGTCATAAATTACTAAAACAGAACCAACTATTACGCATTAAGTTCTTCATTTAAATCAATAATCGAATAAGAAATCTCATCCTGTTATTACTTTTCATCAATTTCAACAAAGTCAACACAATTTTTGAAAAATCAGTTGATTACTTGTTTTGTTGTATTTTCCTCAGTTATTTATATATTGGTCGGTAAGCCCATTTAATTCTAAATGTAAGTCAGAATAGCATACTTGAGATTGTATTGCAGCTTAAACTAAAAATATTTTCAAGAGAGTTGACATCATTAATTTAAATGAATAGTTATGAAATATTGGTCATAGTTTGACTACGGAGTATGACAAAAAATTTGAAAAAATCTGAGAGTAAGGTAGTTAGAATTACACCTACTCAATAGTCTTCATATTTAAGAGGATTGAATGGAGTCATCCACATTCTTTACTTCTGACATCAATACAGTTAACAACTCATTTTTTGAGCACGAATTTCTGACATAAGCTTCCTAGTCAGTATGATCACCATGGATAACTATGGAATATAACTGTACTGTTTATTGATTTTTCAGGATGCAGCTGTATTGTGAATTTAGCATGTGTTGCACAGTCAAACTACAGATACTATTGTAACGTGTCTGATAAATTGTAAAGATGTCCACCTTCGTACCTTTCAAGTGTACCTGATTTGTTACTTGTATAGTAAGTTGATATGTACAGTTGTAGGCTATATGTGGATACTACTTCTCTGCCTCTGTACATGCCACAGAATATACTGTACAGAAAAAAACTAGTATCACTTCAAGAAATATGCTGCTGTGTGCTAACTTCAGCTTGGGGTTATTTGTTTCTCATGATTTAATGACTTGAATAGCACTCGAATAAATACTTACTTTCTATGTTAAAGTTCATTCGCTTTGATCCTTGTTCAGTAACCACTACTATATTACTTTGTTAAAGATCAATTAGTAGTCATATTCTTGAAAATAATTTCTTATTGTTATGTATTTGAATTTTATTTTAAATCATTGTAAAATATTTGGTGTTTTTTTCAAAAATAAATTTTACTTTAAGGAATCTGATTTTCGTCGACTTCGTAAATTAGAACGTCCTCCATTAACACTGCAATTACCAGATCCAGTAACTTGTCTTTCTGAAAATACAGTTGATGCTCTTTTGAATTGGTTAAGAAATGAATTTAAACAATTAGGTGTAAGTTTTCAAGAAATGATTTAATAATTTAATATGTTTTTTTAAACTTATTTATTTTTTGGAGTTCTACTCGTCTTTTGATTTGCTTTGCTTTATTCTAAAATAAATTCATTTCATCACAACATACTCCTTTTGTCAAATTATTTAAAACCTCGAATCGTTCCTTTCCGTTTGAACCAATATTCTAGTAATGTTGGTCAGAGTTGTCCACCATTCACTTTTTTTTTTATTTAATTTCGACACAAGTTTACTTTAAAGAATACGTATTTTCATCTAACTTTTCCTGGAGATGTATTTTGTCAGCGTAATTTAAGTCCATAAATCAAAGATTTTCAATCACTTTCAGCAACCATGAAAAAATGTTTTGAATGTCTTAGAATCTATTCGCAGTGTTTCACTTTGGAATCGATTTATGTCAACGTCTGGAATAATAAAAGCAAGTGATGTAGTTGGGTCTGTCAACTACTTCAAGTATCTTATAAGCCTCAACAACCGTGATCGGCTGATGAGTGCTGAAATCTTGGAATAAATTCAGAAACCTCACTTGGCTTTTGCCAACTTGCATCTGTGACTTTGGTGAAGTATCCGCTTACAAACAAAGGAGTTAGCATATTATGCAACAGTTTTCCCTGTTTTATGCTAGGGTGTTCCATTGAGATGTGAATCTTTATTTAGCTCGGACATATGTATGCCCAGCCATTGTCCACATCAGCGCGCAACTTTGGCTAGTATAAGGGTAAGACGGAAGTAAATTACGGGCGATCAGTTCACAATTTCATGGATTTTTGGCCTGGGACATGATAGTAGGCGTGAACTATCTGATTTAAGTCTGCACAACTTTAGGGTGTCACAGCAGTAAGATGTTTACTTCAGACAACCAGCATCTTTAGCAGTACTGCCTTCACACAAAGGAAGGAGGAGTAAATAAAGTCAACAGTAAAAGCGTCGCTTCCGACAAAAGAACCATACGTGACCGACTTCAAGTAGCTATACCACTAACACGGCTTCCTTCCCCCTGACCGCGGCTGTTACCTTGATGTTGTGGAAGGGCTTACCTATCGTGATGACCGAAACAAGATATACTCGCTGTAACATATGTTCCTGTAGATTCTACCATGCCAGGTGGGACTGAAAGCAGCAAATTAAGGTCTAAAGGCGAAGCCATACTGCTGACTGTAGACCGGTGAGATAGCAGTAAGGGTTTTCTCTTGGACAACCAGCATCTGCTTGGATTCTGTGGTTTCACAACACAAAGAAGGAGATAGAAAAGGTCGACTGTAAAAATGTCACTTCTAACCTCATTCCACAGATTTATAACTCCAGTACTAAAGTATTTTGAAGAGTGGAGTTAACATTTCACAAAATTCGAATGAAGCAGCCGTGAGTGACCGACCACAAAGTGTTGTTCCTTGAACTCTGTGGTCACGCTTCCAGATCACTAGGACTAAGAGTCACCCAGATTTCTTTCTAGGTTCTTCAAAAATAAACATCCTTTTACGGTGTGGGCAGCTGGTAAGTGATAACCACCATCATACTTAGTCAATCAGCTCCAACGTAGAACTTCGTACGTACGTACATCACTTCAAGTTACCATAACATATATTAGCTTATGGCGAACTGTCATAGGAATTCTTTACTTCAAATAGTGTCCGTCAGAGCTGTCCACTCTTTCCATTCTTGTTTAACTTTGTCATAGACATACTTTATCATTGTATGACTTTTCAGGGGTAGACCCTCTACCAGGGGACACGCTAGTTGACCTAGAATATGCCGATGATACAGTTCTATCTGCTGAAGACGCTGGGACAATCGAGTAGACAATGCCGAGGTTAGCAACCGTTTACGAAGTAAGGGTGGCAGATCAGTTGACGAAGCAGTGAATCCTAATCAGTTGAGGTGGTTGAGACTTGTGTTACTTATACCCAACTACGGAATGCCTTGATGAGCAACATTTTAAGGTGTAGGCTGGGAGAAAGCTAGGGGCGGCCAGACTAAAACATAGCAGAAATCCATGAAGTCAGTGATAAGTGGACTGAGTCACGTTGGTAGGTGTCGACTACTTGGTCGGGACCCGTGAGATAATAGTAACCGATGGTTGGAGGCTTTGAACTTATGGCTCAAAAACCCTTTGCAATGGTGCAGGTGCATCCACTCTTTGTGTTCTCTCAAATTCTGATCTGCATTTCTCATTTCCTTTATTTTTTTATTTTTAAATTTATGTCATTAGGTTTTATTTCTTGAATACTTTCTTCAATTCCTAATCCTTTTCATTACCGCTGATATTTGTACTACCTCAACTACTATGGGATTTGAACTGACAGTTGCGTGTCTGTGCTAATGTGGTATGACAACTTGAACTGATATACGTACGTACGAAGTTCTACGTTGTTGCTGACTTCCTTTCCAGGTCCTAGTACGGTCATTCATGTAACGTCACCATGTCATGATTTACGTGTTGTGCATCTCAAGATCGATCTGTCGTTTCCTATAGTCCCACTGGTGTAGCTATAGCCTTATTTTCAAAAACAGAAGAGACCCTTAGACTGGATTGGTCTATACTCAATTAAACGTAGTTCTAACTGTTTTTCTGTGGTTTCTAGTGCTAATCAAATGTCATTCATCGAATACACTCGCGAAGCTTATTAAAACAACGTAGTGTTGTGCTATTTGAATTTTGTGAGAGATTATCTGGAACCTTTATAGTTTCTAGTATTGAACTACTCAGTGTATCTGTAGTCTGTCCTAGTTAATTTCCTATTTTCGTTAATCGCATTCGTTGTTATACATTGACAGTGTCAACGTGGTGAACTTTTTATCAATCTCAATATAATCTAATTTTTTTCTTTTTTAGATGAAAGTATTAGATCAAAAAAATCGTGCTGAAATAGGTGGTCTGCATTTAAATATTACAGCAACAGTAAATACATGGACACATACTAGGCGTAAAAGACGAGAAGCTCAACGTCTTTCAATGTCTAAACAATCGGATACGTTAAACGGTGAGAATCCAACTAATAGTGATTCTGTATCCAATGAAAAAGAGTCCATAGAAATTGATGTAAACACAAACACATTCAGTTCAAACAGTTGTTCAAAGCGTATACATGCTTGTAATTCCGATAAAGTGAATCATTCATCGCAATCAATAATCACACAAGCAACTACAGAAACAGAATCGGAATTAATAAACCCACCAAAACGAACGCGAGCATCACTTAACGATGAAATCTGTGATGAAGGTGAAGATGCTTGGTTTGATGGAGATGATGAATGTGAGAATGCTTCCGTCAACAAGATTAACAATTCTTCAATTAATGAATTACCATCTACTTGCTCACATGTGATTCAGGCCAATGTATTTGTTGAGTATCTAAATATTGATTCATTTAATAAAGATGTACGTTCAAAATCATCATCTTCGTTATTTCCACACGGAATAAATGACAGTGATGAAGTAATGCCTAGTGATAGCACTAAATGTGGAGAGACAAATGTAAAGCTTAAAAGTGATATAAGTGATAGTGATGATGACGATGAAATGATTCTTACTGAAGAGAATCATGGACCGATGGTGATAAAAATTGCTTGGATAAGTGGAACATGTCGAGAAGCAGCTAATCAAATTTTGTTTTACTTAAAAAATCGTTTGAAATGACGTTCTAATCTATTTTATTTTTTTAACCACACCTACCAACTAAAAGAAAATATTGTAAATATGCAGTTGCATTTCTTTTGTATACATAATTCTAGAAAATCATTATTGTACGCCACTCATTATTTTTTTTTTACATTAAATGTACAAAGCCCTATAGAGAAATTAAACAGTGACATTCCGGTATCTTTACTTATCTTTCTGACATAACATCATGTTATGTCAAAGTAGTATTAAATACTCCTATTTCTCTGATAATATGGATGGCTTGACAATAAAAAATGCTCCACCGAGTTGACGCTACTAATCACGAACGTTTATATGTCACGCTAGTCAAATTAACAAGCTAAGTACACAGAAAACAACCGATACGCGTATTCAAGTTTCCAGTTGTAACAGAAATCTTTTTGGAAATGCTGTAGGGAAAGTCATTTGGTTGTTGATTGGACTCATCTTTTACTGCCTCCGAGTTGCGACCTAAGGAAACAACTAAAAAGCATTCACATCCTACGCTTTGCTCTGATTAGCATTTTTAGCTTAGTGACAGACGAACGATTCATAGTTGGGATTCAGTCGGTCAATAATGGTAAGACGGTGGAGATATGTCGCCGAGAACTATGGTATTGTTGAAATTGTGCTATCACAACGCTTCCAGTGTCGCCTTACATAAAGTCATCAGTATAAACTTCAGTAAGAAGTGAGCTATGAGCAATTCTCCACAAAGGACTAGAAGCTTGTTTTGTCAACCCTAAAGCTGATTGTATGTTGTTGACACTCATTCCATCGTTTTCTGAAAACAAACTAGCTAATACTACTCTTCATATAAAATATACAGAAAGTCCTTCTTACCGCATTCAACCTTATGTCTTAACTGTGGCTGGATAATATCATCTAACTTCAGCAGTTTAGTCTTTGTGGTTGAGAGTCATGTTTCATCCATTAGGCTTCAGGTAAGTACCCTGATCTACCTACTTTAATTTGATAAGAAGGATAACAGAATTAGAAGCTTTCACATGAACATTGAGACTAAATCCTGAATACATAAATCTCTACTTGGTATGGTCTGCAGGAAAATCCGAGCCTAGGTTTTGTGCTAGTTGCCACTCGTCAGCAAGACATATTTCCAATGTCTGCGTGTTTTCGGTTCGTGTCAATTAGCTTCATAGTATGAGACGTTACCACTCAGTTATTCAGGCCGCGGCTGAAAGCTATCTATACTAGTGGCAATTTTGCAACTTGATTGATAAAACAATCACACATAAAATCTATCACTAATCAGTGGTCAACCAGTTTTTAAACCCTTGCTAAATAAGTTATAATCAAAGTTAAACAACTACGTTTCTAACATATCCCATTCAAACATTTTATTGACTAATGCCTATATTCAAGTATATGAAGACACTGTATTATCAGTTGCCTTATTTGCAAGATTTGACCAGATGAAGCTCTTTGTAGAAGGAAGAAACACTTCTTTAGAACATTATTTTATTCCAGGAAAGAGTGTTCTGTGAATAAAGGTAAAGATAATGATAAGATAATACTTCCTCCATAGATTAATTTATTCAGATTTTTGTTTCCTGTATTTTATGAATGTAAATCGATATAGAAACTCTCATGTTAGCTTTATGTGATTATTTTAAATTAAAAATAGATCTACTTATATCGACTGGTCAAATCAATAGTTTTTTTTTAATAAAGTAAACGAGGATCGTTTCTCATTCAAAACAAAAAAGTGTATCAAAGAGAAAGAAGAGGGATACAAATCATATGTGTGTGTATTTTTAAGTGTATACAAGATGAGAGGAGATAATCAATTAACTGAAGGGATTATAATCTAAGTTGACAAAAAATTCAAATGAACAAAGTGGTCTGTGGTATAGATGTCTCGTCTAAAACTGATTAATGCTTGTCCCAATATGTTTGTGTACATATATATGTGCAAATGTATTTGATCTATAAGGTGTTATTCCCAAAGAAAAACAAGAATTTTATTATAAAAACAATAGTTTTTCAAGTCACTTTACAATCTTATCTATTGAGTCCTTATCACGGCAGCCTTAAAAATATCCCAGCTAATCGACTCCAATCAATATCATCTGGAGACTGAACTTGAGTTTTAGTCTCTACAAAGTGTATTAATAATTGATCGACCAATTGATCTAATCTGGATTTAGCTAAAAAAATTTGTGTAGGGAAAAGCGAATAACAAAGAAACACAGGTCACTGAATAAATAGAAAATACTTTCATCTGATTATTATTTAAACAAATTTGTGACAAGTTAAAAATTAAAAGATCATCATTCTATAAGTCTTCTTTTGGACGGGATTAATACAGGTATCAATAAGTGCGCTAAACCGAAACGAAACGACAGTATTACACAGAAAAACAGTCATTTGGAAATTAGTTGGGTAATAAATTTTTAAGAGGGCATTTCGAATACTAAGAAAGATTCTGTTCATTTTAAGAGATTACATTCTACTAGTTATGAGGTGGTGTAAAGAACGAAGACAGTAAGATCCGTTGGGATAAGTGATTTATTCGAATACATAGTTTATTAGCCAAAATGTCTGTCAACACCGTATCTTCGAACATTCATTTAGAAACAATCGAATATCTTACCTCACATGTCTTTTAGTCTTCAAAAAATTTTTATCGCGCCTTAAATCCGAACTCAACACCGTTCGTCTTGGCATTAACTTCAGGGCAATACGCCACTGCACACTACTTATATTCCGCGTTTTGAGTAGTACATACGAAAATTATACCCAGTTTGTCTCTTGTTTCAATAACTGATTTGTTCGAAATATATTGATATTGATCTAGGAATCTGTGATATGACAAACAGTTCTGACTCAATACAATGCCATGTCGTGAACGTATCGCTCCTTTGACTATTTAACCGAGTAAACACTTGAACAGACAATAGTACTACGTATAGGATTCACTGAAATTGATGTTCTAAGGTGGTATAACTTACTAGAACATCATCACTAGATTAAGCAGTAAGGTGGGTCACTTAGTCAACTTATAAGCAAGATAAACTGATCTTAGATATTTTAATATGGTTAGCATAGTGTCCCTATCATGTTTATAATTGTTAACCAACTAATTTAACTAATGAACTAATAACCAGTTTGACACAATCATTTGAATTAAGAAATAATTATAAAGTAGAATTTGTTCTGACAAGCTCTAATGTTTTAAAACAGTAACAATTGTCCGAAATTTCTTTGAAATTCAATTAAAATTTCTGTGGAAAAATAATGTGCATTTTTCAACTGTCAGCTTATTCAATCATTTCACGATGATAACTATTTATACAAATGTACACAGTAATAATTTTTTAACATACTCAAAGAATAAATGAAAAGAATAATAATAGAATCTTACTGAATATAGCGACTTCATGATGTGTGAGTAGCTTACGAGTTAATTTTTTGGCGACCAATTTGAATGCATCCTACAGAAATAAAAAGATATCGAATGCATAACTCGTCCTGCACTGAATACACGACTGAAAATTATTACTATTGAATAATTGAAAAATATCAAGTTACTATTATCAATGTATACATTATTTTTAATGTTGTAAATGTAAAAACATGAAACATTGTTTAATGTGACCCTCTTCTTCAAATTAGCTACTTAGGATGATTGATAAGTTTTATGATTACTACATGCCTTCAAACGTTGTATAAATACCGTTTAAACAGGAGTGGTAATTTATGTGTTGTTATTTCGCCAAAAAAAAATTAAATGTATTTTGAAAAATCTCGTCTTAAAATACCGTAAAGTGTGATTTGGGCTCGAATTCGTCTTGATAGTTTCAATCGCAGATTTATTCCGAAACTTGTATTCGGTTGTCGTAACTAACAAAAAATATGTATAGGTGTATTCGGGTCCCAGAGTACAAGTAATTAATGTTTGTGATGAAGATATATATATGTATATATATATATACGTAAATGTGTTTTATGCGTATTATTCTGTAGCCGAATAGACTTTCTCTTCTCTTCTTGCCTTCTCTATTCAACTTTCGGTTTGGAGCAATTAGCGCGTAATACATTCACACCTCGTACGCTACACATTCTAACAGTATGCTTCAAATATTAGCGTAGGAATCAAGGTTAGTGACAGTCGACAGCAAAAACTTTGTGGATTAGTGTATACGGCGTCTTTGAAAGCAATAATAACTCAGCCTTATTGATAATGACATCGTAAACTATGTACAGTGATTAGTTTTACGTTATCACTGATGTCATGGACAACCACTTACTATAACTGGAACAATATCTGGTTGTGTTTAAGTAGCTACATGTACTCGATCGACACATTCTAATATATCGTCAATTCAAAGTCTATTTTAATGAACTAACAGTAAGTAAACTTCATTTATCTATATGGTGAAGAAAAATTATCTTTAACTCAACAAAAATAAATTAATGTAACTAAATACACTGAGGGCACGGATTGGCAAAGCAAGGGCTGCATTTCTACAGTTGAAAAATATCTGGAACTCCAAACAACTTTCAAACAAAACCAAAATCAGGATTTTCAATACAAATGTCAAGACGTTCTACTGTATGGAGCGGAAACATGGAGAACTACCAAAGCCATCATCCAGATACAAGTGTTTATTAACAGTTGTCTACGCAAAATACTTCGTATTCGTTGGCCAGACACCATCAGCAACAACGAACTGTGGGAGAGAACAAACCAAATTCCGGTGGAGGAGGAAATCAGGAAGAAGCGGTGGAAGTGGATAGGACACACACTACGAAAAGCACCTAACTGCGTCACGAGACAAGCCCTCACATGGGAGCCTCAAGGCAAAAGGAAAAGAGGAAAAAAGGCCAAGGAACACATTACACCGAGAAACAGAGAAAGATATGAGAGGAATGAACAAAAAATTGGACAGAACTGGAGAGAGAAGCCCAGGACAGAGTTGGTTGGAGAAAACTGGTGGGCGGCCTATGCTCCATTGGGGGTAACAGGCGTAAGTAAGTAAATACACTGCGATTAATATTCATTTCTAGGTTCATTCATTTCAAACACTTGATTACTAGCTGAAAGATTTGTGGTTGTATAAAGAGCTTTGGGTTTCCTAGACACAGTGTTTAAAAAACTACAAGTGACCATAACAGAATGTCTTTTTCCGTTGCTTTTTCAAAATCGGATTATTCAATCCTTGTACACATATTTATCCTGTATACACTTATGTGTTTTTCATTTACTCTAAATCATTCTTCTTAATTCAAGATAGTTTTATAAGTTAATGAGAATGTTGACAAATGGGAACCGATTGATGATTATGTATGATTTTTGCACAGCTGTTGCATTCGCCTGTCTACATGAGTGTACTAACTGAATGATTGAATTGTTCTCGAATGCATGGTTTTGTATCAACATTATAAGTATGATAAAATGAAAGTTCAATTATGCATTATTTCACTAAGATGAAAGTATATTTTTATTTATGTACTATACACCTAAGAGAAATCGATAAGAAATAACCAAAAGAAAATTTACATCAGTTTACACTCATCAACTAGACACATTTGTAACCCTAGTGGAATCGATGCATAGTAAGTGATTTGAATCAGTCCAGTTCCAATGAACAGTAGAAATTAGATTAGTTAACAAATTACCCACGGAATTTCAATGCTACACAAAGGATCATGAAAAGAAATTAGACGAATGACAAGTCGAATTCCACCAACAGCAGATCCCTTCTTAAACTAAATCTTAGTCATCTAATAATGAAGTGTCATTTAGAGAAGCGCATATATATAGCACGTTATGAAATGAAACAAATAAATAGACATGATTCAGAGATTACTAATACTGAAAATCGTGTACTTGACATGACTCATGATTGTAACGTGACATAAAATAAATTAACGAATGTTATAAACACTAGATTCGCTATAATTGAAAGTCTTTCAACATAAAACAAAGTAATCAATGTTATCAGTCACTGAACTTCTTATGCTCAATCTAATCAGTGTTAAAGTAACATTTTTGATTCGAAAGACGAGTCTTTATGATGTAAAATATTTTCATACTGTTACTTAGATTAATAAGAAAGTTCGGCATTTCGTGTATACTCACTTAATAAAACTTATACAATCTGCCCACTGTGGTCTCACCAATCTTCAGGAAGGAAATAAACCGTAAATCAATCACTTGTTATGTGAAATAATCGCTATGCTAGCAGGGGATCATACTTAAGCTTGAATATAAATCTTAGAAAAAATTTCAAATCATTACCAAGAAAAAATCAATTTACTTTGTTATTGAACAAGCCTTTAGCAAAATGCCGTGACAGAGAAGCTACTACTTGTTTAGCCAATTTAGCAGTAGATGAATTCATTTCAGAAGAGATAGCATTCTACATATAAAAAAAAAGAAACAATAAAATTATAGAACCGAACAGAATTGTTTTTTTAAGTTAACGATTCTTCTTTCTACAAGTCAGAAATAGTATCTTACCTTAATTTGAAGAATGATGAACAGTTTTTTACAAGATCAATTAGGTTACGCCATATTTTGAGGGGCGCACTGTTTAGGGTAATGCCATGTTCCGTCTGGTCGGTTGTAACTTTATCCAGCCTAGTTCCACACCAGACAACAGCTTCCATCAAGATAGGCGGTAGTTGAACTGACGTAACACGTCCTAACCACCTCAAATGACAATTTACTTCTATTATAGGATGTCCGAACGTGTGTCTATGTCCAAGGACCAGACGAAGTGTGAATATCTGATCTATGCAGCCACGTACAGGTCTAAAACCAACCTGGTTTTCTTGAGTCTGCTCTTCTTGAACTCTAGTTAGGTATCGAAGTAATGTTAAAGGCAATATCTTTAGGCACTAAATTAATTAAACTCATCGCTCAGTGACTGTCACAAGAGGACTTTTGTCCGCTCTCATAGACTGGGAAAATCAGTTATTGAGACAAGTTCGATGGGATTAAGTTCAGCTCCCAAATTCTACTAAAGATCTCAGTCAATCGTAATGTTAAAACTGCGCCACCGTCCTTAGAAATCTCAGGGGTTGACTTATCAGGGCTTGCTGCTCTCCCTCGCTTCATATTTCCTATAGCTTGTTCAAATACATTAAGAGTCGGAGGAAATACATCGATTTGCCACTTAGGTTGACTGGAGATCGTGGCCAACCGAAGCGTGGCTGAAGGCCAGTTGAACTGATCCCATCCATCCAATCTCTTGTATTGGGAATGTATAATAGTTCCATTCTTTTCCGAGATAGTCCCACAAACAATCGGATTCCTAATACCAGTTTCCTTGGTAATCCTGAATGGTTGTCTGCTATTACCTATCATCACTGACTTTTCCATAGCTCTTGCTTTCACTACTCACCACTGTTCGCGATCATAGCGTAGGCTTGTCAGCTTGCGCTCAAGCTGACTCCGCTCCTCATTGTGTTCAAGGCCAGACTGGATGTGTTTCCGAGCATCTATCAGTTCAGTAGATGCTACTGAGTTTCACTGCTTCTCCCTGACGTTATGGTTTATCTTACTAGCAGATATCACTGCTGTTTCCACAGCTTTTTGGACATCATTCCAAGCTGCCGCAGGATGGGAATCACTTACACGGCTGTCTAATTGTTTTTCTTATTGTTCCTGAAATATACTCTTAGACCTGCTATCATTAAGAAGAACCCTAAGAGGTTTCATTGCAGTGTCTTTCCTATCTCCAGTGAGACATAAGCAGATATACGCACTCGCATTAGAGCATGATATGAATCTGAACATGTGCTCCAGAATGAGCGGTAGTCTTCTATCAAATCTGTTCACCCGTGTCTGATAGAAATGTGGTCTTGTTGGGTCAATCGTCAAGTTGATTTCAGGGGTGGCCACGTGAAAACGTGTTTTTCCTTGTGTATTTGCTAGAAATAGGTGGTTAACATAGTTTCAGCATACGGTCGCCATTGTCTGTTCTTTGGGTCGCTACACCATGAGATCCGACCAGGTGAATTTTGTTTTCGTTTAGTTTACCTAATGGGGCATTGAAGTCACTAGCAACTATTGCAGCATAACAGCGCCTAACTTTTGAAGGAGATCTGAAAGCTTCTTCAGAACTCATCTTTTACCTCATCTGAGCTGCAGTCAGTGGGAGCGTAGGCAGAGAGAACGAACAGGCAACGGCGAATGTCCCTATCTTTCAGAGTCCTTGCTGTCCTATTTAGTCAGATAGCACACAAGCGACTGTTTACTTGGATCCAGTCTAAGAGAGATATTTCTGCTTAAGAAATTAATACTATACCTATACCAGAGAGGTCACTCCCTGTCGCAAATTCCAGCGCCGACGCAAGCCAATCTCAGATGGAGCATAAAATATAAAAGAAAAATTTGTGGTATCTATTTACAGTAAATTATAATACATGTATGTCACATTGGTGTTAAGAAACACGAATATTTCATTGGCAGAGATCTAATCCTTTATTTATAATCCTTAGTTAATAATGAAACAGATTTCTATTACTCATTGATCCGGTCAACATCAGATTCATTACAAACAATTAGTTGTAATTTGTTTAAAGGTGAACTATCTAAAAGAAGAGAGTGATTTCGTGAAAATAACATGTGATTTAACCACTGTTTGTTTTATTTTACATTAAATGTATATTTTCTAACATTAACACTGATTATTTAGTGATTGTAACATGTATAAACGAATACAAAAAGTCATCTAGCATCAATCCATCACCAAGACTTCAACCGTAGCAATGTAAAATTTTCACAAGGTCAACAGTTCGACAGTATACTCATATTTCATTCTAAACATAAGAATAGCTTTTTTATGTTTAACATTATTCATCAATTGTTATGGAGCATAAAAATAACAAATTCCACAAGGTGTAAGAAATGTGAGCGATATGTTACGTATGTTAATTAAATAGATTATATTTTACTGAATAAATAAATTTTTGAGTATAAATAAAATTTTTAAAACTTATTTGTTACATAAACCACTTATAGTTGACAATATACAATCAAAAGAGGACACAGAAAATCATTTAAGATCATCATAAAACTGGAATCATATAACCAAAACAAGACAGCTAGGAATAAATCGTTACTTAAACAAAAAAAAATACATGACCGGAAAATGATAGAACTCACATTTTCCTCTTTTAGATCAGTATGCCGTGTTTTTGTTGGAATTGAAACGATTGAACGAGGATTCACCGGTCTATGTTTATGATGAATTTGTTCTGCAACTGGGACTTTAGTCATTTCTTCTTGAATGTGAGTCGGCAATGGATTGATGACATCATGTACATTACTACAGGTGTTATTAGTACCAGTAGTTGTACTACCAGTAATAGTAATGTGATTGGAACTAGGAGTAGATATGACCGATACAGAAGGAATGATATTACTAACAGTATTAGTAGTAATGACAGTAGTATTTACAGGAACTGATCGACTGTTAGTTTTATTAGATTGTTCCCAAAAGTAAACTAGACGTTTCTTAGGTTCAGAATGAAGTTCTGTTTCTGGTATAGAGTTATGAGATTCCGCATTGTTCGTACTACAGTCAATATTAGCAATGTCAGTGACATTGTATGCTGCCTCATCAGACTTTACAATACCTGTATGTTTATTTGTCTCATTGCAATTGGATAATCCATTGTCTCCTCTTATTTCTGTATCGATTTGTAGTTGTCGTTCTAAGTCTTTTCCATTGTTTTCATCATTCTCATCCTCATCTTCATCATCATCACTTAGGTCTGGTGAACTCTTGAGAAGTATATTATTTTGTTTAAAAACAGGTCAAAGTAAAAATGACTTGAGAATGAAATATTAGTATCATTAAAATTTGTCAACAATAATTTTGGCAATATTAAAACTTAAAAAAACTATACAATACTAAAAGATAAAATAATTGAGTATAATATTTAACTATAGAGTATTAAAGACAGAACCACGTATATTTTTACCTTTTATGATAAAGTCATGAAATCAGCGTTGATGACACAGTTAACAATAAATATCAGAGAAATCAATGACTAATTATTATTATTATTATTATTCTAAGTTTCAAAAAAAAATTTTTTCTTACGCTAGTAAAATTGGTTTTTAAATAAAGATTTATAACAAAAAAAGAGATCAAATGTTTGCTGAAACATTTATCTGGATTCCAGTTAACAATAAACTCTTTCGATATCAATATATGCATTACATAGTTTATAAAATCTGTTTACTCTAATGGTAACTTTTAAATGAACACAAAATATTAGGGTGGATATGTTAGCTTAGATTTCGAACACAGATTCGATTAGCTAACTACACTATCACTTCACTCTAACTGGTTCAAATAGTTTACGTAGCAAAGATTTGATTGTTGAGACAATTAGGTTGTAATTAAAAATCAAAAGTGTAAATTACTGAGATGTATATTTATATATTATATATGGCAATATTCACATACACAGACATGTTTTCTCCGGCAACAAGAATCATTTCCGCTAAATTTTATTCGTATTTACGAGTCTTAAATAAACACACTTGTTTTTCTAAATTTCTTCTACTAAAAAAAAGAATTTATATGCTTACATTAAAGCATAATCAACTAATATGAACGATACATTTTTCAACTATGTGATGAAATATATTTGATAAATGCAAGAGAAATTAAAAAAAGAGACTAAAATCTAGCTCAAGAATATAGTGTGAAACAAGGGATTTATCCAAAAAATTAAAATAATTAAAAAATAAAATAATTATGATATATACTGTGATTGACAAAAACATACATCTTTATTTTGCAATAACATTCGGTCACATCCTTTGATATCTGGGTCAACCTCAGTCGTATACGATTGGTTATTTACATTTTTATTTGGCTTACTGCTCCATTTAGTTCTGTTATCAGACTGTTGTTGTTTTGTCCAAAAGTAATCTAAAGGTTGTTCTTTTTTCATGGACTTATCTTTCAAGTTTATGGTAGGTTTTCTCTCATCTTCATCATCACTGAAATCCATGAAATCACTATCGTCATTTTCACAAACACCATAATTGTTTATCACAGAGTCCTGAATAGAAAATATTTAACGAATAGTTTCTGTTATGCTAAAAAAATGTATAAACACCATGAAATATGTCGAAGAAAAAACACGTTTGAAGTTAATTTTCATGAAAAAATGATGGCGTAAATCACAGTTTTGGATGTGTTAAGAGTTTAATCTGAAACTCTTCTTTCAGAAGAGTTATGACGTCTCATAATGAAAGCCGAATTCCTCCGGAAGTCACGATGCCGATTCCCCTACTCACAACCAGAGGGACCATCCTTCTAGATATACGGCTTGTTCGAACAATGTGAGAGACCAAGAGAGTCTGCCAAGCTGCTGCGGAATTGGGAAAGGAAAGGAAACTGCCATGGAGAACAATTGGAATAGGATCAAGGAGACAATTACTCCAACATGTAAGGAGTTTCTGAGCCATAAGAGGTACCATAAGAAGGAATGGATCTCCGCTGGTACTTACTTACTTACTTACGCCTGTTACCCCCCAACGGAGCATAGGCCGCCAACCAGCATCCAAAATATACAAGTATTTATTATCAGTTGTCTACGCAAAATACTTAGGATCCGTTGGCCAGACATCATCAGCAACAACCTACTGTGGGGGAGAACAAACCAGATTCCAGTGGAGTAAGAAATGACGAAGAAGCGCTGCAAGTGGATAAGCCACACATTAAGGAAAGCACTCAACTACGTGGCAGGACAAGTTCTCACTTGGAACCCTCAAGATAAAAGGAAAAGAAGAAGGCCACAGAAAACATTACGCCGAGGAATGGAGACAGAACTGAAAAGGGAGACCCAAGACAGAGTAGGTTGGAGAATACTGGTCGGCGGCCTATACTCCATTGGGGGTAACAGGCGTAAGTAAGTCAGTAGGTAATCATCAATCAGATACAATATAATTTAAACATATCCTTAATACACACCACAACGTTCAAACAAAACATCACTATGCAAAACACAGCAAAACATACCGATTTAACAATTGGTGAAAGCGTTTTACTTTTGCAATGAGAATTGAAATTTGTGAATTCAGACTCCAATTTCAATTTTTTACCAATGGGCGTTGAATATTGAGCATTGAATTTGTCTGATTCGGGTGAAGATGATCGTTTCAATTTATGATGAAATTGGTTTGATGAGACTTTAGCTTTTTCTTCTACTACTGAATTTTTATTATCCTTCATAGTTTACAAATGAATAGCAATTTAAAAAAACACACGTAATAACGAATTACACTATGATATTCGATACATTTGATTTATAAGACATACATACATTTATATAACATACTTGACTGATCTGAAGAAGAACAATAACACCGACAACCAAAAGTCTCACAATGACAACAGCGCAAAAAAAACCTGTTAGTAAATTGAACTAAATGACTAGTAGATTAAACGTTTTAAAGGCTGAACTATAATTCATTGTAAAGCTTAAAAATTAAAGGTTCAATTTTTAAAGATGAGTCAATAGTGTATAATTTATCAATAATAAACGTAATAATACGACCTGAAAATTAGTAAATACATTTTAATGACAATGAGTTACAGAAATAAAATATACATTGAAAGACTTAATGTATAATAATATTTGACAATAAGGGAATTTATAGATCAAACTTGTATAATATTCTGATCCCAATATAATTGTATTTATTATTTAACTAGTGAGATTTCTAAACTATATTAATGCTGGGGATGTTAGTTCCCCGAGAACTCGCTTGATAAATGTCTTTATTTTGGATTTTATTAATCGGCTTATCAGTTGACCTTGAGATCACATTTCCAACCAGGAAAAGCCTTTGCTGTGATTGATTACTGTGTTATTCTAGTGTGCTATTTTTGTGACTCTCCCAAGGACGTCTCTATGGTGTATAAATAAACGCGATTTGTGTGCTTGGATTCATTGTGTGCAGGCTGGGTGTTTGTAGAATACACTATCTACGCTATATCAAGACTTTTCGTTAGGTCTTTTGGGTCAAGGATCAGAGTAGCCTACCTGGACGCTGGTTCATTGTTTCGTTCTTGTTTATCGACTAACAGTTTCAAGCATACCTACCTAGTGAGGAGCATAACAATTAATTAGTTATAGAGCATGTACAAACAAAGACTAACAATATTACAAACAGTAGACTTTTTTTCTTCTACAATGATTTTAGAATTCAGGTAGGTTACTTTAAGTTTAGGTATCTACAGTTCAATACACTTCTTACATTTTGTAAGGAGATTTTAGATGGTTCTCTTTGAGAAGTAATTTTAAATACTGACAATATTAATGTTATTTTGAAGAGTCATAATAGAGATTTTATAACCGACCTTTTAAATAATGATGATAAAGTAACTAATATATAACAGTTTATTCAATATCTCATCAGATGAGTGAAGAGGACAAAAATAATCGAGTTAAACTCTGTGATTTAATTTCACAGAAACAATTAACAGTTCTTGGTGCATATTTGAAAAATGCCCTGTATCCAATAGAAGTCGTTCAATTACCTTGAGTTTTTAAACACAGTAACTAACAAAATCATTTTTTTAATTGAAATTATTCACAAACAATTAATTTAGTCAAACTGATATAATAGTATAGTGTAGAAAATTTTATCCAATTAGATGAATGCAAAAATGAAAGGAATAATTCATTAGGTATTAAAAATCAGACATATGCATTGATTGGTATTCATCATCAGTAATTATAACAATTATTATTGGTATATATTGGTTTATACCTAACAAGCATAACTTACAGTGGATTGAATCTTTTCAGTTGTTTTCGTCAAAAGAATATCAGCTTTACTCTTAACAGCATTCCATATAGATTCTTTAGTAATATTTGGTCGACGTACAAAGGTGATCAATCTTGCCATACGTGTACGATACATAGCAGCAACCTGAATGAATAAATGTAAAGTGAAGTTACTCGTGAATATAATAAAGAGCTAAAATGTAATTAAAACAGGATAATTTTTGTGATTTTTATTATTACGAGTGAAAAACAACTCAATTCGAATACTTCATTTCTATTTGAAGTACTGTGCTGATGATGTTGTTCAGAAGAACACTGAATGCTCTACAACTTAAATATCCAGCTCACAGAACGAAAACTCCACTACAATCAACCACCTGAGCATTTAATGAGGATAATTTATGTCTCCAGAGATGCTTCACTTCCACATCGGAAATAAGTTGTCAGAAATCAACCCTAAAAGCTTTCTTTTTGTAGTGTTTACCTAACTTTATACTAACAGAAACGGTTACAGTTAATTTTTGATGTGATTCACCAAGTGTAGATCCGTGTACCCTGCTTCATATCACACACTTTATATGAGAGGGATAGTGCTGCTGCTTAGCTACTTGGACTGAGGCAGGTGAATATGTATAAAAATACGCAACCTGACGTTGGAAATCGAATGCCTTAACCACAAAGAAACTTCGCTACAAGATAATCATTACAAAAAGCTTCCTGTCATCCTTTAAAAAGTCAGAAAATAAGGCATAACGGTCGTCGCTGCTAATCTACAGTTACCCACTGTTAACAAATAGTCTGAATAGGTCAATGTAAGAATAGTTCTCAAAGAATTCGAAGAAGCTATAAATAAATTAGAGCGAAGAGCAGCATAAGGCCCTTAGCGGGTGACACTTGGTGTCTTGAATGATGGTAGTCTGACACCATCAGTTAAACTGACTAGTTTACGGAACATAATCTAAGAGCTAAAAGAAATTCCATCTTACTAATCCCAAAAGTTTACAGAAAAGATAAAACCATAAAGGAATCAGTTTGACTAACATAATGCCAAAAAATATTCGACTCTATAATCATTCAGTATCTAAATATGAGCTGACATTTATGATTATTATTTCTGAAGTGGTGCTCAATTAATTGTAAATCAAAGACGAAACTATCTTATACTGATTATCAAGATAGCGAAACTGTATACTAATGAAAGAATTTGAAATATTTATTATAACATATATGCACATTCAATTAATAATACTACTACTAGCCACAGTATTATCAATAATGAAGATACTATGAGCAAATGATTGTCGAATTCGAGAAAACTATTTTTATGGAATTTGTAAAAACTACCATCAGTTACATCACTGCGATTTTTTTTTACAGGAACTAATTTAGAGTGTTTAGTTTAACTGGTTATGTAGTGCCTCCACATTTATTTGCATTCGCTTACATTTAATTTAGTCAAGCCTTTCGATTAATTCATTTAACCAAGCCATTTGTATAACAATAACTTATAGGTACCATTGGCTTTTATTATTGTCTGATTTGTATGAGCTTATACGACTGAGGATTGCTTACCGCCTACGCGCATATTCACCCTATTCGCTTTAATGTTAATCTCTTAAATATCTCGATGATTCAGATATCTTCCTATGTATATATACGAACATTTTAATCTTATTAATTCATTCGCACATTCACTCGCTAGTGTGCCTGCCCGGTCTGCTATCCTATTTGTGGTGTTCCAAAATAAACGTATTCAATACTTCGAATTCACCTTCTGATTTATAAACCGTCAGACACTATTCAGTGACGATTGTCTGGACGAACTAATTACGAAGACTAAGAACACGTAGAAATTGGCCACCACAGTTAGAATAAATTCAATTATAACTAAGACAATTAAAATATGGTGGTATTTGAAAGTTTTAAAAAATAGACTGTATGATTACAACGTAAACCTAGAAAGTTACGACAGGTGAAAGACAAATGTGAACGCTGAACTCTTTACATAGGTTTTCATCTCTATTGCTTCAAATATGACATGCAGTCAGTATCGTTATTGTTATCATAATTATCATTACTAATAGTGACAATATAAAATAGCAGGAATACAATGCACAATGAGTGTAACTTGCAGGCTCAATATTTTTAAGATAGAGTTATTGTTACTCGAAACATAAATATGAATAAAAGGAATCATATGAACAGTAAAATATCAAACAAAACAATTGTTATTCAGAGAAGCTGTTAGAAATATTCTAACAATAAGAAAAGACAAGTAAACAAGCACACGTCCAACAAATAATGGATATCAGTGATCCACCGACTGTTCGATTGCTGTCAACCGGTTCAAACTATTATTATTATTATTATTTTCCATTAGAGTTATGGAGATTAATGTTTCTTGCACATTCAAATCATCAATTAATAATTATTGTTAGACTACAATTAGAAACCTGGGAGCACTGGACGGCCGTTTCGTCCTGGTATAGGACTCATCAACAGGGAGCATCCACAACTCTTGCACCTGACACGATTATTATTATTATACACAATGATTGATTGTGTTATCATGTATAATACTAGTAGAAAAACATCATAACTACTTATTTTTAATAATACAGAAATATATGATCATTTACAAGGAATATTAAAAATCAATCAACGGGAAGGGGACATTTCTCACTTCAATGATAGTTTAGTGAATAAAAGCTTTGTGTGTTTAACTAGAAAATACTTTTCACAAGAAAAGTTCAGAAGCATGTTTCCATTTAGTTAGCCTTAAAAAAACACTATATACTGAGAAGCTTACAATATTCCATCTGCGTTTAATCATTTATGTACAAATGATTAGTCTATCTTTTTAGTCTAACATTAGTTAGCATATATGACATTTTTCTATACCTTTCTTATGTACAAATGATAATATACAGGCAGTTTATAACTTTGTATATATCTGGTAGCTAATTCAACTACTTTGTGATAGTTGATTAAAATTGCTAATTTTTATGCATACATACAAATAAACATAACTTGTTTGTAATTGATTACTGATGATTGTAAAGTAGATGACTGGTGGTTACATATATTTTGCTGATGTCTTTACTAACTACTGTTAGTATAACAGTGAATCTTGTTTCTATCAATTCGTATTGAACTATAACGCCTAAACGTGATCATTTTTGTTTACATGATTTAATAAGTGCTATTTTGTTGAATCGAAATTAATAATTGTAATAAACTGCTACAAACAGCCGCCTTACAAAATGTCTATTAAATCATAATCTTATAAATACTTTAACTTAAAAGAGTGATTGAATTTAGTATTATGCGAATTTGGCTTTAAGAAGACATAATGAATTACTGAGCTGGAAACTATGATCAGTAACTGGAGATTGTAAAGTGAATTCTTGGTTTAAAACAAAATATTTCCTGGGAATGATAGAGTTGTGTTTACATAAGTAATCGTGTTTTTCGTGGTATAAAGAAATGCATCCGCCTTATCGCAAGAGAGTCATTTGGAGATAGTAAGTTTTAGATTTTGGTGCGAAATTTATTTATTCAAATGATTATATAACATTTCGACATTATAGCTGATTTCATTTCATAACCCCCACCCCCCAACTCTAATTCCTAACGTTTTTATCCAGCTTTTAATCCTATTCTTAATTCTTCAGATGACTTTATAACCCTCTTTTAACCCTAGTGAAGTGAATATTCTCAAGGTCACCCAAAGGTCGTCTATGAACTGTAAGCTCATAGAAATTTTTAGCTCATCTCACACTTAAACTAATTTTTTGGCAAACTATCTGAAACGTATTACAGTGACCATACAATACCTCTCGATTAACAGAAATCAGTCAGTCAGTCAGATGCAACGTAGAACTTCGTACGTAAGTACATCAGTTCATGTTGCCATACCACATCAGCACAGAGAAGTATTCGTCAATTCAAATCCAATAGTAGAATAGGTAGTAAAGGTATCAGAAGTAATCGGAGAGGTTAGGATGAGAAGATATTCAAGAAATATGATTCAGTGAGAAAAGTATAGAAAGTCAAAACTAGAGGGGTTGAAGAATCCAGAAGATTAGGATTTGAGAGAACACAAAGAATAAATGCACCTGCGCCATTGCAAACGGTTTTCAGCCATGTCATTCAAGGTCTCTAACCATCGATTATTATCATCTCGCGGACCCCAACCAGATAGTCAACAACTCCCGACATGGCTCAGTCCACTTGTCAATGACTTCATGGATTTCTGCCATGTTTTGGTTTGGCCGCCCCTAACTTTCTTCCAACCTATTCCTACACTACAAAACAAAGCTCGTCGAGGCAGTCGGTGGTTAGGCATACGCAAGACATGTCCCAACCACTTCAACTGATGAAGTTTCAGCACTTCATCTATTGATCTGCCATTCTTACCTAGCACCCGTTTCCTAATAACAGCGTTGCTCACTCGGGTGCCCCAGGATATACGAGCAATGCTTCGAAGACATCTATGATCGAAAACCATTAACCTACGAATATCCTCTACTCTGACTGGCCATGTTTCACAGCCATAAAGTAAGACGGAGCGAACCACTGCGCAGTACACGTCCCTTAGTCGGCAAACGGATATCTCGCCTACGCCATAAGTGACGCAGCTTGGCAAAAGCCAATCGAGCCTTCTGTATTCGAGCTGAGATTTTATCAGTCACCAGGCCATCAGCACTGATGAGACTCCCAAGATAAGTGAAGTGGTCTACACGCTCGAATACTTCACTCCTTATCACTAGTTCAGGTACCGATGCAACCCAATCTTGAAGCAACATTTTGCATTTCGAGGGGGAAAACCGCATCCCGAACATGCTTGCATTGTTGCTTAGGGTGGCCAGAAGACTCTGCACTTTGTCAGCGTCTTCACTGAGTAGGACTATGTCATCGGCATACTCTAAGTCAATAAGCGAGCCACCTGGTAGAACGTCTACTCCTGAAAAGTTATATCTAGCAGCATGTCTATGACAAAACTAAACAAGAATGGAGAGAGTGGACATCCCTGACGGACCCCACTTGGAGAAAAGAATTCCGATGACAGTTCGCCATAAGCCCTCACTCGACCAGTGGTGTTCGAGTAGAGAGATTGTATGAGGTTAATGTACTTCTTTGGTACACCTTTCAATGACAGACACTACCACAGAACCTCACGGTCCACTGAGTCGAATGCCGCCTTAAGGTCCAGGAAAACAACTATTTTAGGACGGATTGACAGAAATAGGGTAATTCCGATTAACAAATGTTAACCAAGGTCAGGGTATAAACTCTAATTGTAAACTAGATGTGTTTACTTATGGTGACAAACAATATAGGTTTTATTTCCAGAGGATTATCAGTTACTTTACTGATACGTGCGAATCAACATCAGTTGAGCGATTTCAGTTAGTATCCTACAGTTGTTCTACAGTTTCTTTATTAAATACAAAATGTAATGTAGTTTTGATCGTGTTGATTCGATAACATCAAGTCCTTTTATGTCGTTGTAATGAATCCAGATAAAATTTAAAAAGAATATAAAAACAGAACACTGGTCAATACAAAGTGAATACGTAGGGGACAAATCATATCAAAGCAATATAAATCACTTGAATAATCTGTTTTTTCATGCACTACACCACAAATTGAGACCGGTGGAACATTTCCTGTAAATGTTTTGTATGTACTACAAAATTTTTATTGGTCACGTAGGTTAATTATTTTACACTTAATAAAACCACAAACAAAGTGGATTAATCATTATATTTCCAAGTTGTTAAGTTTTGCACAACTTAAAGCTTCACCTTCTAACTGATTAAACAATGAAATAAATGTCGTCACTGGATATCAGTAATCCTAGGGAGACAATGATGATTAAACAGACATTTACCGAAAATCCTCAACTCAGAATGGCAAGGTTTTAGAAGAACAGTACAAAACTGCTCTCAACGACACGTTTTAGACCATACTTATTACAGCCGGAATAACTTCGTAACGACATTAAAAATTGTCTAGACTGGTTTAAATCGCTCTTTTTCTCGTTATACGTACAATGAAATTATAAATTATGCAACCACCAGCATATAAAACTAACCAGGTGCACGGACTTTTTGTACTACATCTAAGGGCTAACCGCAAATTTTGAGAGCTGACATGGACTCATGTCAGTCTTGTAAAAGTTCTGTGAACTTGAACAGTTGAAATTAAATGCCAAACTTGAAGACACTGATTAACAAGTGCAATTTTCATCACTTAAATATAATCGTACAGTAAGACAACATCATCCATATACTCAAGATCGAAAAGGTCTTCCTCCAGTTAACAGAACCACACCACTACCACCCATTTCCACAGCAACTGTTTCCAGAATGTCATCGATGGTCAGCTTGAAGAACAATGTTGACAGATGATAAACAAGGCGCAGTATTGGATGAAGCCGATGATGCGCTTATTCAAGGTTTTGGCTGATAAAATCGAAGCACAGATATATATACCTATGAGTTGTATCTACCTATATTCGGGCATTGATTACAAATTCCTGTTCATTTTTAGTTTTATTACATATGTAGTAGACTGAACTCGCGTACAGGTAGTGTGTATATTTGTGTCTAGTCGGACGACTGGAGAAATGAACACTTAATTAACCTTATCGTTATTGCATAGTAAGATAAGTACATTTTAAAAATGACATTATTTCACATTTTTAGTGTTCAATAACAATTATAGGTGAGTTTTAATCAATTTGTTTATATTTTGTCAATTAGATAGTAAAGATTGAATTAAAAGATATGTTATACGACATAGAAGAAAACATTAACTAATAAAACAATACATTGATTTTCAATTTCCCGTATGATTCGTTTTAACAAATTATTTAAATTTAAAAAAAACTCAGACAAACATACGAAACATTTCGGTAATATAGATATCATATAACTATTATATATACTGATAATAGGTAGTGGGATTATTGACAACAAACATTTATAGTTTCCAATACGTATATATACAACCCAACACGTTATTAAACGAAAATTTTAACACACTAATTAGAAGCCAATCGTAAAAATATATGTATATTGGTGGTAGCCCAGGTTTAGCAGTTAGATTGATTGAGATCTTAAGTAAAATCTGGGCAGTGGATGTAATCCCATCTGACTAGTCTCAATCACTGATTGTCCCGGTCTATGAGAGAAGACAAAAGTCATCTTATGACAATCACAGCGGAATCAGTTTATCTAATATACTGCCTAAAATATTAGCTTCAATACTACTTCGACGTCTAACTAGAGCGCGTGAAGAACAGACTCGAGAAAATCAGAGTGGTTTCACACCTGGTCGTGGATTTATAAACTGGATATTCACACTTCGATAGGTCCTAGAACATAGGCCATTAAAGGCGTACCAAACAATTACATTAAATCTATACAGGTTCTCTACTCGAATACTACTGACCAATTTAGGGCTTGTGGCGAACTGTCATCGGAATCGATTACTTCAAGTGGTGTGCGTCAGGGATGTCTACTTTTTCGATTTTTGTTAAACTTTATCGTTGATATGCTTGCGGATATGATACTTTCATCTGACTTTTCGAGCGTTGAACTTTCACCAGAAGATTCGCTCGTTGACTTAGAATATGCCGATGACAAGGTTCTGTTCGGTGAAGACGCTGACAAAATGCAGAGTCTTCTGACCACCTTAAGTATGAATGCGAGCATGTTTCGGGATGCGGCTTTTTCTCTCAAAATGTAAAATATTGCTTCACAATTGGTTTGCGTCGGCACCTGAACTAGTGATAGGGAGTGAAGTAGTTGAACGTGCTGATCGCCTCACTTATGTTGCGAGTCTCGTCAGTGCTGATGGCCAACTATCTGACGAAATCTCTGCACGGATACAGAAGGCTTAACTAGCTTTAACCAACTTGCGTCATTTATGGCGTAGGAGAAATATGTGTCTGCTACCAAAGGACGAGTCTGCTGCGCATCAGTTACCATTATCGCTAATACTTCTACTGCCTCTATGATTATGGGATTTGAATTGACAATTACATCTGTGTGCTAATGTGGTATGGCAATTTGAACTGATGTACGTACGTAAGAAGTTCGACGTTGTAACTGACTGACCGGTAGTAAATATTTATGAGAAAGATCCGATATTGCTATAAAAATTCAATAAGGTTAACGATTATCATGTAATCAGAATGTCTAGGATTAACATGCTTACCTTAAATAATAAATGTGTCATATTACTCTATATCAACTACAGAACGAAGCATATGATTGTAATTATTAATAGAAGAGCTTACTTTTGATTCTTTAAACAATGCATACTCTGCATTTGCACATAAATGATTTAATAATGCTTCATGTTCTGGGAATAATTTTTTCATTGCACTGATAAGCAACTGAAGTGTTTGGTCACGACACCGTCCAGTAATTCCGGCGACATTGCGATTATCTGGACTTAGAACTTCAGTTGTATTAGGAGCTGAAACCCATGGTGACTAAATGTAGACGAAAACAAGGTTACGTGAAGTGAATAAATAAACTGTAGTCAAAAATATGAGATGAACTATGGTCTAAAGTATCTTTTCCAATAGGTTGATCAAGTTGAGAATATTTATCAAATCAGATTATAGAGATGTTTCCATCTGTCAATCACAGAGCGAATATACTGAGCAGCCAGTCTACACTATATCACTCTCTGACCATGAAACAAGATTCATGAAAGTAGAAGACATGAGTGAACTGTGAATACTTAATATTAGATGAATTTGGATCACTTTTCACATATCGCAGAACGACCAAATGAGCAATGCTGAAGTTAAGGATAAGTTACTAAGAAAATATGGCAAATCAGTTGGTAAGTCTATGACCGAGATGGTTTGGACATCTATTACGTGTACCTAGTCACTATCGACAGTGATGTGCATTGATGTCTTAAGCAAGAGTAAGCTGAAAGAAAGCTAAGGACAACCAAAGTAAAATAAGGCATGAAATCACAGACTGTTTGGTTTCAATCGCTCTGATAATTACAGACTACCTGGTTACGGTCTGCTTGATTGTTGGAATCAGTGATTGTAGATGATCAGCAACACAACTCAGAAAAGATCACAACACAATAGAATGAATTTTTTCCTTTTTCTTTTACGGAATTTTGTTTGAAATTTGATGATATTTTATTTCTTTTTTTCCAGTGACTGGTATTCAAATTATATTCATTATGTTTAACTTTTTCTACCATCAATTCAATTCATTTTTTATGTATCTTTTTTAATCTCATCACTCTGCCTTAAAAAAGTGCAAGTTACTAGGTCTGATACACATCTACGCTATATCCTGCATTATGATTGATTGAATATTTGAATAGTTTGAGAGTGTGTAAATCATCACTGAGAAGTTTTGTTTTTTATGATTATTTTTTACATCAGAATATAAAGTTCACATAAACTTCAAATTCTCATGATAAATTACATTTATAGAATTAATTTCACAATAAAAATGATTACGGTCTTGGTCATATTAGCACTTGCATTATTCCATTAGATAATTCTTATCCAATAGATCAATGGATAACAATATTCATATCATGCTATCGAAATAAATTTATTAAAGATGGTATAAATGTTAATGCTAGCAAACATTTTAACTAATCACTTAAGTAAAGCCATGGAATTTCACTAACTTGCATAGGTTTATCTGTATTCCGTCGACGTTTATTAAATTCACTTGTGATTAACTTTTGCCTTTCTAATTTATCATACTCTTCACGTTGTTGATCAATTGAAAAATTTTCTGTATCATCATCACCTTCATTACCATCATACAACTTATCCATATCACCATTATTTTCAGTACTGTCATCATTCTGGTGACCAATTTTAGTAGCTAATAAATCAAAGTGAAAAATAAACATTCAGTGATGATTACTGATAATGTCAGAGTGCAGAATAAATTATTAATATACAGAATTAAAACAAATTGGGTTATCTGTATATTTTGGAACTATTTATGGTGTTTCACTGAATTTATTATCTAGCTTGATAGTGTCGCATATGAATGCAAATCGATAAAAAGTATGATGTTCAGTTCAATAAAACGACCAACTACAGCACGCACTGACCCTGGTTTCTGATTCTTAAAATTGCTTGATTAGCGAATACTAACCAGTCATTAAGACAAATAATCACACTCTGCAACCGATTACTGATAAAATTAAGAGAACAGCGATGATATTTGTGTGAGATATCGCAATTTTTCGTTGGTCACATTTGCAATTGTGATAATGTTGATCATATTATTAAGAACTAACAAAATCAATGGAGGAGTCTGAGAATTTTATGTTCGGTTTAATCAGAAAATGTATGGATTGATTCTGTAAAAACAAGCAAATAAAGCGAAACAACTAATTCTATCGTTCTAATATTGAATGACAACGCAACTGATGTTAATTTGCTAGATGTTTGCAGTTACCTAGTGAAGTTGTGACACAAAGTTTTGTAGAAATAGACGCATAAAAAGCGTAACCTATTTATCAACATTTATCAAGTAGTGACATCGTGGTGCGCGCTACTTATAAGTAGTATATGACGCGAGTAAAAACGTAATGTCTGGCAGCAGAAGATGGGGGAAGATCAAGAAAGGAAGAGCAGGAATACAATGGGATTTGTATGAAACGCATGATCAGTGAAATGTCAGACAATGGATTGATGTTTTGCAACAGGAACAGTCCAGTTCGATATGATGGATTGATATTTTGCAAATTAAAGATTTACGATATGGTTTCCTATTTTACCAATTAACTCTGTAATTTGAGTTAAATACAATTCGGTTGCCCTCACCTATGTTCTCCTTCACTACAACATTACTATCCTTAACACCTTCTAGGATTGTATATGGACGCTCAGTTTTAAAATTTTTAAAGCGGTTTAAATACACCAATCATATTCAACTCAAATTAAAAATGAATACTTACTAAATTCAAGAGCACGAAATAATGCCAAATTCATAGATACTTGTGATGCACTGACACAAACATCACAATGATTCCCACATGGAGATTGCTCATCTTTGAAATAAATTCCAATTTGTTGATGTCTACAGCTTTAATTAAATATGTAAATAGGAAATCAACTAAATATTGATGAACTAAATAGGAAAAGAATGAGATTCTAGTCAGTAGTTTGGACACTTACTCCATTTAGACAGATCTAAATGCGAACAATAGTGTCAGCCCTAAGTAGTTATAATTCTCTGAATCCAGTCTAATCTTAACAGGATGATAGTCAGTGCACTAATGAAACACATTTTTACATATCTTTTGTTTACGATTGATATTCAGTTGACGCCGTTTGCTGAAAGATTTGTTAATGAAGTATTTATCTGATGTGTACTTGATATTCATACTGTTTAATTTTAAAATATTTTGCATTCGATTCCTCTACTGCCTAATGGACATTCACTTAAACAATTAGTTCGTTCACTTCAGTCCTTTCGACTAATATATATATATATATATATATATATATATATACACGATACACATCGCGGCAAGAATGCCACGGTATTATTTCCCTGTAACCAGAGCTGAATACAACAGAATCAAATGTAACAAAGCAGTATTTTTCGCACTAACGTTGCGGATACGCCTTACTCATCAGTGTTAACAGGTATAAACGTCCGTTCAGTCTGTCTTCGTTTGTGTCCGACAAGAAAGACGGCCACATCACCAGATTCCTTGAAGCAATGAAATGTCCTTATATCCTATTAAAACTGTAAAATAGTTGAATATACTTTCAATGACATTTTGAACTGATTAGTGTTAGATCATTATGCTTTTAATGAAACTCAACAATCTCTACAACACTTTTCTTCTGACAAAACGATGACTTTTGATTTTAACCAGGTGGTAATTCAAACGTCATCATGTTGCATATGTAAAAGTGTGGAAAATATATGACTGGAGAACAAATTAACTGATAAACCGAATTATCCACTTCTAACAATAATTTAAGTAATACTAACTCGTGATTACTGAAGTGATAAATAAACAGATAATTAGGAGCAACGTATAACAGTCAACAAAACAACAGAAGGGAAATTAACTGAACTCACTTTGCCGACTCAACATATTTTACCATGGTATTAATATCATTTTTTCGACATTGATTGTTATCAAGTGACTTTTTAGAACCACTCTAAAAATAATATATAATAAAAATTATTTACTTACGTTTGGTTCTTGGTTTGTTAGAAAAACTACAGTATCACGTTCTTTCTTAAAATAATAAATCCGACAAGAAGCTTGCAATCCATCTCTTCCAGCTCTGCCTGATTCCTGATAGTAGGCGGCCAAACTTTTAGGAAGAGTCCAGTGAAGGACGAACCTTCGAATATCAAAAATATCTCAGGATAAAGAAAACTGACAGGTATTTTAAAAACTTTCAAATGTACAAAACAAAGATTTTTGTACCTAATATGTGACATGTTACTACTCAAAAAAATGTCAAACAATTTAAGACTTTGACAGCGCTTTATATGCTTAAAACTTCCAACAGGTATAATTGGTGCTGAGAAAACAACTGTGATGAAATCCTATTATTTTTCAACGTACATTGGACTGAACTGATAAATATATATATATATATATATATATATATATATATATATATATACCAAGGTATTATTGAAGCTAATATTTTACACACTACATTAGGTGAGCTGGTTCCTCTGTGATTTTAACATGACAATTTCGTTTTCTTTTAGGCAGGGACAATAAGTGATTTAGGCCATTCAGTCAGTCAGTCAGTTGCAACGTAGAACTTCGTACGTGAGTACATCAGTTCATGTCGCCATACCACATCAGCACAGAGATGTAACTGTCAATTCAAATCCAATAGTAGAAGAGGTAGTAAAGGTGTTAGAAGTATTCGGAGAGGTTAGGATTAGAAGATATTATTCAAGAAGTATGATTCAGTCAGAAAAGTTTAGAAAGTCAAAACTGGAGGTGTTGAAGAATCCAGAAGATTAGGATTTGAGAGAACACAAAGAATAAATGCACCTGCGCCATTGCAAACGGTTTTCAGCCATGTCATTCAGAATATCTAACTATCGATTATTATCATCTCGCGGACCCCAACCAGGTAGTCGACAACAACCGACATGGCTAAGTCCACTTGTCAATGACTTCATGGATTTCTGCCATGTTTTTGTTTGGCCACCCTTAACTTTCTTCCAACCTATTCCTACACTACAAAACAAAGTTCGACGAGGTAGTCGGTGGTTAGGCATATGCAGCACATGTCCCAACCACCTCAAATTATGAAGTTTCATTACTTCATCTATTGATCTGCCATTCTTACCTAGCACCCGATTCCTAATAACAGCGTTGCTCACTCGGGTGGCCATTCAGATGGGGTTAAATACAGTTTGCAGATTCTAGCTAAGATCTCAGTCAATTTCACTTATAAAACTGGACCACCATTCTTAGAATTTTAAAGGGTCAATGTATCAGGACCTGCTGCATTCCCTCGCTTTAGATTGCCTATGGTCATTTCAATCTCCCTAAGAGTTGGAGGACTTACATCTACTTGCCATTCAGGTTGACTGGACATCGTGGGTAACCAAAGTGTGGCTGAAGGCCAGATGAACTGCTCCCTAAAGTTCTCTGTCCATTGATCCAATCTTATGGATTGAGAACGAATAATAATCCAATCCTTTTCGAGTAGTCGTATTTCTTATACCGGTCTCCTTGATAAGTTTGAGTAGTTCTCGAAATATTCTCTTAGCTTTTAAGCGTTAAGTAGAACTTTAAGAGATTTCCTTGCTGTATTTCCTCTGTCCAGTAAGCCGCAGACAAACGCGTGCTCTTACTAGATCATAATACGAGTCTAAACACGTGCTCCAGAACGAGCTGCAATTTACTATCGAGCCTCTAAATGGGGGGGCTGACAGCAATGTATTCTACCAGCCAGTATGGCCCGGTTGGGTCATTACGATAGGTAATACCTTCCATTTTGTCAAGGTAGCAGCTACGGCTGGGCCTTATTAAGTCAGACAAACTAAAAATATACTTCCACTTACTCGCTAACATTCATTACTTAAATTAATCACTATATAGGATGGTATCGCTTACGGTTCCCCAAATTTTGTGTTAAGTGATAAATCTTGAAACAAGGATCATAAAGATATCAATCAAAATCTCATGCTTATTTAAAAATCGTTTCCGTTTTAATTTATCTTGTTACAGTAAACTGAAGAAGACTACTAGTATTAGGACAATCATATGACGTCAGTTCATGAAATTAATGACCACCGCATATAAATTTGAAGGCTTTACGAGTAATATCTGAGAGCCAATCGTAGGTGATAACTAAAGACTTAAGATGTATCTCCTAATCATGTCGAAAGAATACACAAGGGAATTCTTTTTTGTCTTCTTTTGAATAGAGCGCTGAAAACCATTTATATTCTGATATCGTTTGACCCCTAAATCACAATCTGTCCGGAATATGCCATCTTTACACATAATTTATGAGAAAATCACCATTACTAAAGATGGGTTTCTGCCACAACTAATTATTCTGTGTAAACTCTGCATACGGACTTTCAATACATTTTTACTTGCGTTTTCGGCAAATGCACAGTCCATAAACCCTAATCACTGCAACTGATACGTAATCGACCGTTAAAAGTGCATGATTGATTTATAAACCCCAACCGTCATTCAAAAATTTCATTTAATACTAAGATAGTCTTTTAAATCTAGTTGACAAAGGGCAGAAGACTATAGAAACATTTTCGGCAACTAAATCTAAGTCGAGGTTACAGATATTAGTGGAGAAAACGAACGTATTATTTTCCTTTAGATCTTTGCTACTTTTAGGATAAAAATTTTTACTTTCCTTTCTTTTCATTGATTTATTTTTGAGGAATTCGGGTTAGTATAAACTTCTTCAGTTGATAAGTTGCGTTTCGTTTGAAAACCACAACGGAATTTGGTTGAACTACTAATAAAGTTTGTATATATATATGGGAATTAACTTTGGTTAAAGTTACAATTGCAAAACATTACATACAACCTAAATGACTGTATTCTGAAGTGTGATAAGTTTTCATTCTATCCAGGTTAATTTAATTCAATTCATGCGTCAGTGAAAGTTATTAAATAAGAAAACTAGAGTAACATTTCCTTAAAGATTTCCAAAATATGAATATCAAAGTAAAAACTGACCTCACATTTGCTTTATCCACCCCCATTCCAAAACTTATGGTTGCAACTACGATGGGATACAAACCAGAAGACCACCCCGTTTGAACGTCTTCTCGTTCAGATTTAGATAACCCTGCGTGGTAGGCACGTGAAGACAAACCAAGCGATGTAAGCTTTTCAGCCAATGACTCACAATCAGTACGCGTTCGACAGTAAACGATACCGCATCCAAGTTTTGTCTAATTGTAGCGAACAATAATAAACTTTAAACAAGGGGCTTACCCAGTCACATTTCTGAGACCTGTCCCAACCAATATTTTCGGCAGCAAACTGCAAGATATCTGAATATACATCATCCACTAAGTCAGCAAACACAACGTCATAGTAAAGATTTGGTCGAAAGACACTGCATTTAAACTCCTCTAGGTTTCCAGAGAAACCAAGCGAGCTTATAGAAGAGTAACCTGATAGTTCACCAAGTCCTAAACACTTAATGATATCCTCACGAACTCGAGGCGTAGCAGTAGCAGTAAGTGCTATACATGGTACCGCTGGGAACAATTTACGGCGAATCTTCCCCAAAGCAAGATAAGCAGGTCTAAAATCATGTCCCCATTCTGATACACAATGTGCTTCGTCCACAACAAAATAGCTTAAACATGACTTTTCGTATAACTGACTGATAAGGGAAGAAGAGAAAGGTGTTTGGAGTTGTTCAGGGGTTATGTACAGAAGCTTGAGATATGTTTTTGAACCCAACGGCGTGCTCATCAACTGATGAAACAATTTGCGTCTTTGCGTATCTGCTGTCCTGGAGTTAATAGTTTCTGCTTGTATGTGAAGCTTTTTTAAGTGAGATATTTGGTCACTTATAAGGGCAAGGAGAGGTGAGACTATGAGGGCAACACCAGGATGCAAGACAGATGGAAGCTGGAAGCACAGTGACTTTCCAGAGCCCGTTGGCATCGAAATAAACACATCATTCTTCCCTAAAAATATCAAGTTATATAATATAAGCTTACTCTTAAATACAGAAAGTGTTGCTTGTTCTTGCAATTTGGACTTGAAGTTTTTTAGTTTGAAAATTTCATTGAGTGCTACGTACACATCATCTTGGTTAGATCTTGCCATTGCATAAACCACTAGGCAATCTCACAACATGATTGCAACAGCTGTAGTAACGTCCCATCCAAATTTAGCGGATGAACGTTAAACTGCTCTAATCCAATATCCAATATCTTTTTCACGAGCTAGTGTAAACCAATTTGATTTCTTCGCGCTCGATTCTTGTTCATTCGGTACGGTTCCAGGTGTTCGGTAGTGTCCAATGAATGGGGTTCTAGCCACTCATATGTCTAATTCTAGTCAGTTCGCAGTTGGTCATGAGTTTGTATGTCCCGTGATTTGAAAGAAAACGTTTGTTTCAGGGCAGTAGGGTTTCTGGATACCAGCAGCTATCACATTAACAGACCGGAGACCAGTTAGTTGCAATGTGGAGAGTGATAAGGATAATAAGGATAAAATTCTAATGCTAATATGAATAAAATTTCAGAACTACGTAATATATAGATGATTTAGTTTATTAATTGCTAGTGTAGATTGTGAAAGATGACCGAAGTGTAAGCAAAAGAGAGGAAACAGAGATAATAGGTGAGACAGATTAGGTCAGTGATCTGAGGAGATTGCAATGGTAACAACTAGCAGGTCTCAAGATATACCTCATGAACAGCTTGTCGAGGGAGATGATAATCCGTGAGTACGTGATTATCAGTCTCAGTGTCAGTTTGGTAAGAACAAGAGGCTGAGCGGACTACAAAAGTCTTTGCGATTTTGATTACAGTAGGCTGATGGCAGTTCTCGACCAAAGCGGTATATCTCATTTCCGCGGGAGCAAGACGTCATAAGGAAAATTCGAGAGGTTGCCAACTTCCGGAGATGTTCTTTTGTATAACGAGTCTCATAGCGAAATCCGATGAATCGACCGGGTCAAGATGGCTGAGGACTGTAGATTGAGTCAAAGCTGTCTCGATCCTTGAAAATGCAAGACATTCAGCATCGTTCTATTCTAATTTGCGCGGATTACCGCAAAGTAAGTCGGTTTATGGTCGTAACCGTTCTGCCGCACATGGTATGAAACGTCGGTAACTGCCCAGACCGAAAAATGCCTTCATTATTTTCACTGTGGACTTTACGGTGTACTCCACGTATTTTGTCCTCACAAATTAAGATACCATTTTACTGAATAATGTGTCCCAAGAATTTTATTCCCGATTTGCCAAGTTCGCACCTGTTCGGTTGACTTTTATTCCATTATCCGAAAGGAGTTGGAATCAAAGTGTTAAATGCTGCCAATGTTCATCTACGTTTGATGATGCTAGTAGCCGGTTATCAATATAGACATGAACAAAATCTAAGTCTAATACTATGCTATCAACTCCGCCAGTAGAACCTTAGGGGCTACTGTCGGTCCCAAGCCCGGATAAAGGAGGAGGGTTGGACATGGGGTTGGCGGCCCCATTCCGATGAAATCTAACTTGCCAAAAAAACGCTAACCAGAAAAAATAATTCAAACCATTTTAACTCTGCCCTGGCAGTTGGAAGAAGAATTATGACGTCTCGTGATGAAAGCCGAGTCCCCTCGGAAGTCACGGGGCCGATGCCTCTTCTGACAACCAGAGCAACCATTTTTTTAGGTACATGGAACGTTCGTACATTGTGGGAGACTGGAAGACTATTTCAAGTTGCGGCAGAAATGAAAAGATACAACCTCGAGGTGCTCGGCATCAGTGAAACACATTGGACACAGGTAGGACAACTGAGACTTGCTTCAGGGGAACTGCTGTTATACTCTGATCATGAAGAGGAAAACGCTTCACATACACAAGGAGTTGCACTGACGCTGTCCAAACATGCACAAAAGGCACTGATAGGATGGGAATCTCATGGACCCAGGATCATTAAAGCATCCTTCAAAACAAGGAAACAGGACATTACAATGAACGTCATCCAATGTTATGCACCGACCAATGACTACAATGACGACGTTAAAGATCAATTCTACGAAAGGCTGCAGTCAATCGTCGATAAATGTTCACCAAAGGATTTGACGATTCTTATGGGAGACCTGAATGCCAAGGTTGGAATGGACAACACTGGATATGAAGACATCATGGGACGACATGGACTGGGAGAAAGGAACGAAAACGGTGAGAGATTTGCAAACCTATGTGCCTTCAACAAACTGGTCATCGGTGGCACAATATTCCCGCACAAACGCATTCACAAAGCCACATGGATTTCACCGGACCACACTACTCAAAACCAAATTGACTATATCTGTATCAACAAAAAGTTCAGAAGGACGATGGAGGATGTGAGAACCAAGAGAGGAGCTGATATAGCTTCAGATCACCATTTGCTGATCGCCAAAATGAGATTGAAGCTAAAGAAGCACTGGACAGCGGGGCAGACAACATCACAGAAGTTTAATACGGCATTTCTTCGGGATACTCTAAAGCTAAACGAATTCAGGATAGCCCTCACCAATAGGTTCCAGGCCTTTCACAATCTACTCGATGGAGAGGACGCAACATTGGAGAACAATTGGATAGGGATTAAGGAGGCAATCACTTCAACATGTCACGAAGTTCTGGGTCACAAGAAGCACCATCACAAGGAATGGATCTCTGTTGGTACTCTTGAAAAAATTCAAGAAAGGAGGAACAAGAAGGCAGCAGTGAATGTCAGCCGAACAAGAGCAGAGAAAGTTAAGGCGCAAGCCGAGTATACAGAAGCAAACAGGGAAGTGAAGAAGAGCATCAGAGCTGACAAACGAAAATATGTGGATTATCTAGCAATGACGGCGGAAAAGGCTGCAAGAGAAGGAAACTTGAGACAATTGTACGAAACTACAAAGAAGCTCGCCGGAAACTATCGTAAACCAGAACGACCAGTGAAAAGCAAGGAAGGGAAAATAATCAGCAACACTGACGAACAGCGAAATAGGTGGGTGGAGCACTTTAAGGAACTCTTGAATCGACCAGCTCCACTGAACCAACCCAACATCGAAGCAGCATCCAAGGACCTCCCAATTAATATTGGTGCACCTACGATTGAGGAGATCAGTATAGCCATCAGACAAATCAAGAGCGGCAAAGCAGCAGGACCAGACAACATTCCAGCAGAGGCAATGAAAGCAGATGTGGAAGCAACTGCGAAAATATTTCACATTCTCTTCAAAAAGATTTGGGATGAGGAACAAGTACCATCAGATTGGAAAGAAGGATACCTCATCAAAATACCAAAGAAAGGCGATCTCAGCAAGTGTGAAAACTACAGAGGCATCACTCTTCTTTCAATACCAGGCAAAGTCTTCAACAGGGTATTGTTAAACAGAATGAAGGACTTCGTAGACGCCCAACTTCGAGATCAACAGGCTGGATTTCGTAAGGATCGATCATGTACTGACCAAATTGCTACATTACGGATCATTGTGGAACAATCAATTGAATGGAACTCACCACTCTACATCAACTTCATCGACTACGAGAAAGCATTCGATAGCGTGGATAGGAAAACACTGTGGAGGCTTCTTCGACACTACGGTGTGCCTGAGAAAATAGTCAACATCATACGGAATTCTTATGATGGATTCGACTGCAAAATCGTACACGGAGGTCAGCTGACAGACTCTTTTGACGTGAAGACCGGTGTCAGGCAAGGTTGCTTACTCTCACCCTTTCTCTTTCTCCTGGTCATCGACTGGATTATGAAGACGTCAACATCTGGAGGGAAGCACGGTATCAACTGGACAGTTAGGACGCAGCTGGACGATCTGGACTTCGCAGATGACCTGGCTCTTCTATCCCACACTCAACAACAAATGCAAGAGAAGACGACCAGTGTAGCAGCAGCCTCTGCAGCAGTAGGTCTCAACATACATAAAGGAAAAAGCAAAATTCTCCGATGCAACACAACATGCACCAACCGAATCACGCTTGATGGAGATACCTTGGAGGACGTTAACACCTTCACATATCTTGGCAGCATCATCGACAATCAAGGTGGATCGGACGCAGAGGTGAGGGCGCGGATTGGCAAAGCAAGGGCTGCATTTCTACAGTTGAAAAATATCTGGAACTCCAAACAACTTTCAAATAAAACCAAAATCAGGATCTTCAATACAAATGTCAAGACAGTTCTACTGTATGGAGCGGAAACATGGAGAACTACCAAAGCCATCATTCAGAAGATACAAGTGTTTATTAACAGTTGTCTACGCAAAATACTTCGTATTCGTTGGCCAGACACCATTAGCAACAACGAACTGTGGGAGAGAACAAGTCAGATTCCAATGGAGGAGGAAATCAGGAAGAAGCGGTGGAAATGGATAGGACATACACTACGAAAAGCACCCAACTGCGTCACTAGACAAGCCCTCACATGGGACCCTCAAGGCAAAAGGAAAAGAGGAAGGCCAAGGAACACACTACGCCGAGAAATAGAGAAAGATATGAGAGAAATGAACAAACATTGGACAGAACTGGAGAGGGAAGCCCAGGACAGAGTTGGTTGGAGAAAACTGGTGGGCGGCCTATACTCCATTGGGGGTAACAGGCGAAAGTAAGTAAGTAACTATCAATGTCACTGACATTAATGTTGTTTCCGATTTAACCTAAGTGTATAAATACGCATTATCTGTAAAATTTTGTGACCCGGACCTGGATCCCAAGTCCGGGATCCTGATTCTCTTCTGAACTCGGACCTCAAATTGACATGTTTATATGCATGCGTAACAGTTGGCGACGGGGATGGGATCACATTGATCCTTCGAGACTTGAATTATTACCCGAGCAGCAGCTGAACTAATGATGTTGGTGGATACCAAGCTGCATCGTGACACGACTTTGGTGGATCAAGTCAATCTGACGTTATGCAGTGCAACTGTCTACTAACTAATGCTTATGTGTCCCCTACTACACCTAGTCCACCTCACTTCAGCTCAGTCTGACAGTCGATCTAAAATAACTCGGTTTAAACAGCTAAAATTATCAGATGTCCCGTCAAGCACATAAGAAGCCAGACTGTTAAGAAGTACCCTAGACTGGTCCGACATCTTGTACCAATTCGTTGAGTATCTTCATGTCAAAGTCCAACCACAAGCTGATCAATGACAACGACAAACAACAGTCCAGATGCAAATAAAATCTCGAGTGTCGCTTCAATTTATTCAAAGCGAGGTGTTAAGATATTCATTAAATATCCTATGAGTCTAATTCTATTGGACAGTTCCTGCTGGTCAATATTATGGTCGTCCTAACCATCAATGCCACATACTTCAATGTTGTTTCCCATTAGTCGTCCAAACTATCAATGTCACTTACTTTAATGTTGTTTCCTACTCGATCTAACTATATAAATATGCATTATCTGTGAAGCTTATTATTCCTTCTGTACTCGACCCCATAAAGAACTTCATCTAACGGTGTTGTGTTATAATAAATTGGAGATTTGGGAACAGTAATGGGGGTCGTACTGTAATATCTGAATTTATTCAGTCGGTAGGAATTCGAATAGGTATATAGCGGATTATAAAACTAAAGCTCTTATTGTGGTGGCTTAAATGGTTTGCGCACTGAGTAAACACCGACAAAAATGAACTTGCATGCCTTCGAATATTGATAAAGTTGTGTGTGGCAAGTGCGCTTATGTGGAAACATTGGCTTAATCTGCTGCATAGTTTGTAACTAACGGCTTGCGAACGTTTTGGGTTCATTGTTGTTGTATCGTCGGAAACAATCAGCTTTCCAAGTAAAACCAAAGCCGTACCGTAGATTAGTTCAGGCAATTCGTAACCGATGTCTTTAATAAGAGCTAAGAGTATCCGCAAGAGGACAAGTTGTAACGCTTCACTCCATTTCGTCATGCCAGTCTAAGATATTGACGAGCTTCTGGGATTGTTGTGCAATATTTCTAGCACTACTCACCTAATAAAATAAGCTGGCGTTATTATACGTTTATAATTGGTTTAACATACTGTCTTCCCTAGCGCGGTACAAGCTGATTGTGTGGAAAGGGAGAAATATAATCCTGCGGGATGTACCAATGCAGGGACTAAAAATAAAGGTCAATATCAAGTTACTGAGTTGATCTAAATGAACAATGTACTTGGTTCGGTTATTAATCTTCCTATCAACGAATACTTGTATCATTCACATACTATGTAAATTTCTTACATGTCATGCATTTTCTTCGTAATTACGATTTTATTTTCAGCGTGAACCCTGAAATTAACTTTATCGACAAAATGATCCCAGTAGTTAAAATTTTTCATGTTATACATCTGGATAGAACTAGTGTTTGTAACAGACTATCTGATCTAATATAAGAACTATTTAACCTGATTACATCAGTTGCACTAAAGTGCCTTAAATTCTCGATCCCTTTTCTTTTTGAGACGGATACTCACAACTGTTTAGCACACAGTTATCTACTCGAACATACATTTTTACTTTACAGAATTAAAATTCATAAACTTACTTTGTTTTACCAGTCTTAGCTACTCACTGACAAATGACTATTCATGACGTTTTGTTAATTTCTGTGATGGATGTTAACGTGAATGAATACTTCACTCTGATCATTGAACACAAGCAACCGATCAAAAACTTATATCATCTAGCTTTGCTTAGAGATTCGAAGGTATAACCTGTTAAGTTATTGAGCCCTGAAAGAGTTTCATCTACATTAAGTTAATCTGTGAGTAGATCCGTATACGGTCGACATAAGTTTATGGGAGCTACGTCCTACAATAGATGAAAGAAAATTGCATTGCAAGGTAATTAGTTCGGTAACTAGCACCGACTATGATTAGATCAATAACATTGGAAGTACCGACCTAACCAACCAATATTTTAGGCAATCACACAAAACTTGCAATATTCCATTTACGAAGTGTAAGAATTGAATCCGTTTTACCACTTGTAACTTAACAATTTCATTCATTTCTCTGCCACTGACTGTAGATATTATATAACACATAGTTTCATAAACTCTTACAAGCTCATAATAACTTACCGCTTTTTTGTCAGCTCTTATGACTATTTTTCTACAATAAAACTTATCAAAATAGCACTAAGTATCATCTGATAGTTAATACATAAATAAATAATTCTTGAAACCATGAATCGATCAATGTTAGACCACCGTTAGAAACCTGGAAGCACTGGACGGCCGTTTCGTCCTGGTATGGGACTCCTCAGCAGTGCGCATCCACGACTCCTGCACCCCACAGGATTCGAACCCAGGACCTTCGGTATTGTGCGCGAACGCCCTAACCGATAGACCACTGAGCCGGTATCTAACGGTGTTAATGTCTAACTTGATCATATTCGTGGATGCGCACTGCTGAGGAGTCCCATACCAGGACGAAACGGCCGTCCAGTGCTTCCAGGTTTCTAACGGTGGTCTAACATTGATCGATTCATGGTTTCAAAAATGTGTAACTTAACAATCTTCACAACCCCGTAATGCAAATAAATAATTGACATAAGAAGCTAATAAATCTGTTTTCTGAAGTTGATTTTTACATAAAATCGATTATGCACAGTAATGCTCACGGCAAAAGGCAAGGGCAGTGTCACTCAAATAGCTCAGTTTAAAAGATATTGAGATTCAATACTGAACTAATTTATTTCCATAAAATGAGTTATGATGAGAGCTTCGTTCAACAGTAACTAACAAATAAAGAAGTTGTTCATAGTGTGTTCTTTTCCTCTTATTGGAGATGAATTTAAATTGTATAACGCACAATATACGATAACGCACTATATGTAAATATGATATGAATCCAATAATTTTAACTGAAAAATGTGATACGAATTCCTTAGTCTACACTTATTTTATGTTACAACAGCCTAGATATAATGATTTAGTCAGCAGTTAAAATCAGTCAAAAATTAACAACACATTTCAATAAATTTTAATTTTGTAAAGAAAACCATTAATCCGTCTTTCGGCTAAAATTAATCATATTGAATTATTCGTAGAAAAGGAACTATTAATATATATATATATATATATATATATATATATATATTAATATATAAGTTAAAAGAAACTTGATTGAGAAGCATTAAGCAAAAAAAAGAGTAAAGCTTAGGAGTAAAAGAAATCAAAACAAAAGATAAACTTTTCTGAATAATAAAAAATAAATAAATAACCAGAAATAAACATGTAGATAAATGATAAAAAGTAAGAAACAGTCGGCAAATTAGAACGTACAAAACAAAATGAAATTACAGAAAATAAATAACTACATAGAATTTTAAATGTTACGCTTTATTTAGGAATATGCAAGTAGAAAAGATACATTTATATATATATATATATATTGCGGATCTTATATGCTGTAGAACAGCTCAACTTTTCCCCTCATCATTCTAAGGGGTGTGATAGCCATGTAAAAGTGATTACAGCTTTAACAATACAATCAGACTGGGTACATTAAATGCGTATGCATTGAGACTAGATTTTAGAAAACAGAAATAACACATGAAAGAAAAAAACTTTTACGAAAGTGAAAAAATAGTAGCTGACAAAAAATTAAGGATGAAAAGATTAACCCACACACACACACACACAAACAAACACTGGTAAAGAAAGAAATCTGATTGTTTTTTTATACACACATTTCATTTTCTGATATTCTACTGATCTGGTGTGTGTTAGCAACATATTCATAAAAATAAATCAGAAAAATCAGAAGCGAAAGACACCTTAGGTGATCACTCATAAACTTTTTGTTAGCTACTTGTTAGCTGCTTGAATAGAAAATTATCAACGTATAATACACGTATAAGACAAGAATATTATTGACAATTGGACAATACAAAAAGCTTATTATTGTCCATCTAACATGCATGATAAACACATTTTGTGCAGATTCAAATATTTCAAAAATTAATTCAGTATACAAGTGTTAAATCGCAAAGATTTTTATAATAATCGAAGTACACAAATATCCCACCATACACATGTACAAACATATGAGAGCATATAGGTAATACATAAACACAATTGAATTGGTATGTGTAGTCATTCAATATGTATCATTCATTATTTTCTATTGCTTTACATTTTCAAAGATACGGTGAAGAAATCATTTGACATCACTTAACAATTTATATATGACTGAAAGATCCCTGTAGACGTAGATACTAAAAGAAAACAAAAACAAAAGAGAATTGTTAGAGCGAAGATTCAAAAAAAAGCTTTTAATTAATTATACTGAAATATTATGTAACATCGATGGGTTCTGCCTATCGCACTTTCGACAAACAAGAGGACTAATTTTTGTTCAAGAACTATGAAGCTCTAATTAAATAACACATTTACTGGGGTCGAAACAGCCGAGTGGCTAGTCCACAAAAATTGGATGATACTAAATACCTGAAATTGTTCGGTGACATCTAAGGCGAATGTAGATGAACATATCAGTTTCTCAACACAAACTGATCAGTTTGGAGATTTAAGAGTTTATCATGAAGAACTTGTTAGTTAAATCAAACTGTCTGACATGCATGTAAATTGGTAGTCGCATACCAAACAGAACAGAAGTCATATAGTATTACTTAGTATAGATTAGTGATTAAGACTTAAGCAATGCCAATTACGTTTGCAAACTTAAACTGTGATAAAACAATGCTGTGAATAAGTGAATATCAAATACGTCACATTGTTCTTGTGAACTAAAACTCATAACAGATATCTTTAACAGAAAAAAACAAGTTAAATCGAAGCTAAATTTCTAAAGGAGAAATTTGCTGAGTGTTATCAGATCGCAACGAGCAAATTAATAATCCAAAGCCTGTTCGTGATTTGATTAGATTCAGTATAAAAATAAGACATTCACTTTAAAGCACCATCGTTCTTGATACGGTTTACTGACAGAGTTACGTGTATACACATACATGAAATCATCCTATAACGGAATGAAATGGATGTCTAATGATTAGTTGGTTTTCGAACTAAAGCCAATCACTGATGCGAATCGCATCTAAATCCCTAAGTATTGAATACTAAACAGTGTAAAACCCCCGTATGCAAAGTACAGTCTATTAAACGTAATTACTCTAGATAAGTTGTTTACTATTTACTTCTCCGACTAATATTTAATAAATGACATAATAAAGAGAGTATGAGTGAATAAATTGCCTATATCAAGGACTTTCATTTAAATTCTATGCTAGTCAGTTTGTTCTGAAATAAATATACGCAAAATTATAAACAAGAAGTAAGGCATGTTTTCTTATCATTACCATTCATTTAGGTAATATGGATACATTATTTTTGTTAAATACGACAAGTACCTAGTATTCAACAAGTAATCTGTTTTGTTTTGTTTTGATATAAAATAACAAAGTTTCCCTCTTTTGATGAATTCATTAAGTCTATAAATGGTTTATCTGCCTAATGTAGACAATAATCGATGACATAGACTATACTGAACAAGAGTGATATGGACAAATTACAGTTTTATTTTCATCGGAAACATGAGTTTTTCACTGAAATTATTATAATACATAGAAACATTCACTTAATTGCTAAGTACAAGGAGTTATCTACCTAACTCTGAGTTAAATTGTTTGTGTGAGGCCTAGTGATGACATCCAACTGCCTTAACCAAATTAGATGGAGCACAGTGTAGGATTTAATTTGTCCTACAAATGTACTTCTAGAACTGCAAACGCAATATTGGCGAGCACATAGTCTGTGGGAAACCTATAGTCAAAACAAGACCAAATAGGTTTTAAACTTTATCTGTTTCTAATGGAAATGAATAAAACTATGAGTCACATCAATATAATAAGATAATAATGTCCTTTAATTAGTAGGTCATTTACAACAAAGAAAGTAAGTTTACAGACACGTCAGATCAGATCACGTGGTGAACGCTTAAACTACAATTAGTTATGGAAATAACTAACACACAGTTTAAATCTACCATTAATTCCCATATTCTATATTTGTTTGTAAATATTATTTACTTCTAAATATCACGAATAAAGATAGTATCGCACAATGACTGAGGTTCGTTCTGTTGTTATGATCTGAGAAGTTACAAAACCTGCTGTGGTCACAATATCATACAACGCCATGCAATATTGACAATGAGAGAACATATCATACAACCGGTGATCTCTTATTTCACACATAATCTTGTCATATTAGTCAATATGTACTACATACAATCTAATTTCATCATACAGTAAACAGAAATCATTATATTTGTAAGTGAATTAATCTTTCGACTTACTTGAATCACTAATGAAGGACCACCAGTTACAACTTCAACAGGAATTTGAGTTAATGGACAATTTTCAATGGACATCATTTGTAGACTACAACACATAGCTAATTCAGTTGGAAGATCGTGTAAATTCAAATTATTATTTAAATATAATGTTTCCAATTTATGTAAATCACCTGAAAAATTAAGAAATCAATATATATATACATGGAATAGAATAAGCGATAATCATAGTAGTATTAAGTACATTTGATTACATAAAATAATTGAACTTCAGTTCATGTTTTGATACACATTAGAGTTAAGATCTAATGTGGATTAGTTAAACACCATCGTCATAGAAAATAATAACACTGTATATAGAAACTAAACAAATTTACTAATAAGCTGAAAAGCTTACAGAGTGTAAACATCTATTCTCATTTCATATCTTGAACATTTTATGAAATGCGATGTAGATTTGTGTACCCAACTTTCAGTTAAACTGTCTATAAATTTGTTGATCTTACTAGTCGACAGTTTAAATAAGCAAAATAGATGAAGTGAAATGCAAGACATAGAATTTTTTTAAATAAGAATAGAATGATTTGATAACTATTTGGCAAATAATTTATAAATTAACGTGCTTAAATTATTTAGTATTTTCTTCTTTTCTCTTAAAATGATCCATTTTCAATATGAGATAGATTGGTAGGTTTACAATCAATCCAAGTAAGTATTGATTAACTGGTTAATTGACTTTTGTGCATTGATAATAAAATATAGTAAAGGTAAAAATGATTGTTCAGTGTAATATGTGGTTGATTCATACAAGTAATTGGAAGGCATTCATTTTTAATTAAAGTTAAAAGTTGTAATCATTTAGGATATTCTGACTATTGACACTTAAATCTAATATAACTACCACTAATTATTTCATAGTAAAAAAAATTAAAAAATGAATAATTGATACACAGTTTTTTTTCGATGGAACTATTAGCATTCAGTTAAACAATACACATTACACTGGAAGACCTATCAACGCATAAATGAAATAGGGCTAGACTAAGGAATTGACTAATCTATCAATTATAAGGTGATAACTTTTTGGAATAAGAATGGTTGATATAAACTTTGAATAGAGTTTAATTATGGGCTTAAGTTTTAAAAGACTAGGGTATCTACATTGCTTAGCCAGTGAATAGCAACTAATGTCATGTTTGTCCAGTTTTCAGTGAAGATCCAATTGTGTCAAGCAAGTTGTAATGTAGGTTATGCAGGTTCGAATTTCATAATCAACATCAGTTTCCTCAAGATTATAGATATACATTGCTGACGAGTGATAACTAGTAAGCAATCGTTGTCAACTACTTGAGGACTTATGGTAGCCAAAGTCTCACTAGTTTCGTGATGGTCGCTATCCAACGTTTTCTAAGACCTCGTAATTTCCTCGTCCAGACAATCGTCACTAAATAGAGCCTGACGGTTTATAAATCAGAAGGTGAATACGTAGTGTTCAATACGTTTATTTTAGCACACCACAAATGGACCAATAGACCACAAGCATACAGAGCACAGCATGCACGCCAGCGAGTAAGCGGGTCGGCGAATGAATTAATAAGATTAAAACGTACATACATATACATACGAAAATGGTTAAGCCATCGAAATACTTAAGAGGTAAACATTAAAGTGAGTAAGATGAATATTCGCGTATGCGGTAAGAAATGTTCAGACATAACAGCTCATACAAAGCACACAATAGTAAAAGGCAATGGTACATACAAGTTGTTGCTATACAAATGGCTTGGTTAATGAATAAGTTAATCGAAATGTCTCAACCAAATTAACTACGAGCGAACTCAAATGTATGTGGAGGCATTACAGACTAAATAATAATGACTATCACATGTAATAACTTTGCTTTAATTATCTGTTTTTAGTATGAATGAAATGATTTAATAACTTATATTTTAACAATTTTAACAAACAAACGAAAGTATAATTTTGTTAATTTTTGACTTAAACTATAGTTTTCATATTCAAGCATAGTGATAACATATCAACTATCAATAACACAACACTATCAAGAATGATGACTAATTGTTTAAAGTTTCAACATTCATTGATTTAGTAATCTATTTTCAGTATCATGTACAGAATCATTTGTTTATTTATTATGGAAATGAGCTGAAAACGATTAACATATGAACATGTATTATCTAAACATAATTTATTTTATTCAACTCTTATGTGATAATAGAAACTTTCAATCGAAGTGCCTCATTAGAAAATAGCTGGTTTACAACAGAGCTGATTAAATAAAAGACTGATAACTGAACGATCTTTCATCACTGAAGTAACTAAACGTATATTTTACCAATTCAACTGGATTAAAATGTAAGCATAAAATATTATAGGTTCCAATTGTGAAAATGAGAACAACATATATAAGCGAACAATATTGTTTTCGAATTAGATCATCATCAGGCTTTACTCTAATATACATGAATATTTAGAGCCTTTGCATTAATCAGTTGTCGACGGAGTGTAAAAGACGTTTTCGATTTCACTTCCAAAGTGGAAAATATGAATGTTAGCATGAAAAATATGATCTCACTGAATTTGGAATCTTTGTTTACGAACGTACCACTTCTCGAGACTATTGAGTTCAGATGCAAGCCAATATCGGAAAAACAAATCAACAATGGCTTGCCTGAAAAAAACGGCTCTTAAGATGTTTGACGAACGTCCAATTCGTCTTCAACAATACTTATTATAGACCAGTGATGTCTACCCAAACGAAGGATAAGTTGCCCGAGTTGGCCTCCTCTATGTGCATTTACAAATTCAAATGCTTCTTTGGAGATAGCTATATCGGGTGTACTACCAGGCAATTTAACCAACGAATGAGTGAATATCTCCTAGTATGGTTTATGAAGGGCCAGTTAAAAAGAATACGCAGTTCTACCTTGGTACATCTGGTTGATAGTGGTCATATTGTAGATAAATATGGATCGTTTTGAGTGATCTGTCGTATACCTTTATCATTTCCCAACGGAGTTCGATCGCGTCTCCTACACATAGCAGAAGCCATAGGAATTCGTACATTCAAAACCCAATTTATGTGTTCAGAAGAAATTCGTGACACCCCTATCCTTTCCGTGGCCAGATATCACTTAACCAAAATTTTTAATTTTATTTTGTTATTACTAGCATTATTTTCACATCCTGTATTTGTTTGTGATTTTCTGCTTCCTCCCGTTTATATTCTTCACTATCTAATTATGTACACACTTCTTATTACGTAATGGTTTTAATGTTTTGTAATGATTATTTTAAGTCTATTTATCAGCGTTTGACTTAGAATCCCCAAATGTTGAACTATCGATATCGTATTTTATTTTTCTTATACCTGTCTTCTTTCTATCAACTTTTACTTTTGCCTATTATGTGTAGTAGTGACATAATCTATTTCATTTCATTGTGATCATTGACTCGAATTGCCTTGATTGGTTAAACATTTTCATATCAATATTCATGTGTATTAGAGTAAAGCCTGATGACGATCCAATCGATAACAATATTGTTCTAATCATAAAATAGTTGACTGAATAATACATACTGAGAGTGTGATGGGAAGATTGAGTTAATGATTAAAGCTGTTATTTATTTGACAAAATAACCACCAAACAGGATAATTACTTCTTCAAAGAGTAATAACAACATTTTCTATTAAAAATGAAATTAACACTCGGATAAATAAGTTAGTCAATAAATTTTGTAATTTTAAAAAAAGTGTATATAATTAAATTAAAAACCAATCTAAAGTACACACTGAAATGTTTTCGGGTAATGAAACTCACCAATTTCATTCGGTATACTTTGAAGTTCATTTTCACCAACAGCTAAATAAATCAAATTATATAAACGACTAAAGAAGAAAAAAGAAGCAAAAAAAGAGAAAAAATTCAAAGAAATTTAGAAAACATGGATGTAATACAGATAGATATAAATAATTCATGATTAAATCATTAACAGAACAAGAAAATAAAATAACATTGAAATTTTTTTAAAAAAAATTCAAATAAAAAGATGAAACTGATTATCAATCAATCGTGCAACCTAATGAAATCAGAATATTAGTGCAATAATCTTTAAAGGAAAGAGAATGCACTAGAAGACTACTACTGCTACTACTACTGAATAAGCGATACTTTATTTAGGGCAAATATATTCATTATTAGTGAGTGTATTTAGATTTCGCGATTAAACACAATAATAATTCACTTGTTATAAGCATAAATAATTTCAGCATAGATAATAATACTAATAATAATGATGAAGTGATCAGAATAATGAAATGATGACAAATTGATTGTCAAACAAACTTTAAGCTTTCACATGCAGTCTTACGAAGAAAAATTGCGAATTCAAACACCTCGTAAAACCAGAACGACATGTTCAATAAATTTTGTGCAACGAACGGATGTCAAAGCATTGTATTATAATGACTTCTAGTCTAATTACCTTACTTATGTAAATCGATAAGGAAATTATTATCTGAAAAATTATTTCGCATAGTTTTGGTATAGTATCATTCAGAGAACTGAGTAGTTTAGTTGTGATGATATCATTTTTGCTCTACATTAAATTACCCACAAAAACTATCCACAAAACTATTCGAACTTCTTCACATATGTCTGACAGACTGCTATGTCGAACTTGATCATAAATGGTTGCTGTTGACTTTTGTCCAATCATTGTTAGCGTAGTTACTTCACAAATCATCCTCTTTGACATGATTTCTGACTTACAAGTTGGCACAGTTTCATGAACAACTGGAAACGAAAATCCAGGATAGAGGTGATTGGAGAGCCCTCCTAGTCGTCTGTGAGTTACAGGCGTGGGCAAACATTAATAATTTCATGAAGAAATTACACAGCCCAGAGAATGAAACATTATTAGAATCACCGATTTCAGTTGCTGGACTTCTCCATCATTGAAAATTGATATGAATAAAATGTTTTTGTAGCATTTTATCATAGAAATTTTAGGTTTACAATTAGTATATGTAATTAATTTATTTATTTATAATGCAAGATTTTTTTGAATTCTTACATACTTATTGTCTGTTACCCCCAATGGAGCATAGGACACCGACCAGTATCGTCTAATCTACTCTGTCTATGGTCTCCCTTTCCAGTTTTCGTTCATCCTTCTCATGTCTGTCTCCATTCCTCGGTGTAATGTGTTCCTTGGCGTTCCTCTTTTCCTTTTACATTGAGGGTTCCAAATGAGGACTTGTCCTGCCACGTAGTTGAGTATTTTCCTTAGTGTGTGGCCTATCCACTTCCAGCGCTTCTTCGTCATTTCTTACTCCACTGGAATCTGGTTTGTTCTCCCCCACAGTAGGTTGTTGCAATGGTGTCTGGCCAACAGATCTGAAGTATTTTGTGTAGAAAACTGTTAATTAAGACTTGTATCTTCTGAAAGATTGCTTTTGTAGTTTTTCAACTTTCCTACCCATACAATAGAATTGTCTTGGCCTTTATATTGGAAATCCTGATTTTGGTGTTTGTTGATAGATGTTTTGAGTTCCAGATATTTTCCAATAGCAGAAATTAAGCACTCGCTTTGTCGATCCGCATCTTCACATCGGCGTCGGATCCACCTTGATTGTTAATGATGCTTCCAAGATATGTAAAAGTGTTAACGTCCTTCAAGGCATCTCCATCAAGAGCGATATGGTTAGTGCATGTTGTGTTGTTTCGGAGAATCTTGCTTTTCCGTTTATGTATGTTGAGACCTGCTGCTACATTGGTCGTCTTCTCTTACATTTGTTGTTTCATGTGCGGTAGAAGAGCCAGATCCTCTGTGAAGTCCAGCTGCATCTCGGCTGTCCACTATATACCATGCTTCCTCCCAGATGTTAACGTCTTCATAATCCAGTCGATCAACAGGTGAAAGAGAAAGGACAGGAGTAAGCAGCAGTGTCTGACTTCTGTCTTCACCTCGAACGATTCAGTCAGCTGTCCTCCGTGCACGATTTCGCAGTTTAATCTATCATAAGAATTGCGTACGATGTTGACTATCTTCTCAGGCACACCGTAGTGTCGAAGAAGAAGAATTGAAAACTTGGGAGTGGAAAACTGTTTCGAATCGATTTAGGAATACATTTTCTTAGTGTGTACTTTAGTGGTTGCGTTGAATTCGGAGTAGGGTTGACCACTTTAGTGGCTCGTGATGACTCCGATATCTATGAACAGATAAATATGCTCTTAAATAAATCTTTCCTTCAGTTTCCGAATACCATACTTAAGCGAACCCCGTTTGTACGACGGCGGTACTAAGAAGCCAAATACAGATTCGGTTGGATGTATTTATTTCAGGCAATCGTTCGTGCATACAGACGCGATAAGCGAAGTAAACAGCACATAAGCCCTCCAATAGAAACAAGAAAGATATGACTGAATAATTGGTAAGGTCGGAAGACGTGTGAGTAACTCGAGAATGGATTAATTAATTTTTCCAAAGGCTAGGGCAAGCGCTGTGGGCTCGACATCAACATAAACACACTACAGTACCGTTAAACTACACATCTACTGAAAAATTAAATGTTTCATGGAAAATATAATATCACGAAACTGTTATGAAGTCTTAAGTGAGTAGTTAATAATTTTCTAATAGTGATAAATCGCAATAATTAAAGGTTTAGTCACATCGAGAATACGAACGACAAAATACCTGAAACTGAATGATCGACAGACAGTATCTCGAAATAATGCAATTCGGGAAAATAAACTACTCTATTTCAACTAAGTAGTCAAGATGTCTGTCGTAATAAGTGATAGATGTAAAGGGGTTCCGATTCGGTACTGGTTTGTGCTTATGAAAAGCAAATGTGTGTCTTAAACTGATTCAAAAAAGTTGTTCATTTTCTCAATTTTTCGAACATCTCCCAACCCTGAAGAAATAACTGGCTTCATAAACTAAACGAAAATTTTCGATTTCACAAAAAAGAAATCTAAATGAATGTTATATTATGCAAATCTTTATTATCTTTAGACATCACATTCGAATTATAAGGTCTTTATACTTCAATACAGTAAGCACACACCACAAACAAAATGTAATCAAAATCTTTGCTAACCAAATAATTCAGTTAGGTGAAACATACAATAAAAAAAGACAATAATTATAATTACCCGATTTCTCGAGGTAAACTAGTCAGTCTATTGGATTGAACCACTAGTCTTTGAAGTTCTCCTAGATAACCTGAAAACAATTAATAAATGGGAAAAATTTAAGAAATCACAATGAATCCAATAGCATTAGTGTATGCGGTTGGAAAAATAACACCTGACATGAAGATCATCTGTAGTTATGCATAAGTTAAATAGCAACAAGTGATAATTGATGTTTCGTTTCAAATTACTATATATATATATATATATATATATATATATATATATATATATATATATATATATATATATATATGTGTATTGAATCTCCTTATTGTAAGCATTCAACTTATTAAGATTATTAGTGTTATGCTCGTCACTAGGTATGCTTGAAACTGTTACGGGTTCACCTTAGTAGACAATGAACCAGAGTCCAGGTAGGCTACTCTGATCCCTTGACCCAAAAGACCTAACGAAAAGTCTTGATATAGCGTAGAAAGTGTATTCTACATGCACTCAGCAAGCACAATGAGTCCAATCGTACAAAGCGTGTTTATTTATACACCATAGAGACATCCTTGGGAGAGTCACAAAAATAGCACACTAAAATAACACAATAATCAATCACAGCCAAGGACTTTCCTGGTGGGAAATATGATCTCAGGGTCAACTGATCAGCCCATGAATAAAATTCAAAATAAAGAGTTTTGGGGGATCTAACATCCCCAACAATTAGACAAATTTGATTAATTTTACTTCTACAGTTAGTTGGATAAATTGTTCAGTAAACATACGTAGAAAAAAAAACTAAGTGATTAATGTATTGAATAAGTGTGAGTGCTTATTTGATATCTCAAAAAAGGAACATCATAACTTCATTGGTACAGCAGGGAATAATTGACTAACCATGTTTCTTTGACATGAGTGATATGTCCACATTAAATTATCATTGTTTCTATACCTAGTCTATTTTCGTGTTCAAATTCAATTAACTTATGAAGTGCATTTATTAATCATTCTAGTCAAGTATAGTTTATAATTACAGGATATGAATTACAATAGTAAACTATAACGAACAAACAATCTACTCTAATATAATATTAGGTGTCCTACTTAAATTCAAATATTTATCAAACACATTTACCTACTTTACTACAAACGAAAATTAAATTTTAATTAACACTAACTAGACAAGTGAGTAACATCACACAGTTACTTTGAAAGTGAGTTACTAACAAACTACTATGATTTATCAGTTGAGGGTTGTAGAGATGGTTGAGTTTGATTGCAATTATGAGTTAAGTACCGATATTAGTAAATGAATGAAACAGCTTTATCGAATCTCAGTCACATAAATTAGTTAGTAAATTATATATATATATATATATATATATATATATATATATATATATATATATTTAATAGACTAAGGTTTGCATAGAAGTATAAGTAAGCATTACTGAGAACTTATAACTAGAACGAAACAACTGCAGTTAACCAATGTCTAATAATAATTATACAAAACAGAAATCATTTAGCACCATTTCCCCAACACTCTTCCAAAAGAAATAGATTTGAACGATAACATGAATAAGGTGAAAAGGATTTTCATAGAGAAAAATTATTCCCGCAAGCAAACAGACAAATACAAAAAAAAAAAAACAATCACTTACCAATATCTGGTGGTAAACTTTCTAAGTGATTTTCTTCCAAATCTAGCACTTGTAGTTTTTGTAATTCACGAATAGTTACTGGAATTTGCTAGGGAAATGACCAAAGGGAAAAAAAGTTTAGAAAAAAAACCATTAGTAGGAGAAGTAGGAGGTAAATAAAAGAGGGAAGATAAAAATGATACGTCAGTGAAATAAAAACAGATTGAAAAAAAAAGAATCTTTCTCGAAAAAAATAGAATTTAAGATCACATGAAAGAAAAGCAAATAGGTTTGATGCAATCGTCATCATTAAATTAACTAACTAGACGTAAAACGACGAGGCAACTCGTCTTCCAAATTGTAATTTTATAATCATTTATAAATAAAAAACACAAAGCAAAGTAGTGTAATAAATAACCAACCATCAACAATTTCGAAAAGCACTTGTGATTAACAGAAAAAAAGACCGATGGAGAAAAGATGCTATAATAATGCAACATGACATCAGTACAAACAATTAACAACGGATAGATTGATGAGTGTTATAAAGACAGTAATTACTGCTTAAAGATTTCAAATAACCCTAGAAGACATGACTAAAATTTGATTACGATTCCTTTTGGATTTTGTCATGATACAGAGAGATATTTGACTTTATCGATCGTGAAGTGCTATGGCAGTGTTTGCCACTGAAAGGAATACTAGGGAAATACATAACCTTATACATGCTCTGTACTCGAACACTACTGTTTGAGTGTGTGTATGGCGAACTGTCATCGGAACCGATTACTTCAAATTATGTTCGTCACGGTTTTCCACTTTCTCCATTCTTGTCTAACTTTGACATTATCATGCTTTTAGATACGACACCTTCATCGTCCGACTTTTGAGGGATGAACCTTCTACCAGGAGACTCACTTGTTAACTTACAAAGTGCTGATGACATAGTTCTGTGCGCTGAAGACGCTGAGAAAATGCAGTCTTCTGACCACTTTAAGCAACAATACAACCAAGTTCAGGATGCGGTTTTCCGCCTGTCAAAATGCAAAATGTTCCTTCACAATTGGCCTGAATCGGCACCTGAACTAATGATAGGAAGTGGAGTAGTTGAGCGTGTTGACCGCTTCATTTATCTCCGAAGTTTCATCAGTATTGATGTCCTTGAGTGTGACGAAGTCTCAGCAAGGATAAAGAAGGCTCGATTAGCTTTCGCCAACTGGCGTCACTTATGGCATAGGTGAGATATGCATCTGCTAACCAAAGAACCAGTCTATTACTACTACTACTCTATGGGTGTGAAACATAGCCAGTAAATTAGAGGATATTCGTAAGTTGCTGGTTTTTGATCATAGGTGTCCCCTAAGCATTGCTCGTATATCCTGTGACAATCGAGTAAGCAATTCAGTTGTTAGGAAACGGGTACTAAGTAACGATGGCAAATCAATAGGTAAAGTAGTGGATGTTCATCAGTTGAGGTGCTGGGAACATGTGTTAGGTGTGCCCAACTTCGGATTGCTCCGACAAGCAATGTTTCGTGACGTAAGGTCGGCCAGATCAAAACATGGCACAAATCTATGAAGTCACTGACGGACCCATGTTTGTAGGTGTAAGCTACCTTGTTAGGGTCATCGAGACGATAGAAATCGATGGTTATAGACTCTGAATGACATTGCTCAAAATCGTTTGCATTGGCGCAGGTCTATCCATTTTTTGTCTTCTCTCAAATTTCAGTCCTCTGAATTTTTAAGTACTCTTATCTTTACCTCTAGTTTTTTACTTCAGACCTTGACCTTTCCGATTACTGCTCATACTTTTACTACATATACTACTACTGGATTTTAATCGACAATTGCGTCTCTGTGCTAATGTGTTATGGCAACTTGAACTGATGTATGTTATAACTTATTGAATGAATCAGAAAATTTCGGAAAATTCAGGTCACGGCACTTAAATAAAATTATACCAAATTTTCTAGACATAACATACACTTTCCAGGGTCCAAAATATGTTCACTATATTTTTTTTTGATAGTAGATGTGTATAAATAAATATAAATTTATAAAACTACATTAGTAAATGAAGGAATTTATATGGTCAAGGTCAACGGCTCATAAATCCACTGTCTCTGATTAGTCGAGAATTTCTTTTTCAAGTTATAATTCGAGATTCACATTGATCATTCTATTCTATTGATAAGAGGACATTGATCGAAACGAAAATCAATCTAGGGTTTGCAATGAATTTTCAATCGTCATATAAAAGTGATAGAAAATATATCTTTACTTCATTTTTTACTAACAAAATATATAAAGCTAGTCTGTTTCGTAGGTAATATACGTATGTGTGTATAAATGCATGATGAATGTTATCGCCAAAAAGGATGGTAGAAAGTAGAATGTTTTTTTTTGTTAAAGTAATAAAAAACTCTTTTCTCCATTTTAAGAAAACTTCACTTTTTTATGTAACATTAAAACCAAATTCTAAACAAAAAAATCATAATCAATAATAAAATATTGTTGTGTTTGGCACTGGTCCAAAACTGACCAATAACAAACACAGATTGCACTAAATTTGATTCGGACAACATTAAATCCCTATTTATAATTAATTTTGTTTTAAAATCATTTAGAACTTTAATGTGAACGATATGAAAAGTTTTTAAGTAAGCATTTACATCCTAAAGTGAAAAAGTAACAAGTTACAAAAGTGAAATTTTCACACTCAGTATTGATTTGTGTTGTGGCTTCACAGCAGCCAATAAATTTCTTTACAAAATCAAACTAATCGTAGTTAAACTAAGGAAAATGAAAGTGGACTAAACAGATATTTAATCTTGATATGCAACTATTCAAAATGTTGCAGAAATGACTATGTATCAGGAATCGAACTCAAAACCGTCGGGAACGTTAGATCACTAAATCCGAGAAATACAGTGGTATACAAATTCAAATCCGATAATGAAAATGATAATAATAATAATTATTATTATATTCTATTTGTGAATGTGGGTTTACATAGTCTACCATCTGAAATAATAACAAACATTGAGAAAAATTACTAGACAATTTCTTAATCACAAAACTGATTTTATTTGCTATTATTCATTTCCGGTTTCGCCATATTGATCCGTCAAAAAAAAACACTTCAAGGTCAAAGAAGACATGTACTATCACGTTTAGGCTAGACAGTCTTTGACCAAATTGAAATATGGTCAAACGACACGGAAATTCTTCACCTGAAAATAATCGGATATAATTGTCTGTGTACTGAAACAGCAGATTCAGATAGACAAATGCGCAAGTATGTAAAAGCGAATAAATGCGTCGGATAAAATAATAATCACATTACATAATTTGTATGCTATGGTTGGTATTGCAGTACCTGTCTTTTTTTGGCAGAAATGAATAATTTTAACCAATTACAAGCTAATCTGAATGACTGATTATTGTTTTCATTAGAATGAATGTTTTTATATCGTGCAGCTAGCTTAAGGAAATTTACATTTGCCTATAAGTGAAGAAAATTGGATACAATAAATAAGTCATGCTTAGGTTTTTACATCAAGTATCTGCGTGTGTGTGTGTGCGTGCGTGTGTGCACGTGCTAGAGAAAGGTACATATCGAAAGAACTGGCTGAGCAACTAATGCAAACACATACATACGCGCATAGACACATGCGTAAATGCATGAAAATAGTGAAAGAAAAATTTGCTTTCAATAAGAGAAAATCTGAAAATCAAGTACTATGATTGTTTTGCTACAAAAGTTTTTTTTCTTGAAACAAACATAATTTATGCATGTGTTTATTAGTTGGTTATTTTGTTTGTTTTAACGATAGTATTATCAGTTTTGTCTGTTTTATTATTTTTTTTCTTTTAATGATCGACATAAAGAAGATTGAATGATGAGCATAATAACAATGAATATGCCACAATGAATAGTAATCAGAGGTGAACTTATATTGAAAATGCATTGCATACGAATAGATGCATGGTATTTTGGTTTGAGTAGCCTTTTAGTAGTAGATAATTCTCTCTTTATTTTTTTAATGACTCTCTGATCAATAATCATACGGAATTGTTTGAATTTTTCTGTAACTTAAAATTGAATAATATTTTACACATAGATATGATGATATTTATTATAATGACAATGGAAATGACGAATGAAATAATCATTACTAGAGAATCATCAAAATAACAATAATCTAAAGTAAAATAATATTTTAATATATAGTTTAATTAATAATGACTAAAAGTTTTGTCAGTCAGTTCAGTCAATTACAACGTAGAAATTCGTACTTACGTACATCAGTTCAAGTTGCCATAACGCATTACCACAGAGACGCAACTGTCAGTTCAAATCTAATAGTGTTAGAGATAGTATAAGTATTAGTAGTAATGGAGAAGATTATGGACCCAAGATATGATTCGAAAAGTATAGTTCAGTGAGATAACTTTAGAAAACGAAAGATGAAGGAGATGCGGAATTCTGAAGATTATAATTTCATAGAACACGAGTCGATGCACCGGCGCCATTGCAAACGATTTTCAGTCATGTCGTCCAAAGTCTAACCATCGGTGAACTCCAACCAGGTAGCGTGCACCCACCAACATGACTCAGTCCACTTGTCAGTGATTTCATGGATTTGTGCCACGTTTTGGTTTGGCCGCCCCTAGCTTTATTCCAACCTACTGCTACACCACAAAACATAGCTCATCGAGGCAGTCGGTGGTTGGGCATGTGTAACACATGTCAAGCACAAAATATCAACGGTGAAAAAAAATACTGTATTAGATCTACTTGCAAAGATTTAATCCTAAATCAAATTTTCAACTAGGAATCAATTCAAAGTATGCTATCATACAGCATCAATAATGTGTAATAATAATGATAATTATTACTATTATTATCTACTAGCGGTATCGAAATGATTCTCATCACAGATTTGTGAAGATTGTTAAGTTTCATTGAAATCATGAACCGATCATTGTTGGAACACCATTGAGAAATCTAAAAGCACCGGACGGTCGTTAGGTCCCAGTATGCGAGTTATTAGCAGGATTGGTTGTATTTTATTGTTTTATTGATGTTGAACTATTTACTGTATAGTTTTTCATAAATAAATAAACATGACATAATATTTGAAGTAAGATAATGATTTCTGGAATAAAAAAAAACATTTTTCTACTGCATCAATAACTTTAGTTAATAATTACAAAACATTTTGTACAATATTTCATGAAGTATGATCTTGTTAATTGCTAACTTATAAGGATTTAAAAATTTGTTGAAAATTAGCAATATCATGAGATATAGCATAGAATGACAAGGCAAATTTTGCCATTTGATGATGTTACTTTGTAGCAGACTGATGAATAATAAAAGAAGAATTTCTTGCGTGTGTGTGACTGTGTGTATTAAGGAAAAACTGTGAATACCAACACTGTTCCAACAACCCACAATACTCTCTAATTGGCTTTTCAATTAACGAATAGGTTCAAGATGAAACTAATCTTTGAAACGCTAATTATCTCATTTACAGCGACAATCAATGTTAACAATTTATCGATTACAGAGTAGTGACCAATGTCATATTAGTTTAGACCTTTTTTAGTCCTAATCCAATTCTGTCAACGAGGTTTCAATATGAACACTAGTCTAAATGACTTGTCATTAAACATACTATTTTAACATAGTGGTTAATTTGATGTAATCGTCAGGAAACCCTATGTTCTCTATGGAATTCAAAGTCGTACTAATTCAGACTTTATGAGTGAATTATTCAGGTCTCCTTTAGACTACCTTCAAATACCTAAAAGCAAAATATTGAAAATAAAAAATTATAAATCATCTTTGTAATTATGTTACATCGTGAACGAAGGATCAGACACAACATAATTATTATTCGAATATTCACGTTTTCAATAAAACAAGTTAGTATTGAAGAAGATAGAAACAAAATAGTAATGATTTTATTTGAAGCGTATAGTGTACACATATCCAGTAGTCTGTGCACACACACATAGATACAGATACATATGTAAATACATCAATATGAGTAATATTGTAAAGTACCATAATGACAAAGTGGAAATCACTCACTTTTAATTGATTATTACTCAAAATTAATACTTCCAAATTAATTAAATATTCTATATCATCCGGTAGCTTGGTTAATTGATTTGTACCAACATTTAATTCAACTAAACTTGTCCAACTTTTAATATCTTGTTGTATATGCATGCATTAATCAAATAGGTATGATTCACGACCACAAATATACAATAAAGGAATGAATAAACAAAAAAGGAAACTATAAAAAATATGATGTGATATTTTCAAAATAATATTAATTATAAACTATAAACAATCCATATACACTAACAGTATTTTAGGTCCACTAATGAGTAATAATAATAAGTATTATAATTACTAGTAGTAGTAGTAATAGTGCGGTGGACACAGCTCTTAACGTAGCTAATAAGCAGTAAGCGGCGAAGTGGCGCCCAGAAGTTAATACCGAAGAGTAGAATGTTGGATCCGGATTATAGAGAGATCAAAGTATTTAGAGGAATAGAAGACGATGTAAAGGAAGAAAGCCAATAATCTGCTTTCGTGAAAAAAGACACCGCTACATGCTACTTATAAAAATCATATTGCGATTAGTATCGACCACAGTAGTAATGAGAGGTTTAACAGGACTAACAGTATTGACCACCATAGTGTATATCATCTTAAAACATCACGTAACATGAGAATAATGTATACTGCTTGGTTACTGATAGTAAATAAAAAGTCGACAAAATGAAGAATCACTGAATCATAAATTTATAAATCGACTGGACTCATTCAATCGACCATGTACACATAGCACACACATAGCAACCTACCAAACTTTTAACCTTCTAGTTACACAATCAAATCTCACTTTATCAACTTCAGTACGGAAAGCTTAATAATAATATTACCAAAATTTAAACATTATAAGTTCTAAAAAATCATTTCTGTTTACTCTTAAACAAATAACAACCATCTGTCAAAAAAAACAATTATTTAAAGCAAATCTAATAAGGATGTGAGCATTTCATCTAAAAACTATGATCATATTGATGAAATCTAGATCATTTGATTGGCTTATAGATTTTGATGAGTATATACCGCTATGATTTCTTCATAGAAATAACAAATTTTCATTCAATATCATACTAATTATGTCAAATGATCAACTCTTAAGTGATTTTGGAGAATGATTTGAATGGAAATTTCCGTTTGGTCTACAGGTGAATAGATATTCACTGAGGTAACCATGGGCAAACAGTCACCATTATTATATTTCACTGGGCTGATCTTTAAATTTTTTGGATATATATATATATATACATATATATATATAGAAGATTCAGAAAAAGGGATTTTAAAAGAGATGATAATAAGAGAAAACCTTTCAGTTAGCTCTGAATTGAAAAATACTCGTTCGACCTTCATGCAATGACGTTATAAGTGATTTGTATTCTTAAGTACATATTATTTCATTCAATGAATTTCAGTACCCTTTTGATCAAATATATAGTTATTTACTGATCTTTGAGCTAGGATTTGTATGAAGACTATTGATGCTACTACTCCTCTGTGGAAATCAACAGAAGATTCGAACTTGTGATCTTATGGTTGAAACTTGTAATATTTTGACGAATAATTCAATCATCTGGTCGCTAATAATGTTAACAATTTTATTAAAAATTTAATCTTTTAATTTTAATCAATTCATTTGTTTCATATATAACAACAAGTCACTTTTATTATTATTAAATTGCATGCGAGCATTGAGAAATTATCTTGATGAATATAAATAATTAGCATTGCTAAGATTAATTCCCTTCTTTCATTATTATAATTTACAGTTAAACTAAATTAAGAACTTATGATCATAAAATGTTGTTAATGTCTAGTATAATGAAATGCATATATCTGACTTAAAGTATTATAATTATAAAGGAATTCAAAATTGACCAATGCAGTTGAATATTTTGGCAGATATACACAAAACATCAGTGAGTCAACACAATAGTTGTCATGATTACTCATACCATTTTCATTACTATCTCCTTGTGTAATAATAACAATTCATTGACAGATGCATGTTTTCAAGAGTGGGTAACATTTGTAACAGTTATTTGGAATACCATTGAAAACTATGAACTACAAGGCAGCCGTTTTATCATCTAAGCATCAAAGTCCTCAGGGCTGAACACACACGGCCTTACACCAGGGATCAAACTGAAGAACGTTGGAGCGCATGGTATACGCTATAGCATTGGAACCGTTGGATGAAAGTCGAATAGCACAACTACAACTCCAATTAATTTGCGTTTTAGCGTGACGATTACTCCATGAAGTTGATGACAACCATCTCACTTTCAGTATTACTTATATTGATAAGTGAAGATTTTTTACACAAAATATGCATCAATCCACTTATGAATGGTAAAAAAGTAAATGTAAATGCATCATGGTTTCGGCAACTGTTATTATCCAAGAAAAAAAATTGGATATTAACAAATAAAAAAAATTATGCGGAGGATAATATTTACCCGGTGGAAAAGCACCAATTTGATTATCTTTCAAATTTAATTTTGTTAAATTTGAAGCACGTGAAAATATACCAAATGGTATTCGAGTTATTTGATTATATTCCATATTGAGAGACTAAATGAAGTTCGATTTATATATAAATATATTTCCAACAAAGAAAAAATAATTAAAAGAAAAAATCCATTAGTGTGATGAAATTTTTCAATAAATAAAATGAAAAATAAACAAACAATTGTGATATGCATACAGTGAATGAAGTGATAGATTGTGACAAATAACAATCAAAGTATCATTGATTTAAATAAACAACTGTTATTGATGATATCATATGCAGTTGACCTAGTTCTGTTATCTTACTCGTTGGATGAAAAGTATGGCATATTTCATATTATTGAAGTGTGTATAGTGGATTTGAAAAAATTGGTTCTAATATGACCTTAAACCTATAGAGTCTGGGTAATAAATGAATATGGTAAATTAAAAGATTTATTTGAACAGTAAATTTCATATATCATCATCAACAACAACACAGAACTTTGCACGTAAGTACAGCAGTTAAAGTTGCCATACCACATTAGCACAGAGATATAATTGTTAATTCAAATCCCATAGTAGAAGAGGTAGTAAAGGTATTAGAAGTAATCGGAGAGTTTAGGGTTAGAAGATGTTATTCAATGAGTATAATTCAGTGGGGTTAATTTAAAAAGAGAAAGATAGAGCTGATGAGGAATTCAGAAGGTTAGAATTTCATAGAACACAAAGAGTAAATGCACCTGTGCCATTGCAAACGGTTTTGAGCCATATAACTCAGGGTCTCTAACCATCGGTTACTACGGACTGCCTCAACGCGCGATGTTTTGTAGAGTCAGAGAAGGTTGGAAGAAAGCTAGGTGCGGCCAAACCAAAACATAGCACAAATCCATGAAATCACTGGAAAAGTGGACTGAGCTGTTAGTAGGTGTAGACTACCTGATTAGGGTCATCGAGATGATAGTAACTGATGGTTAGAGACTTTAAATGACATTGCTCAAAATCTTTTGCGATGGCGCAGGTCTATCGATTGTTGCTGTTCTCTCAGATTCTAATCTTCTGAATTACTAATTATCTTTATCTTTCTCTTTCTAAAGTTATCTCGGCGAATTATACTCATTGAATAATTTTTTTGAACCCCCATCTTCTTCACAACCGCTAATACTTCCACTATGTCTACCACCGTGGGAATCTTACTGATACTTCCATCTCTGTGCTAATGTGGTATGGCAACATGAACATACGTACATACGTTCGAAATTCTGCATAAGCGTTTCGGAGACGCAGCATGCATAGATGGCACGAGATCCCAGGATCTTAGCTAAAGAAGCTTGCTGTCTTCTTTGGCACAAAGTTCGAACACTGATAGCTCCAAAATGTAATCTAGACAGGAATTTAAGGAGACCAGGAATAACTTTGTTTGTACTCAAATCGTTTGTACCAGAGTCGCAAGGCGATTAATCAATGTGAAAATGTTCGATCATAAAGGTAAGAGGGTTACTAAGAGGTAGGGGAAGGATCTTATTGTGAATAATTCGGCCTAGTTAGCTTTTACGGGTATGAGGGTAAATGACATTTCCCGGTCACTCACACTGTAGTAGAGAGTTTCTTGAGAAACCGGAAAAGGAAGTTAGATTAGTGTTATTCTTAGCCACCTAGGAGCGTGACCGCAGAGCCCAACGGACAACTACTTGAGGCCGGTTGCGCACGCCCTTTTTATAAGACGTTTTCATATTGTTAGCTCCCCTCTTGTTTAAAAGGCCTTGCCACCGGAAACGGTAATCCGTGATGTGAGGTGAGGTGTGACATTTCTAGGGTTGAGCTTTCTTAACCGCTCCCTTTTGTTGTGAGACGACAGCATTGCTGAAGATGCTCGTTGTCCGAGGGAAACACCTTACTGCTGTCACACTTCTTTACAGTCAGTAATACGACCATGCCCTCAGAACTTCAGTTGCTGCTTTTAGTCTGACCATTCTCCAATCGACTCGCCTGGAATGGTAAGACCTAAAGGAACCTACGTTCTAGCCAATATAGCTCGGTTGGGTCATCAAGATGGGTAAGCCCGACCACCATGTCTAGGTAGCAGCTAAGTTTCGGTTTCTAGTATTGATTGGAATACTGAAATAGATCAAAGTAGCTGACAACTATAGAAATAAGATTCAATATGTTTTGAAAAACCTTAGTGTTAATTAGTTTAACGGTACCTGAATGCTAGCAATATTAAGATATATCAGACAGTCATTTTTCATAATCAACGTACAGCCTAGCATAAATTTGTGTTGACCCATGTTGCCACACCGCATAAGCACATATAAGGAAAAAACAAATAGATAAGTTGCAGAAAAGATTGAATTAATGTAGTAGTAATGACATTGAGAAAAACTTAAAATTGAAGATATGATTCACAGTAACAGAATTCAAAAATATCTATGAGCTAATATTAAAGCAGGATGTCGAGAAAAAGAGAATGAACGAATGAAAGACACTGATCAACAATAAGCTATGTTACTAAGTCTTAAAGATCGTCGTTTAAGTTATAAGAGGGTAATCAGATACACAATTCAGTGATTTCATGGGCTGATCCTATCTCTTTGTTTAATCTTCCTAGCCTCCTGCTTCTTTGTATATCAGACACCACCTGTCGAGCTAGGCAGTATTTGGGACTATGTAATATGCATCCCAAGCACTTCAGCAAATGAATATTTAAAAACTAATCAACCGATTCACAATTCTTACCAATATCTAATTTTAACATTGATCACTTAACCATATCATAATAAGCGCAAAATCCGTTAAAGATAACTATGCTCAAAAATCTGTGATCTTTGAACGCCGCCTACCTTTCACAGACCATGTTTTACAGCCGTAAACTGATACAGAACGAAGTACTCTGCGGTAAAGTGTCCCATTTTTTGGAAGACATCAACTTGTTTGTGCTATTAGTGAAGCAAGCTGAGAAAAGTCAAATGAGCTTCCTGAATACACTTTGAGATTTTGTTATATACCAACCAATTTAGGGCTATGAGACTACATTTCTAAACTTTATGAATATTAAGATATCGACATAAATAGTCCTAATTATCTATAGAAATTTGTCGATTAACACTTGTATCTATGTGCAACTAAAAACGTTCGACTGCTAACTATAAAAGCATCAATATGAAGGTGATCATATTGAGCAGATAATGTTAGATATTCTCAATAAAAAACCATTGATTAATAATATTTGAAATATGCACTTGATTGGAAAATTACAAAAAAAAATAATAACTTACTTGTATTGAAGTAAATTGTTGAGGACCACCAGATGGAAAAATATTAAAATAATTCCGTGACAATGTTACACAGGAGACTTTTTTCAAATGTGTCAACAATCCCTCCTTGTTAATAATTTAACAACATCAACATAAGATAAAAAATGGAAATACTGTATCCATAGCAATATATTGATAATAAATGGATAAGTAAATAATTGCAAAATATTTGATAATATTTACAAGTTCTTTTATAATTATTAATATAAGTTAACAAACGGATAATCTTTGGATATTGATCGAAATGATTATTTATTATATGTGCTTTCGTTTTTCCTGAACTGATAACATTTCATTTAATTCCTCTAATATTTTTGATTACTGTGACCGAAATTACTTCAATGATCATACTCCATCTATATGTTAGCTTATTGATTTCACATGATTATTAACTTGAACATATCTTGTAGAGGTGCTAAGGGGATCACGGTTTATCAAGCTTTTGCTAATAAATGTAAATTTTTCTGAACTTTAACGAAAATCATAGGTATGATGATTTTAATTCATAACTTTTCATGACTTGGCAGTTTACTTATGGAAGTTTTGTGATGGACTAGATTGAGAAATCCTGGATGGAGGGCAGCTCAAAGAATCGTTCAAAGCGAAGACCTGTGTCAGGCGAGGTTGCTCACTCTTACAATTTCTTTTTCTCCTGGTGGTCGACTGGATTATGAAGACGTCAACATCAGGGGGGTAATCAGTGGACAGTGGACAGCCAGCATGCAGCTGGAGGATCTAGACTTCGCAGATGACCTGGTCCACACAACAACAAATGTAAACGAAAACGACCAGTGTAACAGCAACCTCTGCAGCAGTAAGTCTCAACATACACAAAGGAAAAAGCAAGATCCTTTGATGCAACACAACATGCACCAACCAAATCACACTTGGTGGATAAGTTTAGAAGGAAGCTTTACATATCTGGGTAGCATCATTGATAAACAAGGTAGGACTGATGCAGATGTCAATACCCAGAATGGCAAAACAAAGGCAGTATTTCTAGAAACGAAGAACCCCTAGAACTCAGGACATCTACCAACTAACACTCAAGTCAGTACTTTCAATACAAACATCAACACAGTTCTATTTTATGAAGCAGAAACTTGGAGAAACACGAAAGCCACCATTCACAAGATACAGATGTTTACTGACAGTTTTCTACACACGATACTGCGAATCGATTGGCCAGACACCATCAACAATAACCTACTGTAGGAGAGAACAAACTAGATCTGAGCTGAGAAATAAATTAGCAAAAGGCGTTGGAGGTAGATGGGACACATTTAGAAAAGCACCCCGATGAGTCACAATACAGGCCCTAACTTGGAACCCTCGAGGTGAAAAGAAAAGAGGAAGACCAAAGAAGGCATTACGCCAAGAATCGGAAGCAGATATGAAAAGAATGAACAACAATTGGATAGAACAGGAAAGGAATGGCTAGAACAAAGTAGATTGGAGAATGCTGGTCGGAGGTGTATGCCCCATTATAGGTTTTAGGTATAACAAACAACGACAACACAATAACAAACTGAACAAAACGAAAATACAATAAGATGTTATATAATATTTTGTTATTATTTTTGAGAATAAGCTTTCCATCGCATTATCAATTTTACTGATTGTTTATATATTCTCATGAAAATACTAAATATGTTGAATCAATGCGAAGACAAATCTAATAAATACTACACATGTTACATATTCTACACAGAACAGTTACAATCTTACATTCTTCCCTAAATACTGTTGTTCAACTTGCAGTCAACTATCATTAATTGTTTTAAAAAGAATATATAAGAGATTTTATTGATTGATTGTTTTTTTTAAAAATATATAATAATTTACGATACTCTAAAATGATCGAAATCAATTATACAATGATTACATAAAGAAAATTCATTGATTCAATAAAGAAAGAGTGAAAATATGAAGAATTTTCTACACTTACCGGTAATTGCCAAATATTATTGCCTTCAATATTTAATTCTAAAAGATTTGTACAAAGTGCTAATGAATCCGGTAATGATTCCAAGTGATTATATCTGTATGGAATAAAAATGTAGAAGGGAAGAAATCATTTTTAAATTGTCAATAAGAAAAAGAATCCTGTTCATTATTCATGCAAGCGTATCGGAACAATTAATTTTTGATGAGATGAATGCTAGAAGACTGTAAGCTTAGAAATGAGAAAAACTATAATCAACAATACTATTTATTAAATGAGTAAAAATGATCGAAACTAAGATAATTGGAAGATCTTTTGAAGAAACACTGTATTTTATTCGAAAATATTATGCTATGCATTTTGATATTCAATCTGTTTTCTTAGTAACTGAAGAAATTTAAGTAGGCTATTTTCCCAACACAATCTGATTAGAAATATTCTTGTAGAGTACAGAGCTTAGATATAAAAATTTCACATTTAAAGGATTTTAAAGCATTTAAACTAAACTTGAAATTACTGACTTCTTTTGTCATGATTTAATCACACAACCTCAAATACTAAGCCAACAAAAACTTGAATGAATTCTTTAGGCAGTACTATGTAGTGCCACTACGTACATTTGAGTTCGCTCGTAGTTAATTTGGTTGAGACATTTTGATTAACTTAGTTAACCAAGCCATTTGTATAGCAACAACTTATTATATGTACCATTGACTTTAACTATTGTGTGCTTTGTATGAGCTGATATGTCTGAACATTGCTTACAGCATACGCGAATATTCATCCTACTTGCTTTAATGTTAATTTCTTAAGTATTTCGATGACTTAGCCACTTTCCTAGGTATACGTATGTACATTTTGATCTTAATAATTAATTCGCTGATCCGCTCACTCGCTAACGTGCTTGCTGTGCTCTGTGTGCTTGTGGTCTGTCGGTCCATTTGTGGTGTGCCAAAATAAACGTATTGAACACTACGTATTCACCTTCTGATTTATAAACTGTCAGGCTCTATTTAGTAACGATTGTCTGGATGAGCAAGAACACGTTGGATACCGAACGTCACGAAACTAGTGATACTTTGGCCATCATCACTTTTCATTGTGAACAGAAACGTTAGTGAGTAAAATGTTTGCTTTTCCGGTAAACTTACATTAATGAACAAACATTTTCATTTATAGTCAGTGATAAGTTCGTCAGAAATCAACTTAAATTCACATTTCAACAAACACTTTCAAGTCATTAGTAAGTAATATACACTAAGATAATGAATGCAACATGATTTGTAATTATGAAAAACTAGTTTTTAAAAAAAACTCAATCTAGCTGAATTTAAGTCACTCCATAAAGTGACAATTTTTTACGCCGATAATTGAGTAAAAACAAATGATTGCCAATTATTTATGTCAGTGAATGAACTAAAAAATATTTGAGAATTTGCGTATTTTTACGGCATACTGAATACAGCTCGATAGTGATACAGCTGTATTGAAGAAAAATATTTGTGGAAGAAAATCGACAATGATCAACGTTCAACGTTGAAGGAAGATAATGAATTATTCACTTTTGAACAAATATATCTATAGAAAAACACTGTAAAATTATCAGCAATTTTTTTTTTAAATAAACAAATTGTTGATCAAAATAGTAGTGAGAATAATTTATAAAAAAACTAATCATGCATAAATAACATAGAAAGAAAAAAAGAAGGATAAATAAACATGTTTATTCAAAAAAAATTCCCACTAACTTTAAGCCAATATTTTCTAACATTTTTAAATCACCAATTGTATTCGGTAACGAACGTAATTCATTATGTTGTAAGCTTAATGTACACAATTTTTGACATTGACCAATTTCTTGAACAACAAGGGAAAGAGAACAAACAAAAATAAATATTGTAGTTGAATTGAGAATTTTAAAAAAAATTTAAAAATTCAACCACTTACATAATCATTTTGTCAAAAGAATATATTATCAATAACTGAATGTTAACTAAACCACATGAGAAATATAAATAGTTCAAAATAGTTCTTATGCTTTATTTTAGACCTAACTATTTAAATGTATTCATTTATGCTTATCCCCTATTAAATTTTATCCTAGAATTTTCGGTTGTACGATGAGTATAATAACGTCAAAGTCTTATTCACAAAACTAATGTCATCAATAAGCCAATTGGTTACATTTATTAATCAACGGTTTTTCAGTTTACTCTCGAGAAGTACATTTTGCAGCTAATCATTGAACGCACACAGTAACTAGAGTTCCTAAAAGAAAAGTCTGGGATTAAAAAGAATATTAACTATTTATGTATTATTTTACAATATGTTAATTAATCACTATCGCAACCAATGAGATTCATTTATTCAACCTTATCATTATACAAAAAATTCAAGCTGTATATTGTCATTACATTGAATAAAGATAAATAAATGTAAAAAGAAGCCTTAATTATTCAGAGTGAAGTGAACACAATTAATTATTAACTACCAGTGACTTGTTAATATTTGTTAGTGTAGGCATAGATTGAAGAAAAGCTAAAGAAATCCGATTAAATCGTGTTATCCATTTATGAAGTGATAGACTTTTGGACTGAATTGTGTTCGTAAGTGTAAACTATTTGGTTCGGTTGATTGTTACCATTATCACATCCAATGGTTGGAGACGTTATGTTACATTACTCAAAAACTATGGTACTGATAAAGGTATATTCTTTATCTTTCATTCCTTAGAACTTAAGTTTTAAAATTATCCTACAAATTTTTCTAATTCCGCAATATCATTTTTTGGCTGATTACATTATCTATGCCTGATTCTTGGTACTGCTACTGATACTGTTACCACCTTTTTTGTTCACTTTGATGAGTGTCTTGATAATCATGTATCTCTGTGCTCATACCATGCGGTCACTTGAACCAAGGTACATATTCACATATATAAGAGGTTCTATCTACATTACTGATTATTAATATATGAACGACCTAAACTGACTAATAAACTCAATAAAAATATTTTCAATTGGTTACAATAAGATTTAGAAAAAAATTAAGTTAAAAATAATATTCACATACGAATAAATGAAATAACCATAATAATGATCTTATTAATAATCATGTATATTACGTATGATATAGTGTAAATAATTAAGAGAGAATAGTAAATAAGGAAATCAAGAACATTGCATACATGTTGTTTCTAATCATAATTCTGATCGTATTCAAATAAAGTGACTATTTTATTGGTAAAACAATTTATTACTCAGTGAAGAGATCATTTTTCAACGATATATATATACATACATATGTGTATGTGAAAAAAAAATAATAGATCAAACATTCATGTTATGAGAAAGTTGATCATACTATTTTAAGTACATAAATAATAAACAGTTTAGAAAACAAGAAAATCAAACAATCAACAAGGTGAACAGGGTAAAATTATGATTGTGATTAAATTTGAAATAAAAATTTATTATTATTATTATTAATCCCAAACTGTAGGTTGAACTATTCAACAATATGAAAAATAATACTCAATGGAAAAAATTGATCAATATAAACTTTTGGTCAGCATTATACCTTGAGAATATTTCATCTTTTTAACGTTTAATGGAAGAATATTAAAAATAAAATAAAATTAATTTAAATAATAAATTATTAAACTATTTAAATTTAATATAAAATATAAATTTTAATGTAAAATGACTAAAATTAGAAAGTGTTACAACAAGTGTACAATTTATTTTAGTTGAATGATATTGTGTTACCCTTGAGAGAGAGAGAGAGGAGTAAACGTTTTCACAGGACATTGAATCAAATCATTCTGTGATGAAATAAAAACAAGAAACTTCCAATTTAAATGTACACAGTAATATATATATATATATATATATATATATATATATATATATATATACTACATAGGCTATTTGTGTATGAAATTAAAATGTTTATTATTTAATAAATATTTCAATCTATAAGTAATGAAATAAAATGAATGGTAGTGATTTTGGGATATACAAAAAACATTAAACTGTATCAACTGATTTGTATTTTTTAAAAATACATTTTACAAATGATCAGTTATTGATAGTTATCTATCATTTTTTTTGGTAGATTAGATTATGTATATATGGTGATGTAGTGAATTATACTTTGATCAAATTGTGAAAAAAAAATACATTTACTCAAATAATAATAATAAAAATAATCATGATAATCATTCAAAAAAATGGAAATTCAAAACTTTAAATTGACTAACTTCACTTTGAACAAACACAAATTTCAATGTGGAATCAAATAAGAACTTCCATCTAATTAGTAAATCAGAGTATTTATTATGCTCTATACATAATAAATATGTATGCATTTGTAAAACAAATAGTCCATACAAGATAAATCTACATCAAAAGAGTTTATGTAACAAAAGTAATGAATTATATATAATAACTCTTAGATAATAGTAAGTGTTTAAAACTTTCGACTGTTGATATTTAGGATTGTAATTGGTCAATTTCTGTAGTCAAATGTATAGTTTGAGTGGAATAATTTAGTATAACTCTTAATAGCAATTCGTAGGATTTCGGACTTATAGTATATATGTACTTAAATTCCAGTATTTTGTTCACACCTATTGGACAAGTGTTAGTGGGCATTTGGACCCAGCAGCTTAGTGAATAATAACTTGGCGTTTGAAGTAATAAGCACTGGATTGAAGAACCTTTGAGAACATTAACACTAGGAACCAGATACACACCCAGCTAACGAGTGAAACAGGGATTTTGTATTCCATTTCTAACCATACACAAAGTATTATGCAATTTTGAGATATATAATCCGTACCAATTTAACTCTCACCACTCAAAAATAAATTGTACATTTCAATGAGAACATATGTGAGGAAACCAAAGCCAAGAATACCCTGCATGTATATGCATCTAAGGGGCCATTGAATGAGATAATATGAGTATAGATTACAGAGAATCAAAGAACTTTACATTAAAAATTTCAAAGAATGTTCTATAAAATATGTCTGTTTATTTAGGCCGATTCTTACTTGTTGGATCATAGTCTGAAATCTAAGAGAAGAAACTGTAATATTCCCTTAAATCAAAACTACAGCACTTGAGTTTTTACATGAAATCAAAAACAAATGAGTGACTTTCTGATTTCTCATTTTTAGTATACTAAATAAAGTCAATAAAAAAAATATATTTCCCGACACGAACTATATTTAGAAGTTACGATAATAGAAATTGAATTCAATCTACTAATCTGAACAATTAGAAGAATTCACCTACTTTTATTACCGAACAGTGAGTAAGCAATCAGTCTTCGCAAAATCTGATTAAAAACATGGTTGCCAGGTTACAAAATACGCACAACAATTCAGCTTAATGGTTGCTTTATTTTTTCCAAAAACAATGAAATATCATAATTGATAACACTGAAACTTTCATACATCAGGACTATTGAACATTTATGAATTTGTGTTTATGTGAAAATATTTTCCTACCATTCATTGAGAGCATAATCTTAGCATATGGATTAGATAATTCTGTTTATGTTTATGACAGATTTTCTTTAGATATTATTGTTATTATTAAACAATAAGTTAACAATGTACATAAACCTATTAACCTGACAACAAACATACTCGAAAATTTAATTCCAATACATGTATGAAATGAGAATCTATGAATTTTGTTTTGCATGCATTTAAAAAATGTCTGAAAAAAATGTTAAGTAATTATTAGATATCGTGTCAATGTCCAATTATATCATTGTTCAATAAACGATTTAAAGTGTGCATAATTTTACTGATCTTGTGTATGATTATTCCCAAGATAAGCAATAAAATCTTTAGTGTTTGGAGAGACTCTGTTCAATTCCAAACGAATAATGTTAAAGCATTAGCTACTTCGCATATATAGAGTAGATCACAGTGAGATACAAAACACACACAAGGTTTGACAACATAACTATGCTTTATCTCATTATATTTACTTTTAAAGTTATGCCTTGAAAATATTCATAAAATATCAGTATTGGAGAAGTGAGAATAACAAACGATTTAACAAGTAGGGTAATTCAATTAACTATAAACTAAAGCAAAGATCAATCGACATATATATATAGTGAGAAATATGTAAATAAATAAATTCACTCACTTTCAGATAAATGTTCCAAATGATTATGTGAAACATCTAATGTAATCAAATTGGTTAATTGACCGATACCAGGATCAGCTGGGAGTGTATGTATTTTATTCTCTCGTAAACTAAGAACTTGAAGCTTCTATTTTAAAGAAGAATAACAATAAAAAAAAAGATCGAGATAGGTACATTGAATAAGATTTTAAACTGTACAGAGAGAAATTTTTAAAATGTCAGAATGAAGACAGTTATTATTAGAAAGAATTGGATATTAAAAGCTATTTACAGAATCGAAAATTATTTTCAGTTGGAACAAACTTTCTAACAATTCAGTGTAGCATAATGTGATAATAATACTTAAAATTGTTTCATGCAATGGTTTTAGGACACTTTTATGAAGTGCAATATAACCTGGCTTCATTAATAATATTTTCTTGCAGAGATTTTCTTATTCACTATCTCATCATTTCACTAGTACTGTCATTTAATTACAATAGTGCCAAGAATACTGATTTCATATGAACTACTGCTGATTCAGGCCTTGTCTTGTTCTGTATCATATGTTGGTCGATAAACTTCATTAAGTATCTATTTACATTGAGTAAGTAGTTGAAGGTATCATTTATAGCTTCCTCAATTGTATTATCAGAACAAATAATCTTGGCAGCGCGGTATTCTGAACTTTTTACCAGTTTGCATTTGTATCTGAACAGTGCACAACTTTAAAAAACTAGTATATTGAACAGGAGAGATTGATTTTTTGTATTTCATTTTATAACATCACGTTAACAAACCAACTAGAAATGACATAGTAGTTAGTATATTACTTCATGTATGTAAAATATACTATTTTTTTCCATTTCATTACAAAGGTGTAGTCTGTATAACTAGAATAAAATATCAGCAGAATAATTTCGGCTTCCAATGTACGATACATCGATTTTGTCAGGATTGAGTTCAGCAATGACCATCATATGGCAACACCCTCCGATTGTCGATAAAATTAGTTTTTGAACATAAAATGGGCATTTTCTGTGCATTTGAGGATTAATTCTTTTAGTCTTTGAAAAAATGTCCACTTTTTATATATTTTTTCATAAGTTCATTGCATATAAAATCTACTCTCTCTAGTGAGGGAATACTGATGGATAAAAATGACATACATTAATATAGCATGAACTTTTAACTGGTCTTAGACATGACTAATTTCGGCTGTGACGCAACAGAGAAATAGTCTGTGAAGAAAATTATGAAACCGATGAAAGCATTGAGTTTAATTTAAAAAACTTTAGTTTATCAGCAGATTATGGGATCTAATAATTAATAATGAGGTATTATCAGTAAACCATAACCATCCCTGTCGACCTCAGGACTTCAAACTTTCTGAGATTAAACTTCGTTGTTAAGTCTTTCTAGGTAATCTGTTTGTTATCCGTTAACCCTGTCTGCTATGTAGTTTTTGCATGATGGGGTTGTGAAGATAGTTGAGTAACTTATTGAAATCATGAATCGATCGATTTTAGACCACCATTCGAAACCTGGAAGCATTGGACGGCCGTTTCGTCCTGGTATGAGACTCATCTGTAATGAGTGTTCACACACGACTCCCGCTACTCGCCCGATTCGAATCCTGAACCTTCAGTTCTGCGCGCGAACGCCTAACCTCTGGACTACTGAGCCGGTAGTGAAGTTCAACCCTGTCCGAGTGTGAAGTAGTGCTCACAGTAAACAGTAAATGAGGTTGCGCAAAAACCAGGGAAATGTAGTTTTTGTTCACTAATGTTTGAAGTTTCATTAAATAATATTTTATTACATAACTACGAAAAATAGAAATTTCATAAGACCGGAAAAGCTGTTTTAGTACAGAACGAGTGGATTATCGTTTTTTTTAAACCGTGATAACAACTGTCGCTAAATCTGCATGAGAATAATCTAGGGTTCTATAGCTACAGTCCAAATGGTCCGAGATAAACATATGCAAACTAAGACATTCATTTAGATAAACACACATAACAGTCACGAAGTATGATTGGTTAGTGAATAATAATTAGAAAAGCTTTTCAATCAATTAAACTTTGGTAAAATAAATGGCACGATAAATGTAAGCATCTATCCAGGGAATGATAAATTCAATAACTATAATATTACGCATGAGAAAATCCTAATACAAAGCATCTAGGTTAGTGATATTTGTTATTTTAAAAATATGTAAATAATCGAAATGAATAGATCAATAGCACTAAACAAAACAGACAACAAATTACACAATATGGATGTATTGACAATAATGATAATACTACTAATAATAATAGTAATAATAATAACAAAACCAATGCTAATAGGAAGTGTTTATTTATTGAGTGGTACGGAGAAGCAGTAAAGTGTATATATTTTAATATAGAACTTAATAGTTGAAAACTACGATTGTAATACTATTATAACCAAAGTCTATATTAAAGATTATTTAAAAAAATGCGAACAAGCTGTTATAAATGTTAACAAGATCTCTTAGACACAATAAAACTGCAAGTGTACTCTACAATACGACTAAAGAAAATGAAATCATCAAAGAAAATACAATGCAACAAGAGATTACTACAGTAAAAATCAAGTAGAGTGGTTCAAGATGAAATTTATTCAGTGTTATCCACGTTTAGTAGATATTGTCGACTTTATAGTTCATATTATAGAATAACTTTCGTTGGACAACCATTGTAAATTAGAAAGTACTGGATGGCTATTTCGTTTAAGTAGATCACGCCTTAATAATACTCATCCATGACCTTGGTAAGGATCTAAAAGCCACATGGTGAACTTTAAACGTTCAAGTTGACATCCAGTAGTTTACCTGCTTAACCTCAACGAATTTTCTGTACCGAGTGAAAACCATCCATCATTTATAATGATGCCCATATCTCGCTCGATATGTCTGAAATTCACTGTAACTATCTGGAAGACCTGAACTTCCTGCAGCCGTTCATGCAGTGAAGAAAAGTCCTATATTAATATGAAATAAATAATGGGTGATTCCTGGTTTTTAAAGGTTTTCTAACTTCAGTTAAACCATGAAGTAAAGTATTTATTTATACTAATGATTTACATCACTAATGTAAATCATTCGACTGTTATCTAACAGGATGTGCAAATGTTGAGATTCGATTCACAAATCGGTTTGTTTTATGGAAAAATTATAAATAATATTGAAAACTAATACAATAAAATGATTCGCCAAATAATGTTAATCTAAAAATACAACTAAATACCAAATATTGAAGATGATAGGAACTATTCAGTCCAATATAACTACAGTACCGTTTCAAATAATTTGAGTAGTTTTGCTAAGATCGTTTATTGTATTAGCTTTTTTTTTAATTTTACAAAACTATTTAAATAAATCAGACATTTTATAAAGTGTACAATTCTAAACAATTGACATTAACCAGAGAATCAGTGATTCTTCAAAAAAGGGTCTTTTTAAGTAAAATAAGGAAATTATGTATATTCATAACAAACTGTTACAACTATGACACTGAATTAGTCATTGCAGAAACTAGGATTTACATGACGCATAGAAGAAAGAAAACAAAATCTAATACCAGACTAAGATTTTATCCACACAGTAGAGAAAAAATACAGGAGACTTTTTAATTAAATATACTCATTTGTATTTAAAGACTTTGCCGGCATGACTAGTCAACGTATATCACATATAGTTAAAAGGAGGGATATTGTTTTTGATACTGAACAAATATTACTCGAAATAATGAATGATCTCACATTTGATTCAATCGTCTTTTAAGGTCTTTTCTTGACCGAGTAGACTGAGATTAAAGTTACAAAAGTAAACGAGAAGTAATATGAAGATAATTTTGAAACTAAAGTAAGAATAAAATCTTGAACAAAAACACTAACTCATTGGTGGCGCTTCAGACTAGAAAGCTGAGCAAAACAAGTTTGAATCTCACAGGTAATATTAATTCACTCAAGATATTAGGTGAACTTTTCTGAAGAATACCAGCTAGCAAGAGACTAGGGTTGAGGAAGGTTTCGCACATATTAAGCTAGTAAATGTGGTGTTAGGTCATTTAGACTAGTGACCACATTGAATTCATACTACTAAGAGTATGAGCAAAAAAGTGCTCGTATGAATAAAGGTGACCATCAAAAAAGGTGCATATTAATAAAACATTAAAGATTCCCATTATGAAAATTAGAAAAACGTATGTGCTGTTGTCAGCGTTTAATGAAAAATCTGCTTTCAACGAAAGATTGTAATTCATCGAATTTTGTAACAAGTTATTATTATTATTATTATTATTAATCCAACACCGTTACCTCATGTCTGTTTGGAACAGTACGGAATGTGTGCAAAAATGCTTGGGAAATGTTTGCTGAATTTTACCTTAAACATGTTCTAAATGTTTAAAAATGTCTTCTTCTAAAATTAAAGTCATATTAAGGATTGTTCATTTCATATAATCCAAAAAATATTGTCATTTGTGCTCTCTAGAGAAACTTGAAAAACTTTATAGTCAATAGCTGATGTCTGTGATAACGACAGTCGTTTTATTTAATAACAACCAGACGAACAAGTGGAGTTCATGCAATTATTATCATTACCATAAGATTATCAAGTATGAGTGTAAGTGATCATTTATCCCAGTTAGAATCATACTCAGATTTGCGTTTGACAGGTAAACGTCTAATTAGCTTAAATAACAAATTCGTTTTAGAGGAAGAATCAGTTCATTGATTCAAACTTGAACTGTGTACAAGTGTCGCATCAAGTTATCATCATATCACTAACCTAATACCTGATTTTTCACATTTAGTCAGTCGTTGATACGTTTTTTTAATTTTTTTTTTAATTTTTAGAGATTACTTTGATATATACCGCTACATCTTATAATACTCTTTTTAAGTGCTGTCTCTTGATTCCTAAAATAGATTGTTCGATTTTTAATATATTAATACTTTGTTCCTTTTTCACAGCATTACCACATTTTCATTCGTTTGAATGAGTAGCACCGATAATTAAGGCTAAAGTCTATATATGCTACCCTTCAACTAGATTGGTCGTCTTATGGCGAGACGTACATATTTCACACCATGAAAGCACACTTTTATTATTATGTGAACTGTATTAATATGCCTCCTTCCACATTTGACTTTTTAATGGATACCAGCACTTTGTGACTTGATCGATAGAACCCAATCCATTAGTGATCAATGGATTTTAATGTTGAGCCATGTCCAAATTATACACAGTGCATCCTATTTTGGTAGTATACAGCTTTTAGATATATTCAAGATTGCTTATTAGTCTTTTACATATTTCTAACAGAATTACCACCTTTCATCTAAGTGCTGAAATTATATTGGGGGAAAATAATATCAATATTCACATATCAAAAACCAAAACAACAAAATATGCTTTTTTTCTCTATTTTGTTTTTCTTACAGTTAAATATTTGATTTCTTCATCCACTACACGAATTCGATTAAAGCGTAGAAATAAATGTGTTAAATTGTGTAATTTGTAAACAACTTGTGGGATTTCACATAATTTATTATGTCTTATATCTAATACACGCAATTGTGTACATTGTGCTAATGTTTCTGGTAAATCACTTAATGAATTTTCTTGTACCATTAAAATTTCCAATGCAAACAATGTGCCAATTTCGTCTAAAAAAATATATAGAACAAAGAAGGAAAGTAGAAATAAGAAGAAGACGAAAAAACAACATTAACATATGTATTACATCAGATAGAATATATAAATAAAATAAATAAACCTTATATACATCCATTTATATATATATATATATGCATATATATATATATATATATCGATTCATGCAGTGTTTGTATATATTACTAATAAATGAGTATACACAGTAATATAAACGTAGTTACATGCACACATATTGTATCTAGTAGAACAATACTACACCTGGTTAATGGAATAAAAAGTTCTAAGTTATAAGGAATATAACATATACAGATGTTTCAAGTTAAGAAGGTATTTACAAATATGTATCATTAAAATTACTAGTCAATCTAAGTTGGACAACCACTTAAAACCTATAAGTACTGCGTCGTTGTTTCTCCTCAGAATCAGACTCCTCAACTGTGCACATCTACGACCCCGAAACCAGGAACGGAACTCAATACCTTCGGCTTCATGTACGAACGCTGAACCGGGATCCAATGGTGCTTCTACGTTTTCAATGGTTGTATAACTTATGTTGGTTTGTGATTTTAATTAAAGTTCACAACCACATGCTAAGATACATGCATCAGTAGATTGTATTATAAAACAAATGTGTCACTGAAGTATTGTTCGTGGTTGATGTCATGTAATTGGACATAATCAGCAGGTGGCCCTAAACCAACATTTAATGCAATGTTACGGTTGTTAGCAAGGGGTTTTTTTACTGTCGTAGACCGAGACTTCTACACTAATTGATCACTAAGTAGCAACTAATGTCATGGTTGTTTGTTCTTTCGTGATAATAGACGTGTATCGACCAAATTACAACTTATATAACCTAAAACATACAAATGCCACGTACATTTTAACTACAATCAATATAATGAATCAAACTCCAATGATATTATTATTCCCAAAATAGACAATGAGAAACATGAAAACTAGGCAATATAAATATTATAGCGTATATACAAGCACAAAATAAGTACTTACTCGGCAAATTCACTAATTTATTACAATAGAGATAAAGTTCTTTTAGATGATGTGCAACATCACGTATTGATGGTGGCAGAAAGTGTAATTGACCTTTAGTTAAGTCTAAACGTGTTGTATTCTCCTCACGACAACGATTAATTTCTTTGATAGCATCCTTTTTATATAAATACATAAATGTGCATATTTTTCATGATAATGAGATTGTTTTGTTTCATCAGTTTACAGTCATTACGATCGTTTTATGCGTAAATATTTGTATACATTTGAGAGGGAGGGATGGTAGAAGGTGAAATGAATCATATGGCAGTGGAAAGTATAGAAAAAGCAAAAAAAAATAACAAACCATTAATAGTAATGTGAGAATGTTAAATCATAGTTAACCTCAAAATTTACTTGTTCTATTAAAAAACTATGTACATATAGAATCTTTGATAAAGGTGATATATGCAAAGAAATCCAACTGAGAAAAGATTGTTATTTACATTATGGACTTAGATTTCATGAAAAGTTTCAGTAAAATAAGCAAATAGATAAAAATAGCAATTAAACGATTAGACCACAACAGATATCATTATCAAAAAATTTATATTGTGAAATGTATTTGAATTCGTTTTACACATTAATGATGGATAGGAATGTCAGTTACTAGTTTTACCAAGCCTATATTTATTAAGTAGCGATCACAGGACTTGTAATTTCGAGTTCATTGTGGTTAAGAGAAAAAAAATAGTAATCTATACAAGAGTAGGAACATTGTGTTCGAAGTCGAAATCCATTATGAATTACAAAACTGATAAGCTGTTTTTCACTAATATTTATTAAACAATTTCTGCAATAATGAGTTGGTATATATTTACTAATTCCCTTTAAATACCATGTTCATATAAGCTTGTATATAAATGATGTGTAAAAATAAAACTCCAACTATGAAAGTATCGTAACGTTAAACTGGTCAGTTTTCCAAGGACATAAATGCAAGTCACAGAAACTCCGAAATCATAAAAAACATTTTTAACTAAAAGTAGAACTCAGCTAAACAACGATATTTAATGCATATATATATATATATATATATATATATATATATATATATATATATATATATATGAGATTCCTATTCAGTAGTTATGAAAAAGAGGAACCCTAAATAAGTCCAAAAACTGCATTGAACCAACCATCAATCCAAAAAAATACAAATATACTAAAATTATGCGGTTGGATATATAAATGAAGTCGTTTAGAAAGTAGAGAGCCAATTTCTTTAAAAGTATAGGGAATAACTTGAGTAAATTCTTGATCTTAATAAAGAACTTGATTTCTACCAAATTTCTGTACCGTTTATTAAAACTAGATTGCTTTCACTAAATAGATGGATGAATGAACTGAAATACTTATTAACGAATAAAAGAGCCAACTTCCGAAAATTTTATCGTAAACTCGAATTCTGTTTTACTAAGATTTCGAACGTCGAACAATACAATTAACTCAGATAAAGCAGGTGTAACCCATACTCCAAAATATGCACTTCATATATCGGTTGATCACCATTATTCTTATTACTTGAGCTAAGATGAGTGGACCGGTCAACCCGCCCAACTGCTTCACTCCCTATCACTAGTACAGGTGCCAATACAAGCCAATCATGAGGCATCATTTTGCATTTCGACGGGGAGAACCGCATTCCGAACAAGCTTGCATTGTTGATTAAGGTGGTCAGTAGACTTCATTTTCTCAGATACTTCATCAAACACAACTATGTCATCAGCATATTCTAAGTCAACAAGCGAAATTACCCTGGTAAAAGGTCAACTCCTGAGAAGTCGAATGACGAAAGTGTCATATCTAAAAGCATGTAAATGACAAAGTTAAACAAGAATGGAGGAAGTGGACAACTATGACGAGCACTGTTTGAAGTATTCAATTTCAATGACAGTTCGCCATTTGCTCACACTTAAACAGTAGTGTTTGAGTAGAGAACCCTTATAAGATAACTGTATTTTTCTGGTACTCCTTTCAGTGGCAAACACTGTCACATTTCTTCACAATCCTCAGGTGGAGGAATACAAAAATGGTCAGATTCTAGCTAAGATCTCAGTCTATCTAATTGCAAAATCAAGGCCACCATTCTTAAAATCCTCAGAGATAATCCCATCAGATTTTGCTGCTCTTTTTCGTTTTAGATTGTCTATAGACTTCTCAACGTCATCGAGATTCGGAGGACATATATTAATTTATCATTCAGATTGCTTAGAGATGATAAGTAGCTGAGATTTGTCTGATGGTCAGGTGAACTGTTCCCTAGACCGTAAAATTCTAAACTAGCTGTCCGTCTAACTGTTTTAAAGATAGGAATAGTTAAAGATATCATTTGAAAATTAACATTGTTTTGACCAATAAAAAGTCATTTCGATAGTTAATTTATCAATTACATTTAATGCAAATAAAATCACAAGACTGAAAATTTTAACAACAAAAATTCGTGTCTCAGTAAAGATCTAGAAAAAATTGTTTAAAAAAATGACTTGTTCACACCATTGAAATAGGTTTGTAAGCAGATATTTAGGATGGGATTAGCTGTTTAATTTTAATTTTTAGTAACTTGACAAATTGTGATCCAATGAGGTAAGCACTAAAGTTCATCAGCTACCTAAAAATGAATAGTATGAATAGAAGTCGTAAACCAATCTCACAAATTCATTGAATGGAATTTACCGTATCAGATATCGTTCGAATTGACCAATTCAGACAATTTTAAATATACTGCCGAGTATGCTTCTCTTGAAGACTATAAAAGCCTACGTATAAGTCAATCAGAGATAGCACCATTATTAATGGTAATAAGAAAGATTAGGTTTTGATGATACGTTCTCAGATGAAAATATGACTTGGTGAAATAAAAAATTATAGGAAATTTAAAAACTTAAGATCTAAGAGGGTTCAAAGACTGAGTGCATCTGCGTCATTCCAAACAATTTTGGACCATTTCAATTAAAGTCGCAGGCAGATATATTTATTGTACTCCGTTTATTCATGGTCCAAAATTCATACAACAGTATATTTTAGATACTCTGGTCGCAGTGCAACACAAGGAATATATGAAAACAGCAATCCAAGCTTTTAACGAGTATAAAATAAAAATATACAACGATTTCTTGTAGGACATTTCTGAGAGTTCAAACATGTTTAAAAGCCTATTCGATACGGTAGTACTACTGTGGTTTGTAAACAAAATGTTGGACTATCCACTTATTAACCGTAAAGTTACTAATGAATAATATAAACGTGTAGTGAACTAAAAAACAAAAAAGACCATTTTTTTAAATAAAGATAAAAAAACCACCTACTGAATCTGTTTTCTTTGTTTTTCTAAGATGTGGTCCACATTGATAGGCTTTTTGATCACCAGGACGTTGAACGGTAACTTTAACTTTTTTAGGATCAAAAGGAGACGAGGAACCAACCAGTGAACTTTTCTAAAAGTCAACAATGTGAACACAATATATAATAAATGAGAAAGGGAACAGATGTCATAGTTTAAAAGTATTATACTACCGATCATATGTATATATATATATATATATATATATATATATATATATATATAGTTCGTCTCTAGTCAGTGGATTTGTAGTATCTTGTATAGACAGATTTTTATAATTACATGTACGTTTTCATTAGGATTGTGGTAGTCCTCTAAGTTTCAGCTCAGTACAATAGAAGTATCGTTACGTTTGTGTTGAATATTTTGACTTTGATGTTGGCTGAGAGTTCTTTTGAATTCCAGATATCCTTCAATTTTAGAAATCCTGTTCCTGCTTTATCGATTGGTGACTTGATATTTCCATCAAACCTTCCTTTTTTATCAATACTGCTGCCTAGATACATCCCATCAAGTGTGATTTGATTAGTGCTCTCTATGTTGTAATTCAAGATCTTACTTTTCCAATGTCAGTATCGAGGCCAGTTTTTGAGGAAGCTGCTACTAGATTGGCTTCTATAAACTTGAGAGAGATTTATTTTAACAAGGAGTAATCATACACAAATAAATTCACAATGAACCTGACAATAAGATATAAAGCTACCATAGCAGTACACTGACGAACATAGAGGTGAGAAAGGAGTCTTTGTTCATTGTAAAAATAAAGAATGTTTACGAATATTATTGAAAGAAAGAAACAGAATAACGAGTAGCAAATCAGTGTTTTTTTGAAGGGAAAGATCTAAACATTTCCAATAATTATAAAGAACACTAAATATAGAAGGAATTAGGGTTTACATGAAGTGACATTTACATATGCCACTTGAATTAAATTAAAAAATCATACAAGTTAACTGTTTGTTTCTTCCTTTTTTTCCAACCTTTCAGTTCGAATTTAGCTTCGATTATCATTGACAGACATATTAAATCAAGTAGATTTAAATATCACCACGACCATGATAACTATAGCACCGGTAACAGTAACAACAGTGATGACGAAAATGACGTCACAACCATAATTTTAAGCTGTGAATGCATCATTGTTTATTCAATAATAATAATAATAATAATAATTGTAAGACATAATGCAAATCACTCAGTACTTAAACTAAGCCATAAGATATAAGAAAAAATAAGAACAAACATGCACAACAAATAAACATAAATAAACGTGATAAAAGTACACATCATTTTTTATCTTAGAAAAAAAAAAGCTTCAATCATAAAATGCACATGAGTCATAAACACTAAGTTAAAATAGAAACAACTAAGCAAAACGTGAAAATTGGACTTGTTACGGTTGTTGTTGTTGTTGTAGTTGTTGAATGTTAGTGATTTTAGATCAATTATAACATCACATTGATGATATTGCAATATCCAAATAAACATCAAGACATGTAATGTGTTAACAAGGTAGTAGTGATTGATCACTGACAAATTTAAGAATTCATTCATTATATATTTTTGATTGTTAAACTAACCATCATTGGATCTATAGTTCGGTTAAATTAAAAAATCCAAATTGAATATGTTAACAACATGGGTTGGAATCTGCAATGTTATTTCATTACGAATACTAAAATTCACAGATTGTTCAGTATCTATAATCGCAGTGTATGTTCAAGTAATGCTAAATGCAAAGGAATAGTGTATTCTTATGATCCTCGATATTAGGCAGTACATACAAATTTTTAATACAAGCTTTTAATCTTTAATCAGCCAAATCCTGAGAAATTTAGTTGTTTTATCTATAACTTGTGGGGTATGTATGATTGCTGGTTACTCACCATGTAAATAACATTTGTTAATTTGAAGAATAACAATGAAATAACTCAATCATAATACCTACTATAATGTTTAGTATTAGGATGCATTTTATTGGTAGTAATATTTCAGTGCTAGGGTACTATGAAAAACCTCTAATAGGTGTAGAAATAAACAGTGAAAAAATCAATTTAGTAGGTGGTCTAATCAAAGGTGCTATTACTTTTCATCGCATTATAAAGATAAGACCTACTCAAACAACAAAAGAACATTTTAAGCGTGAATAAAAAGTGAAATACGATAATTCAGATCTAGAATAAATGATAACTGTTTTTTACAACATTGATATCTTATTTCAGATAATTTGTTGGGGACGTTAGATCCCCAGAACTCACTTGATAAATGTCTTAATTTTGAATTTTATGCTTTCGTATTAGGGCTGATCAGTTGACTTTAAGATTACTTTCCCCACCAGGAAAATCCGTGACTGTCATTGGTTGATGTGTTATTTTAGTACGCTATTTCTGTGGCTCTCCCAAGGACGTTTTTATCATGTATAAATAAACTCGATTTCTGTGCTTGCTAACCTTGATTTTCTGGATGCTTGTAGAATACACTTATTACGCCATATCAAGTCTTCTTCCTCTACTTAGTGCGGCCTTGGGACGCTCGTATTAGAGTAGCCTATCATGTCACTGGAGCATTTGTCTTCGCTCTCGTTTACCGACTAAGGTGAACTCGTATAATCTTCAAGCATATCAATTGACGAGCATAACATAATTACTAATAACAAAGCCTAAACGTTTGCACTTATTTAAAAGAATTCAAATGACAAACTGCTAGTTTGTTGAATAGTGTCATACCACGAAGAAATCAGTTTAATAATATTCATACTCTAGTCATCAATATATGTGATGGTTTAACATGTGTAACAACCTCAGTTCAAGTATTAATCTAAACTAGTGTACTTTTACTACTGCATCGAATGATTGAGTTTCTTCTTTCTATTCATTTCTCTAAACTTATCATATTACTTAGTATAGATTTCAGATGTCACGACTGCTGATAACGTAGAAAAACAGAGTAAATATATAACTGATTTGTACATGACAATGATGATAATATTTCGATCTAGTGTTTTGTGCCTGAATTTTAATTTTTAGATTAATTGATTAAAAACATATAATAAAAAGATTAAAACTAAATGAGAGCATATGCAAGATGTTATATCTGAAGTGTGTCTATTCAAATACACGCCTAGTTATGAGAACGTATAGTAAGAATCTCAAATAAAATTAGCTGTCATTCATAAATAATGAATAGGCCAAAAGAACAAACAACAACAACAATATACTGAAGGTTTAGAGATGAAGAAAAAGCAGAATAAATTTGAGTGGAGATAATTAATTTTTAGCCACCTCATCTAAAGTTTTCAACTGTTTTTTTAAAGCTATCAACTGTCGACATATTCGTATCACAGATATAATACATAGAGATAATTCTAATCATTCACTCATCCCGAATCGGAACAATTTACGCAGATATTTATCGACATGTAAATAAGATTAACATTATCAAACACAAGATAATTAAATTATTAATAAAGTTGATTTTTTTTATACACTCACTTTATAGGGAACTAAATGTATTGAATCGAGTACCGGAACAAGTTCACCTAATTCGTCAGTAAATTCTGGACTAGTGCCACGAACAAATTCATTTGAATCTGGAGTGCTGCTACCTCCGGTTCCTGCACCGGAAGCAAGCATTTTGTTTTTTTACAAATATGCTCTTGGGATGAACTGTAAGAAAATATGACAAAAAGAGCTATGAAAAAGGAAAAAGCATACATTACTCGGTAACAACAGTAAAATAAACTTTCCCATATAACGTCGTAATAATTGTTATCAACAACAAGAATTTAATTTACGACAGGATTGGTCGAAAGTTGACACACAAGCATACATTATATATTTAGTCACTTAGAATATATTAATAGGTGTAAATCGAGTTTACCATAATATGTAAATTCGATTAGCGACTAAGTAGGATCAGATACAAATGGCACTTTATCCCAGTTATCAAACAACGTAATTGCGACGAGATGAAAATAGATGATAAAAACGATCGAAATAACGTAGTAGTAATGGTAATTACTATTAACTTTAAACACCAGGAAAAGCAAAATCGATACGACGATGGACGCAACTAGATTACATCGCTACCAGCCATCGATGAAGAGACTCGTTAGAAGACAGTCGCTCTTTCTAGAGCACATGTTTAGATTTAAAACATGCTCTAATGTGAGCGCGTATATGTTTGCGGCTTACCGGACGTAAAAAGACACTGCGAGGAAACCTCTTAGGGTTCTACTTAATGATAGCAGGTCTAAGAATATATTTCAGGAATAATAAGAAAAACAATTAGACAGCCGTGTAAGTGATTCCCATCCTGCAGCATCGTGGAATGATGTCCAAAAAGCTGTGGAAACAGCAGTGATATCTGCTAGTAAGATAAACCTTAACGTCAGGGAGAAGCAGTGAAACTCAGTAGCATCTACTGAACTGATAGATGCTCGGAAACACATCCAGCCTGGCCGTGAACATAATGAGGAGCGGAGTCAGCTTGAGCGCAAGCTGACAAGCCTACGCGACGATCGCGAACAGTGTTGAATAGTGAAAGCAAGAACTATGGAAAAGTCAGTGATGATAGGTAATAGCAGACAACCATTCAGGATTACCAAGGAAACTGGTATTAGGAATCCGATTATTAGTGGGACAATCACGGAAAAGAATTGGCCTATTATATATTCTCAATCCAAGAGATTAGATGGATGGGCAGAACACTTTAGGGATCAGTTAAACTGGCCTTTAGTCACAATTCGATTACTCACGATACATTTGTCCCGAATGGCGAATCAATGTATGTCCTCCGACTCCTAATGAAGTTGAAAAAGATATAAGAAATCTGAAGCAAAGGAGAGCAGCAGCTTATCCCTGAGGTGTTAAGGATAATGATTCCGTTTTAGTAATTTGATTGACTTAGATCTTAGCTCGAATCTGCGAACTGAACGTAATTCGGATTAATTGGTCTCGATCACTGATCATTCTAGTTTCTAAGAAAGGAAAATAGACCTCATGTGACGATCGCACGAGGAATCACTTTAACTAATATGGTGTCCAAAATATTAGGTTCAATAATACTTCATCGCCTAACTAGAGCTCGAGGAGAGCAAACTCGGGAAAACCAGTTTGCTTTCAGACCTGGACGTGGGTGTATACACCACATATTCACACTTCGACAGGCCCTAAAACATACAATTTTCGACGTCCAACCATTTTTGTATTCCTCTGCCTGAGGGTGGCGTTTGTCTGTCGATTGGGAAGTTCTGTCGCAGTGTTTGCCACTGAAAGGAGTACCAGAACAATACACTTATCTTATAAAGGCTCTCTACTCAAATACTACTGTTTAAGTGTGAGCATATGGCGAACTGTCATTGGAACTGATTACGTCAAACAGTGTTCGACAGAATTGTCCACTTCCTCCATTCTTGTTTAACTTTGTCATTTACATGCTTTTAGATATGACACTTTCGTCGTTTGACTTTTCAGGAGTTGACCTTTTACAAGGGGAATTTCGCTTGTTGACTTAGAATATGCTGATGACATAGTAGTGTTTGATGAAGTATCTGAGAAAATGAAGTCTACTGACCACCCTAATCAACAATGCAAGGTTGTTCGGAATGCGGTTCTCCACGTCGAAACGCGAAATGTTGCTTCACGATTGGCTTGTATTGGCACCTGAACTAGTGATAGGGAGTGAAGCAGTTGTGCGAGTTGGCTGGTTTTCTCATCTTGGCATTCTCATCAGTGCTGATAGGTTGATGTGTAACGAAATCTCAGCACGGATACAGAAGGCTCGACTGGCATTAGCCAACTTGAATCACTCATGGCGTAGGTGAGATATCAACTGCTAACCAAAGGACGAGTTTACTGCACAGCAGTTCGCTCCGTCCTGTTCTATAGGTGTGAAACATGGCCAGTAAGAGTAGAGGACCTTAGTAGGGTACTGGTTTTCGATCAAAGATGTCCTTGAAGCACTGCTCGTATTTCGTGGGATGATCGAGTAAATTAGTGCAGTTGTTAGGAAATGGGTACTAGGTAAGTATGACAGATCCATAGATGAAGTAGTGAATGTTCATCTTTTGAGGTGGTTGAGATATGTGTTACGTATCCCCAACTTCCGATTACTTCGACGAACAATGTTTTGTGATGTAGGGGCGGGCTAGAAGAAAGTTAGGGATGGCCAGAACAAAAATGGGAAAAATCCATGAAGTCACTAACGGAGCCATGTTAGTAGGTGTAGACAACCTGTTTGGGGTCATCGAGACGATTGTAATCGATGGCTACAGACTTTGAATGACATTGCGATGGCGCAGTCGCATCCATTCTTTGGGTTCTCACAAATTCTAGTCTTCTGAGTTCCTCATTATATTTACCCTTCTATCTCAGTTTATTTCACTACATTTTTCTACCTGAATAAAATCTTCAGACCGTGATCTTTCTGATTTCTTCTAATACTTCTACTACCTCTAATACTAAGGGATTTGAATTAACAATTGCATATCTGTGCTAATGTGGTACAGAAACTTGAGCTGACGTACGCACGTACGTATGAAGTTCTACGTTGTAGCTGCCTGAGTAATAATGGTAACGAGAAAGACTGAACTTTGAGAAGTCTTCAATCGATGAAGCGGAAAAACATATCAACGAATATCGTCATTTAACATTGAGAGGAATATAAATAATGCACGCATTTAGGCCATTGTAAACGATTCTGAATGATTTCACACGAAGTTGCTAACGAATGATTGGGGATATCACGCGGACAGCACCGCGTAGTATGTATTAACTAGCATGGCTTTTACTGACAGTCAATGAATTCAGGAGATAATGGTATGTCTTTTTTGTCACCTTTACCTTTTTTCAACCTTTCGCTACACCAGAAAACATTGTTTATTAATAAAGACGGTGGTTATGTACAAATATATCGTAACCACCTTAGGCGATGAAAATTTACAGATGTGAAATTAGTTAGACAATCCGTCTGTGAAGCACTAGCGCTACTTCGAAGACGACTATGACCGAAAAGCTGAAGCTTACTTACGCCTTCTACTTTCAAAGACCATTTTGCATAGCCATAAAGTAGAATCCTCTGGAACAATTTAGATGTAGTAACCTTTCGTCAAATAGCTTCTAAAGAGGGTCCAGTAAAATCCCCCTGCCTTTGCTTAACCTTCATAAAAGTAGCATCAGAACGACGTACGTTAAGTATCCCTAAGTAGTGTGTAAAAGTACCAAATAAGAATAAAATGTTAAATACGAAAGCATAACTTTAAAATATATGATGTTTGTGTTGCATAATGCAACATGACTCGTCTGTAACTGCTACCTATATATGATGATTGGGCTTCGCAAATATAATCACCAAACCGAACTATATTAACTAGAATACTTATTTCTTAAGGTCCAAGCCTGGCATCAAATGGAAATTATCCAGTGACATCAAGGAATCAAGGGATTTATTAAGAAACAAAAAAGCTACCGTGAAAGGAAAAGCGTAACTTTTTGAGTAAGTATAAGTTTGTGAACTCGAGCTATGGGCTAGACTATTTGGCATGATGACTAGTGACATAACTTGAACGATTTTCGATCGATTCGAGCCCAAAACAAAATGGTTGAAAGTCAAGAAATCTAACCACTAGATGATTGCTCCATTACAGAATTTCCAGTACGAATCAGTGAGAGAACACAATGAGGATTCCTTCGGATCAAAAATATACTCAAATTGATCACAACTCATGTGAATAGCTTGGGTAATACATTTCTGACTATTGGATTGAAAAAAAGCAAATAGGTCAAGAATCACTGCACCTCAACTCAGAAAAACCCAAACATCAGATGACTACATTTTACAATACAACAGAAATATTTATTTCAGATATAATCAAATTACGTACGTTATGAATAATTATCATGATGATAAATTGTGCATAAGTATGGATGAAAAAATTTCAATCACGAAAAAGACTTATTTAAGTGGCTTGTATATAGCAGAATACCAAGCTGTGTAAGATAAATCCACATTAATTCAGTATTCTTAAATACTTAAGCAATAAGTGGACCAATAAAGTGAAGTGTGTGAGGTTTATGAGTAAATAATGTAGATGTGAATAAGATTTCCAATTACCTTGGAACTATATTACTGATAAAATAAGGAAAAACTGATGCTGATGATCTGGATAACTTTATAATAAATATAGACAACAATGATTTTGGCTTTTAAACTATGTTGTACGTTTACTTACTTACAGTGTGGATATTGAAGGATCTGCTTCTAATTTGAAGAATATGTCCATTTACTGTACATTATTGAGGAGGGGTAATTGTTTCAGGCTTTTAGGTACCTATAAAATAAAATATATATTTTTTATAAACAGTTTTTTCTTCACCTTGTTCAGTGGAAAACATCTGAATGCTAATGAACATGAGGAATATGAAAATCTTGTAAATCTCTTTTTCAAGACAAACGAAAAGTTCAAATAAGATGAAGGTTAAGATCTGAACATTATTACAGATATGTAGCTTAAAACGGACATTTTTAACTCTTGTATACAGTCAAATAATAAACTTTGTTGTTAAAGATGTTAAATCTCAAAATAAAACACACTAGGAAGATATCAGTTGTGAGATTACATTGATTTACGATGAAATTTCTTGAATCGACATTCAGAAAACTGTCAGTATATTAACTAGTTTAAAGTGATTTTTCTTTTCAGTGTATCATAATAATTTATTTAAAAGACCTACTTTTTGATTAACTATGGCTAAGAGAAAAGACAGATGTGATATCTACACGATGAAATGTAGTTGAAGAATACGGCAGTCATATCATTCACAGAGAAACACTGATGGAAAATTGAGAGATTTAATTTTCGGAAGATTGAAATAAAGAAATGTAAGTGATGTAAGGTTCAGGATTGCATTAACTGCATACAGTAAGATTATCTAAAGTCATTATGATGAGGGACTCATAAAAAACAAAGTTTGGTAGTAATCTACACTGTAGGTTGATTTAAACCAACACTTTATCTATCAACCATCTTTGCGATTTGAGCAGTAACATGAAAAAAAGATAAGTCTTTTTATATTATAAACACTAGAAGTTATTACGGGACTTTTTTCCCAATATAGAAAGTTTAAAATAAGCTTAACAGAACCAGATTTGTTTTTAGTCTTATCATTTTAATGCTTGTTTATTTTCTAGCCTTATTTATATTTCGGACGAAGAACTGCATCGTATAACGAGAGAACCGATGAAGTACTGCTTGAAGTAAGAGATATTGATGTTGACAAGACTTCTGATTTATTAAAAGAATGATTTTTCATTCAGTCAGTGACAACTATTAGAACACCTATTGTAAGTTTTTGAGGCAAATGTTGCAAAGTATTCGAATGATATATTTATTAGTTAAATAAACAATTATCTGGACAACCATTCACTATGCTCTACTACAAATTCCGTATCTTATGATTACGTCCTTTTAAAGATCCCAAAGAAATAAATGACGGTTAAAAATATTTCCGTATTTGTTGGTTTTACTTTCATGGATTAACATGATTGGCTGCATTAATAAATATACAAAAATAACCTGGCGAACGAGACGAATTTTTTAGTTCATTGGAATGTTTTATACAACCATATCGCAGAAATATTAGAATCTAATTTTAAAAACTGGATAACAAGAAAATTATTTGGAGCAGTAAATAATGAGCATACTGTTTTTGATGTAGTTTTAAAACACTAAATGTATATCTTGCTACAATTCCGTTAAAAGAAGCAGTGAATTTCTGACGATTAACAGTTTTCGAAGATACTTATGAAGCGATTAGAAGTTGAGGTTTATCTATGATTTCTTAAATATAATATGGTAGGCATCAAAAACTAATATGGCGTTGGAAAACGATGCGCTAACACATGGGACCTAGTCAACTAATGTTAGACAAATAATATGGTTTCAACTAGTGAAGAGGCTTGATTAAGTATCATTATTAACAAACCTAGAACAGTCATGAATAGTGGCGTATCACGTACTATATTGAAAAACGATTAGTTAGTTGACATTTACAACGACTGAGTATTTCAAACTCATACCTAGTTGTCTGTTCACTAAATCGTTCAATTCCACGCACGATCAAAACGAACGAGTGGCCACTAGAATTTCTGCATAAATAATATTTCGCTGAAACACCTAGGGGAATAAATACTAATCCTACAAAAAGCACAAAGTAGACCTCAGAAACTATTTTTAATTACGCGACGGCCTCCTAAAAACACACGATATTTACTTGAGCTTGTAATTAAGTATTTTTATCGTAAATGCTATTGAAGACAATCTGAAATACAACATATTCAAAAGAGGAAAGAATAGTCAATTTAGTATCCCTCATAGTCCGCGTCTTCTCACAAACTAGGAATAACACTAAGATCGTCATTGAAAATCCTTATGATTTCATATTCCGTCAAAACCGTTGAAAAAACTTTGATATTATAGTTCAATTAGCTAACTAACATATGATGATAAATTCCGGTAGTCTATCACGTAAATATCCTAAATTCCAAGACCTACTGTTACCACCCAATTTATAATGTATCCGTTGTAATTTATGAACTACCTAATTACCAAAGAGTCATAAATATACTAACAAAATCACAAACTGAACCGCGGCAACAAATTAGAGTACCGGAAAATTATGTCTTAGGCGCACTTACATAGCCAAGGTCTCAATCTCCAATACTTTTATCTTCGAACGATGAATAGTTTTTGTTAAATATGAACTCTATTTGTTGAAAAAGTATTTTAAATGCATCTTCAAGTAAGTGGGGAGGCTATTAGAAATCGATAGATATATTGGCAATAGCTGCTAACAAACCGAAAGAAAACGGATACATATTGTTAAAAATCTTCGCAAGAAAACTACGAGTTTGTCTGTTCCGAATTATTCACAGCTGAAACATGGCAGTTTCATCTTTATCAGTCCCACACTTGTAAAAAACTTTCTAGAGATATTGTACTATAATTTTCAAAATCTTAGTCTACAGCAGACGATTTTTCTGTGAGCTTCATGACAGGTATTATCTACTTTCTTCCACTCCCTCCTTTGATTGTCGAACAACCCCTAGTAATACTGGATTCCTCGAAGTACTCTTCAGGCATTGCAGGAACGAAATATATCTAACTAGGTTTTTGTAGTTCTCAGTGCTAACGCAAGACACAGAATGTGAGTACCAACCAAAAAAATTGTGCAATAACAACACATACGTAAATGAAATGATCATGATAGATCTATCTTTCCCATGTTTTGGTCACTTTTATAGGTAACTTTCGTGAATTATATGTCTACTTTATTTGAATAGGGTGGATATAACCACTGAGCTTACATCAAAATCCATACTCGCGTCTGATGTACATGAGGACCACCCTGTCATTTTATCCATATACTGTGGCTAATAAAATGACTAATTAAAACAAACACATACTAACGAAATATAGTGCTGAAGGAGGCTAAGGAAATAGACAATAAGGCTATAGTTTCATGCACTAGTCACTAACCTGCAATCAGCTGGCTGAAAAGTGGTTCATTTGCAGTACAGAACAGTCAGTGGGTCTCGTTCGGTTGGTTTGCAATCGCGGACGTCGATGTAAAGTTCAGTCTTTGAACTTTTTGAGATTCGATATTCTCGGATAACATTAAAATAAAATATTATGAGGTGAATCTTGCAGCAATCGATAATTTTTGTAACACAAATTATCTGTGGTGGTATACTTTTTACGAAGAAAACACAAATGCTGAAATATAAACATTTATTGTTGTACTTTGTTCTGACGGAAATTGTTATATTGTACACCTCTTGTTTATCTGTACAAAACACTATCTCTCGCGCGCCACTTCGCTTCTCCGCTCTGCTCCTAGCAGATCATTTGCAGCTTCTGCACCCTAGATTCGATATTATTTCGATGTCACTAGAATAACAATAAATATACTTGTTCACCCAGAATTATCTTTTCTTTCATTCCTGGACTTTCTCGATTCGCATTATTAATCATAGTTATTTCGATTTACTGTAAATGGTGAGCCAAAACTACGAATACGCATTAAATTTAGTGAGACTGTAATATTTCTATTACATTTTGTTACTGCTTTATCTGTTGTCTGATATGGTAGATAAATCTAAAAATGATGACTTTTTAGCTGACTCCCAAATACGGGTTCTCAATTTTTGAACTGTCGCGTTTATTCTTCATGACCCAGAGAGTCTGGTTTGCGAGACTAAAATCTCATTTCGGTAACCGCCGCATCACTAACTAGTGGCAAATGTTTGCGTACGCCCCGGAGTCCCTTTCTTGAGATCACATAGTCGCCGTCCATGAGGTTGTTCTCAACCCCACAGATCTGATGTCCACGATCGTCTTAAACAGGCATTTCTTAGATATTTCATCCCTTCGAGGGAAGAACGGTTGAGGACACTGTTAGCATGCGACCCCATGGGTGATGCTACGACAAGCCACCGCTTAACTCACCTGCAATCATTGATAGTACCAACGGCATCTGACTCTGACATAGTCAGACAATTATTTTAGATGGTTTACTAGCCCACGTGCAGCCGACGATTACTGCACTGCTCGAGGATACGACAGCTAACGAGGCTGCGCTTCTAGCAGATAAGATAAGAGCTCGGATTAACTCGCGAGACAAGTACATCCTTTCCTCTCCGTCACACGCACACATCGACCCCGATGTTACGTCCAGTTTTTGCCCTTTGATCCTTTGAAGCACGGTTGTCGATCTACTTGCAATTCACGATTCCAAATGTTAAACCAAAAAGGGAACTCCAAAGTTGATACCAAAGTTTATTCCAAATCACAAAATCGACTAAAATATGTTATTACAAATAGACGACCAATGTCGTTCTAACAACAATAATTATAATAATTACAATTACCTTCTATTTTATAGGCTCTTGGAGCAAAAAACTGCAAACGAACAACCAAGAGAAACGGGAGTCCAAAATGGCAGCAAATAATAATTCAAACAAGTTCATAAGTTAAGTATAACAAATATACCCAAAAAACAGTGAAATTAATGATATTTATATATAAAGTTTTGATCAGCAAAATGTCTTCATTCCTCCCGTAACACTCCCGACCAAAAGAACCTTGGTTCTTTTCACCGACAAAATAGATAACAACAATCCAAGTATGTGCATCACAATAAATCAACAACAAACATTCGATATAAATTCTACACCGGCTCACAAAATCCCTCTAAGCAAAACAAGCCTTTTCTAACACTTCAATTTACGGTTCACCCTCATTCCCTAATTCACACCGGAAGAACGAGCAGGATTTACAGCAGTATGCCTACCCGCCCTCCAACATGGATATAACCTATCAAACTAACTAGGTACCTGTACCTTCGACATTAGGTCCTTGATTCCCCTATCTATCGTAGCATGACCTAACGGTAGTATAAACCTTACCCAATTAACCCACACGAACATGTACAACCCGTCGTGAAGCTGGTCGAATCCTCTTGGAGATTTACCTTCCACCTCATGGGGATTAGTCGTCAATCCACCACGCATCGCTCCAAACAGCAGATACGATGAAGCCCGTGATGCTGACGTATCAACAGAAGTTCTTGACCCATAGATAATGTGCAAGGGTGGGATCTCCAATTTTGACGTTTCCTCGTCTCCAGAAGACTTTAAGTAGCATAACATCGCACCAATATCTAACTCTCCATCTCCTGATACAGAGGAGGTTTGATCAGCATTCGTCATCGTCGGTAACTTATTTGTCACATCAGTGACATCCAGATTATTAGTATCGCAATTCGAAACTGATATACTCACTTGTTGTTCTTCATGTTCCGTTTCAGAGACACAAGACATATGCTCATCAATAGCATCATTATCATGCAACACTGTAGATTGGTTGTTACCATCAGACGCTTCCTTCTTATCATCACTTGACTGACAGTCAACCGAAGTAGGAACACTTACAGTTACACAACCTTGTGTATCCTCAATCAACTTAACATTCGTGACAAGGTCCGATGACGTCGAAACACTAGAGAGCTCGTTCGATGAAGTTGATCGACTAGTCACTATAAGTGGACTGCTCGCGCTTTCTGTCACCTTACTATCGCTGTCACTACTAAGATTCCGATGACTACTATTTCCATTACTAGTCATAGCATCCGAAAGAGAATGATGTTTAGGCTTCTTAATAATAGTAGCATCGATGTAAGCACGGATGTATGCCAGTGCCCTATATCCCATTTCCGAGGCGTCACAGAAAATATGAAGTTCCAGGAGCGATCTGATTGTGGAAATAATACACAGCGTGGAAAACTTACGTTCTTAACCCTCTGAAATCCACTTAAAATCTCTAACCAGCCTTTGCCTTCCTCACTTGGAATCTCTTCGTCCCATCCTAGTCCCAATTTACTCAAACGTTGAAGTGACTGCTTCATAGGAAGTGTGAATGGTGCTGACAATCCCAAGGGGTCGTATAATGACGCTACACTCGACAATATACCTCGCCTAGTGAGAGGGCATTTCGGTATGCAAACTTTAAATTCAAACGCATGAACCATAGTGTAGAATCCTTTTTGAATGTTTTGTTTTTTGGAAAATCCCTCCATGTTTACATATTTTTGTTATGACATGACGGACTTTTTCTGTTGACATTTTTGGTATTTTATTTGATTCCAATTTGAGATTTTATCATTGTATGTTGTTATATTTTCTATATTTTGTACTTATATTGAAGTTTTTGTGTTTGCTTCTGATCTGTACATATGTTGTTTAAATTTGATCTATAATATGGCTACAGCCATATTTGGATTGATCCGGTAGCAGTTGGACTTAACGTCACTTATTCACCTTTGTTGGATACTCTTCGGAGTAATTGTAACCTGGAAGGTGCATCAATTCCAGGTATTGCTTTGTATTTCCATCTTTTAATTAATAAAGACCGTTTTCTCCTAGAACTTTTGCTTTTTCTGGACCTTGGACTGGGAGACACGAGTTCAGGTTGCACTTATTGGAAACCATTTGAACTGCTACGGTAGAAATCCATTTACACATAGTATTCCAAAATAATCCCAATGTGCGTTCCGTAGGAAGTCTCTCAAAGTCAATCCCTTTTACGGCTTCTGCTCTCTCTTCTGGATGAATTGATTCGAGAACCTGTAAACAGTTACTTATCCACTTTGTAAGTCTGAACCCACCTTTTCTGAGTAGTAAACCAAGGGTTTTTGCAAGCTCGATTGCATCCTGCACATTATCAATTGATGTTAAATAGTCGTCGACATAGAAGCTCTTATCTAGAACTTCCTGGACATCTTTATTCAATTCCTTTCCGAATATATCTACCGTCTTCCGAAGAGCGAAATTAGCGCAAAAGGGAGAGGACACGGCTCCAAACGGATGAACTGTCAAACAATATTCTTTAGCCTTTCGTCCTATATCACCTTCTTCCCACCATAATAGTCGAAACGCTCCCCTGTCTCATTTCGGGATCATTACTTGAAGGAACATCTCCTTGATGTCAGCGGCTAATGGTACGTTGCATAATCTGAATCGTAGAAGTATACCAATTAAACTATTTACAGTTTTAGGTCCTCTCAAAAGCTGATCGTTAAGAGAACAACCTTGATAGACAGCTGCACAATCAAAAACAATTCTTAATTTTCCAGGCCTTTTAGGGTTGATAACAGGATGATGAGGAATATACCAACAAACAGCATCACGGTCGAATTCCTCCTTACTAGCTTCAATGATGTAGCCTTTGCTTATATGTTTACTCATTACAAGTTGATATTTCTCCAGAAGACTATTATCCTTCATAAACCTCTTCCTTAAACACTCTAGTCTACGTTCAGCTAGTTCCAAATTATTCGGTAGCCTTGGCTTATCATACTTCCAGGGTAGACTAACTTGGAAATGGCCACCTTCCAGTCTAAAGGAACTATTAACTATTTCTAGAGCTCTTTTATCTTCGACAGAATATTCATTACGAAACCCATCTGCATCCTCGAACTCATGATTATATAATCTTTGTATATCTCGCAAAATATCATTAGTACAACAATGACACCACTGAACTTGATGTAAAGACCTCGATGCTCCTTTAGGACCTAGAATCATCCAACCGAGATGAGTACGCACACCAAACGGATGCTTCCTATCTCCCAGGCGTTGTTCAAGGACCCAATGTGCATCTGGAGCATCACAACCAATCAATATTCCTACTAGATTACTTTGCAGCCTCGGTAGAGTTATGTCCCTTAAATGTTTCCACTTTCTCAGCTGCAGTTCGGTTAAAGGTTCTGCATAATCGATCTGAAGTTTCTTGGTCGTATAGGCCTTGTTGATCTTTATAGAACCCCGCTCATCTAATGAAAATACCTCTAAGTTTACTTCCAAACATTCACAAGTAGAAGTTCCATTCACAGTCGTCACCTTTATTGAAGTCTCCTTACCTTTGAGACCTAACCGATTAACTAACTCTTCGCATACAATAGAGGTATCTGAACCATCGTCTAGAAGAGCGTACGTTTCCAGACATCCTTTGGGGCCATATAGTCTAACCGGAACGATACCCAAACAAACCTTTGGGAATTTCCAATACTTAGCAAAGTTCACTACATGTTTGTTAGAAGCATCAATACGTAATAATGGATTATGCTGAATCTTGCAATTATCAACGTCACACCTTGTGTCCGAGTTACACGACTTGGCTATGTGACCCTTCCTTAAACACAAGTAACATAGACCACGATTTCTCACTTCCTGCCTGCTCTCTGTAACATTCATTTTTGATAACTTCATACAGTCTTTCTCATTGTGATCACCAAAACAAATTTCGCAACTTAAAGCCTTGAATGAGTTGCTTGGTTCCCTCTTAACTACATTAAAGCGTGATCTCCTGTCAACTTGGCCTTCACAATTACCTTTACGGAACTTTGAGTTACAATGTACCAATCTACCAAAACGTGATCGCGCAATCCTGGCTCTTTCTTCTACAAACATCACTAATTCTTCAAATATCGGCTCTCTACCGGTCATCATGATCCTATCAGCAGCTTCCACCCATTTATTCTGTAATTCCAAGGGTAAACGTGACACAATTATTTCCAGATTAGCTGTAGAATTCACATCAGACATATACCCCATTTCCTTCAATGTTATACATACATTACGTAACTTAATTGCGCAGTCAGTTAGGCTATCGGCGGATCCTTCAACAGATTTGTGGCTGAGTAATTCGGTAATAAGATTACGGGCGACAAGATGTTCTTTACCAAACAGATCATACAAAATTTGCTTAGCTCTATCGTAACCCAAGTGACTGGGCAAAGAAATACAAGCATCAATAGCCATTCTGGCCTTTCCTTTACAATAGTATGACAAATATGACAACAACTGGCCCTTGTCAGACAGTTTACTCTCTATAATGCTTGCAAACTGACTAATAAAACGGTGGTACTGGCTTGGTTGTCCGTCAAAAAACATCATATCGATTTTAGGCAAAACTGTATTATTAACCGTAGCACGTAACGTGTCCTTTAATTCATCAATACAATCGCATTTTGAGGCGTTAATTACCTTATTACGCGCAATATCACAATCCCAATACCTTTCGACCTTAGAATTTATCTCAGCTTTGTCTACTGACAGTTGGTTATCGTTTTCTATGAGCTTACATTCTAATTCAGCCATATCAACTTCCTCTTGAAGCTCTAACATTTTAAGCTGCTTTTCTAACTCAAGTCTCTTTTCCAAATTCTTCTTCTTAATTAATGCCTTATCTAACTTCAATCTAGAAGTACTAAACTGAGATGAAGACATACTATTAACACTAATATCATCATGTTTATCATCATTAACATCAGACATACCACAAACAGCTTTAGAAAATTTACCATCCATTTCGTCCTGCTCCTTCACCTTTTTGATTCTAGTTTCCATTGTATGCTTTTGTTCGAAATCGATTACCAAGCAAATGTGAAATTAATCCAAACGTATTCGCCCAATAATAACAAAAATGTCCAAAAGTATCCAAAATATAACCAAAGAACCAAAATTGAATTGTCCAAAGTATCCAACGACCAAATTAAAAGTTAGAAGAACTTTTGGACCCAAATTTCCAAAAGTTTCCAACGACCAAAATTTGGATTGAAGAACCTCTGGAGCCAAACGACCAAAAAATCCAATATATGACAAAATAAAATAGAAGAACTTTTGTTACGTCCAGTTTTTTGCCCTTTGATCCTTTGAAGCACGGTTGTCGATCTACTTGCAATTCACGATTCCAAATGTTAAACCAAAAAGGGAACTCCAAAGTTGATACCAAAGTTTATTCCAAATCACAAAATCGACTAAAATATGTTATTACAAATAGACGACCAATGTCGTTCTAACAACAATAATTATAATAATTACAATTACCTTCTATTTTATAGGCTCTTGGAGCAAAAAACTGCAAACGAACAACCAAGAGAAACGGGAGTCCAAAATGGCAGCAAATAATAATTCAAACAAGTTCATAAGTTAAGTATAACAAATATACCCAAAAAACAGTGAAATTAATGATATTTATATATAAAGTTTTGATCAGCAAAATGTCTTCATTCCTCCCGTAACACCCGACGCTAATCACATTCAGGCTCAACGAGATCTGGGTAGCTGTATCCACAGCAGTCTCAATTTTTCTACTGTTCCACAACCCCATGTCCCACGAGCCCGCTCTAGATCAAGAAAGGCTACAAGCACTTGCCTCCATCGAGCATCTTCCAAACTACGCCAGAAGGCTGCTTTGGAAGCGAGTACCGGCTGATGTTGGTTCCACCAGACTTTCAGGTCTGGTACAGTCAACCTGAGCAACTGACGACAGTATCTGTGGACGTTCATCATCGCTGATGTTCCCACAGCCATACTCGTTATCGATTTCCTACAGCACTATGAATTGCTAGTCGATCCACGTAGGCTGCAGCTAATCGGTACTTCGTCGAACAGAAAATTTATGGGCTTTCGAGCTCAAACAGATGCGTACCATATTAAAGGGGTATTTCATTCGCGTGATGACATTTTCCACGCTTTACTCGAAAAATTTCCCTGGCTAACTAAACCACGCGAGGAGACTACATTGGCGACCCATTGTGTGGTACACCACATCGTTACCTGCTAATCTCCAGTCACGACAAGACCTCGCCGACTGGCATCGGATAAATTAGCTTTCGCTAAACATGACGCAATCGAATTACACCACCTACGGATCCACCCCCCCTAATAACTCTTCAAAACACTATCTCGATTTAATAACCACTGAAAGCCTCCATACCAGCTCGAACTATATAGGGGACGCAACCATGGCAAATGCAACTCTTCGCTTCATGAGAAGAAAACTTGGTGTTATAACCACTAAATTGTCCTTAACATTGTTTAAAACATGCACGCCAACTCCTTGAGGTTCAGAACGTCGTCTCACCTCTTCTCCATAAATCTCTTCGACGGAGTGCAGGGACGAGCAACGAAATGGGTGATAGGGTTGAAGAACAAAACTTGAGAAGATAGACTCCAGCATTTCGGATAATTCCCCCCTGAGTTACAGGAGAATCATAAGTGATCTGACAATTATGTACACCATACTAAGCACACCAAACAATCCCACCGTGAGCACTTTACCGACACATCACCACCACCCCCTAGAGGTAATCCTTGATAAATCACGCATCAAAGAGCGAATACTCAAGTTCATGCACACTTGTTCCAGTTAATAGTCTTTTAAATGTGGAATGATCTCTTAGCCTAAGAGACCACAGCCCCCTTAGTGAAGAGCTTTAATAAGAGACTTGAAAAATGCGAATTCACATACGGATTATCGTCTCCATCGTGGACAAGCTGTGCCTGATGCATGTCTTGAGACATGCTAGTTGTTGTTATTGCCATCTCCTCAGATCATTAACTTAACCTATCTCGCCTAATATCTCTTCCTTCTCTCCCTTGCTTACACTTCAGTCCTCTCGTGCAATCTTCACTACCAATTATTTATTTAGTCCTGAAATCTTATTCATATTAGCATTAGACTCTTCTCCCTATTATTTTCCACACTACAACTAACTGATCTCCGGTCTGGTAATGTAATAGATGCCGATATCCAGAAACCCTAATGTACTCATTCAAATCACGGGACATACAAACTCACAAACAACTGCCAACTGTCTAGAATTAGTGCATTTGAGTTTCAGACCACCATCGACTTAACATTAACAAATACCTGGAAACTTACCGAAAGAAGAAAATCGAGCACAAAGAAACCAGTTGGTTTATACTACCCCGTGGTAAAGATATTGGATATTGGAAAAGTTTAGTGAAAAATGCTGATCTTAATTATATGCGGTACGGTGGTTTCTTCTCATCTTTGTAATTTTTGCGAACTAGTGATTTATCAGCAGAAGTAGGCCTATAAATACTTACTTATATTGGCCTTAAAACCCAATATAAAAAAATGAAAGTGTAACTGGCGACGATCGATCAGGATTTATCCGTAACTAAGTGCTGTACAAGAACGTTGGTTTTTATGCCACTTATATCAGAATGCGAAAGAGCTCTTAGTAATCAAATATTTCAACCGAGAATGCACTTACAGACAATTTTAATTTACGTTACATGGGTTTCATGAAAAAGGCAAAACCATTTACGATGGGTTATCTCAGTTTCAGTTTGGAAAGGACCTGAAGCTGAGTGATCTCAGTTGATCCAGCTCCATCTACTTGTTGGAGTAATGAGTCTCATTCTTCGAGGATTTTATAACAATGTCGATATTTAGCCTACAAGTAATTTGTTCAAGGCCTTGGTTATATCCAGTGAAAAAAACTGCGAAGTCGTACCTCAACTTAACTGACATGATGAGACAAAACAAAACAAACCATCGCTCGGTGACCCTATTCGCATTATTATTTCTCGTTAGCGACCTAAAAAGTTTTGACTAAATTTCAAAGGCTTTCTGGATTTTAATCCTAGAGCGTAATCTCTTTAATCTAGTGATATCTGCACAAACGTCGCAAAATCTTTTAGAAAGTCAGTCTGTAAATGTACATGAATCCAGATGAATTTATGAATATTGCTATCAAGAACCAGTTATTAAGGCAAAAATACCCAGAAAACGCGACTATTTCGCATACCGTTCCTTCCCCCAACTTAGAGAAAGCTGAAACAAATACCTGAGAGGATAACGTAGATTTCTTACTTTGGGTTACCGCTGGCTACCAGAAACCTATAATTTTATAAAGATTTAAATAATATTGTGTTTCGAAATTATAGAAGCAAACTTAGTTGCCCCGTCCCACTGTATGATTGCGAAACATGACCGGTCAGAGTTGAAGATTACTTACTTACGCCTGTTACCTCGAATGGAGCATAGGCAGCCTACCAGTTTTCTCAAACCATCTCTGTTCTGGGCTTCCCTTTCCAGTTCATTCTTCTCATATCTTTCTCTATTTCTCGACGTAATATGTTCTTTGGCCTTCCTCTTTTCCTTTTACTTTGAGGGTTCCAAGTGAGGGCTTGTCTTGTGACGCAATTGGGTGCTTTTCGCAACGTGTGTCCTATCCACCAGCTCCAGCGCTTCTTCCTGATTTATCCCTCAACTAAAACCTGGTTTGTTCTTTCCAGCGGTAGGTTGTTGCTGATAGTGCCTGACCAACAAATCCGATGATGGCTTTCGTAGTTCTCCAAGTTTCCGCCTCATAAAGTGGAGTTGTCATGACATTTGTATTGCAAATTCTGATTTTGATGTTGGTTGATAGTTTTTGGAGTTCCAGATGCTGTTCCATTTTAGAAATGCAGCCCTTGCTCTGCCGATCCGCACCTTCACATAATCGGATCCACTTTGCTCGTCAATGATGCTACCCAGATGTGTACAGTATTTTATGTCCTCCAAGGCATTCCCACCAGGAGTCATTTGGTTGGCGCATGTAGTGTTGTATCATGAAATATTGCTTTTCCCTTTATGTATGTTGAGACCTGCTGCTGCTACACTGGTCGTCTTCTCTTGCATTTGTTGTTGCATGTGCAATAGAAGAGCCAGACCATCTGCAAAGTCCAGATCTTCCAGCTGTATCATGGCTATCCACTGTATACCGTGCTTTCCTCCATATGTTGACGTCTTCGTAATCTAGTCGATCACCAGGTGAAAGAGAAAGTGTGAGAGTAAGCAACCTTGCCTGACACCGGTCTTCACCTTGAACAAGTCTGTCAGCTGTCTTCCGTGCAGGATTTTACAGTTTAATCCATCATAAGAGTTCCGTATGATGTTGACTATCTTCCCAGGCACACCGTAGTATCGAAGAAGCTTTCAAAGTGTTGCCCTCTCCATGTTAACAAATGCTTTCTCGTAGTCAATGAAGTTGATGTAGACTGATGAGTTCCATTCAATTGATTGTTCCACAATGATCCGTAATGCTACAATTTGGTCGGTACAAGATCGGTCCTTACGAAATCCAGTCTGTTGATTTTGAAGTTGGACGTCTGCGGAGTCCTTAATTCTTTTTAGCAATACCCTGTTGAAGACTGCCTGGTATTGAGAGGAGAGTGATACCTCTGTAGTTCTCACACTTGCTGTGATCGCCTTTCTTTGGTATTTTGATGAGGTATCCTTCTTTCCAGTCTGTTGGTACTTGTTCCTCATCCCAAATCTTTTTGAAGAGAATGTGAAATATTTTCGCAGTTGCTTCTACATCTGCTTTCATTGTCTCTGCTGGAATATTGTCTGGTTCCTCTTGCTTTGCTGCTCTTCATTTGTCTGATTGCCATGCCGATCTCTTCAACTGTTGGTGGGCCAACCTCGATTGGGAGATCTGCGGATGCTGCTTCAATGTTGGGTGGGTTCAATAGAGCTAGTCGATTCAAGAGTTCCTTAAAGTGCTCTACCCACCTATTTCGCTGTTCTTCAGTGTTCCTGAATACCTTACCTTCCTTGCTCTTTACTAGTCGTTATGGTTTGCAATAGTTTCCAGCGAGCTTCTTTGTTGCATCATACAAGTCTCAAGTTTCCTTCTCTTGCAGCCTTTTCTGCTGTAATTACTAAATCTTCCACATATTTACGTTTGTCGACTTTGATGATCTTCACTTGCTTGTTTATTTCTGTTTTCAACTTGTGGTATCTTGAATTCACTGAGCTTTCAAGTATCCCGAAGAAAGGTTGTGTTAAACTTTTGTGATGTTGTCTGCCCCGTTGTCCAGTTTTTCTTGAGTTTCATTCTTATTTCGGCGACTAGCAAGTGGTGATCTGAGGCTAAATCAGCTCCTTTCTTGGTTCTTACGTTCTACATGGTCCTTCTAAACCTTTTATTGATACATATATGGTCGATTTGGTTCTGAGTGATGTGATCTGGTAAAATCCATGTAGCTCTGTGTATGCTTTTGTGTGAGAATATTGTGCACCCTATGAACAGTTTGTTAAAGGCGCGTAGGTTTGCACATCTCTCACCGTTTTCATTCCTTTCCCTCAGTCCTTGTCGTCCCACGGTATTCATATCCAGTGTTGTCCATGCCAACCTTGGTATTTAGGTCTTCGATCAGAATGGTCAAATCCTTTGACGAGCATCTCTCGGTGATTGACTGCAGCCTCTAGTGGAATTAATCTTTAACGTCTTCATTGTAGTCATTGGTAGGTGCATAGCATTGGATGACGTTCATTGTGATGCCTTTTTTCTTTGTTTTAAAAGATGCTTTGATGATCCTTGGTCCATGAGATTCCCATCCTATCAGTGCCTTTTTGTGCTTGTTTGGACAGCATCAGTGCAACTCCTTGTGTATGTGAGGCCTTTTCCTCTTCATGACCAGAGTATAACAGCAGCTCTCCTGAAGCTTGTCTCAGTTGTCCTACCTGTGTCCGGTGCGTTTCACTGATTCCAAGCATCACTAGGTTGTATCTTTTTATTTCTATAGCAACATGAAATCGTCTTTCGGTTTCCCACAATGTTCGAACGTTCCATGTACCTAAAAGAATGGGAGCTTTGGTTTTCAGAAGGAGCATAGGCGTGGTGACTTCCGAAGGAACTCGGAGATGTCATAATTCTTCTGAAAGAAGACCTAACTCCGATGGCCGAGTTAAAATAGTTTGAATTGTGTTTATAGGTTAGCGTTTTTTAGCGAGTTAGTTGTTTGTGGGGTACGGGTCGCCAACCCCACGCCTGACCCTTCTTTATCCGGTCTTGGGACCTGCAGTATTCCCAGAGGGGTTCCAGGCGGCATTAAGATTCAAGATATTCGTAGGTTTTTGGTATTCGACTATAGATGTCTTCGAAGCAATGTTCGTTTATCGTGGGATAACTGAGTAAGCAGTGCTGTTGTTGAAAAACGAGTACTAGGTAGAGATGACAAATCAATGGATGAAGTATTGATTGATTGGAACATTTGTTACGTTTACTCAATTTTCGATTGCCTCGACGAGCGATGTTTTGCAGCGTAGGAGCAGGTTGGAAGAAAGCTAGGAGCGATCAGACCGAAACATGGCACAAATCTATGAAGTCACTGACAAGTTGACTGAGTCATGTAGATGTAGACTACCTGGTTGGGGTCCACTAGACGATAGAAACCGATAGCTAGGGATGTTGAACGACATGGCTCAAAATCGTTTGCAATGGCGCAAGTGCATTCACTCTTCGCGTTCTCTGAAATTCCGATCTGAATTCCTCATTATCTTTCTCGTTCTAAAGTTATCACACTGAATTATACTCCTTGAATATCTTCGAACCCTAATGATAATACTTCTACTAAATCTACCACTATGGGGTTTGAACTGACTGTTGCGTCTGTATGCTGATGCGATATTGCAACCTGAACCCATGTACGAAGTTCTACGTTGTAACTGACTGACTGAAATTCCTGTTATCTTAACGGGAGGTGTGAGATTGTGAGCCCATACTCATTAGTACTAGGCGCTACGTTCATGACTGACGGTATTCATAAATCTTCCGTCGTAATACATCCTACCAAACAGAATGAATTATTATGTTTTACTATGCTTTTTTTTCCTATTAGTGTTTCAAATATGAAGAAATACGATTCTCGACACATTGGGATGTGTATTTTTTTTAGCTTACCAAACCTTCAGCGTTGTCTGACGTTCATTTCGGTGGTAGATGGTTTTACCGTATGCTTTATTTGTCTACTTTATAAGAATACTCACCTACGATTAACTATAATTAACATTAAATTTTCACTTTACAGATAGGTTGGTTGGTTGAATAAACACCGTAAATTCGAGCGAAAATATTCAATTCAAATAGTTCTGTTTATTTACTGAATGGTTTATAAAATGCTGAAGTTAGATGAAACAAACCCAATTGATGGCTTAGACAGTGTTTCCGAAAGTGTTTCATCCAGCTTAGGTAGATTTTTGACTTCAATTTTGAAAATCAGTTACCAATACATACTCTGTCGAGTCAATAAATGATGCCTTAATATTGCTTACCAGAGAGCCACTTTTTTCAGACCTATTCAGTAAAAGTGAACAGAAATGGTTCGAAAATTTTAAAAATTTATCAGGTAAATTGTGATTATTTCCATTTGCTAATGATGCTCCCAACTTTTGAACAGATCTATCTAAATCGTCGATAGTTCGCCTATATGGTCGATCCCAAAAGATTTTTCGAAAATCAGATCTTATAAAAATTATTCAAAACGACATCGATCAATGCTTAAATGAGTTGAGCTGTTTGGGCTTTCTTTGTACAGGTCTAGTCGAAACTGAATTTAAAAATCCCTGATTATTGCATAATATTTTAGATATGCAATCGTTATCAAGTGAAATGTTGATGCATGAGCTCAACCGTCAGGAGCTAGACCAGTTAGCTGGAATGTATAACATTAAAAATTTTAAAAGTTTAACAATGATTCAATTGAAAGATGCTTTGTTAAAAACGTCATCTGTTTCACCTATGGCATCATTTTTCAAGGTCCCTATTCAGAGTAAAGATAGATTTAAAGGATTGTAAGTTGAAGATAGACTTTTTATTTTGATGTTGAATTAATTCGTCTCCTTTGTGTTATTTACTCGGAAAGGTTACTTTAACTTTGTAAATAATTATCGGTTCTTTTCCTTAATAGTCATTCTTTTCTTTAGAGGACAATTCCAAGAATCAGACTTTCCTTCCAGATAACTCTACATATTCAATAAATTCGTTTATATTATACCTGTTGGTAAGTTAGAAAGTGATGTGTGAACGAAATGACAGTCAAAAATACATTTCTATATTGCGTTGTATTGGATGATATTCGTCTACGTAATTAAGTTAACAGAAGTTTGTATTATCCAAAGTTAAAGTCCCTTTATTTTTCTAATATGTACGTAATTTAAATAAGATATTCCGAATGACATTAATATTAAAAATTACTTCAAGGTATGGTTTTTCTAAACGAAAATAACTGGTGGCAATATAGCGGTATTACTGTTTCCAGATTTTCTAGCAAAAAAAGTAAATTAATTAACAAGGGTATGGTTTTTCATCAAGTGACCTAGTTGCAACTATTTCACATGCCCTGCTACCATACATATCTTTTGTCAATATTCTCTGGGGTAATAATAGATAGATAAAACTCTAGAGATGTCTAAATTAGCTATGGCATCAATGAATGAATTCACTATCCGTTAGTCCAAGCCGTATTATAAAATATCATTCATGGGGCTATGCATTAGTCGGAGACTTTGGGGGACAACTCAAGATCAGTCAGTGACATGGTTTCATTAATTCTTTATCTTTCTCTACATCTTAATCATAATATTCTCCCATCACTTTCTTCCCTTCATCTTGTCCTTTTTTCGAAGCACATTTCGTATGTTTAGCTCCTCACTGCGATCGTTACCACTATTTACTCTGCACCGTATGTCATTATCTTATTCTCCTCCCTTACCTCAACAATGTATTGCAACTTGAACGGAAATACATTTGTATTTGGTCTTACGTTGTCTGAGTAATCGATCAACTTTTTAGTCCTTATATTGCAGTCGAATTTTTTAATCATAACACTTCCTCTAATTGTTTGTTTGATATTTTCTATTTCTCTGTATCGTATTTGACTTGAGTGTATCATAAAATTTTATTTTCCTCACTAGACATTCTCTAACTGACTTGTTACATGTTTCATTGCTTTCATACGTGACAGATTGTGTTTTCTAGCGTTTTTCAGTAAAAACTATATATTTATCTATCTGTTATCATAATCATTGAAAGATCGAATTGTGCTGCTATCTATCAGTACTTCGCATAATTATTGTGAAGTAAAAATCCGCAATATTCGGTTGTGTTATTATTTGTTTTTTCGTTTTCCAGGTTGTATTTATCAGTCAAAATTATTGTATTTAAGGATGATTTCGGTTTCTAATCCCACCAGTCTTGATTAGTATTCCTTTTTATCTCTGAAGTCTTTCGGGCTGAAAACCATCAGATCATAATGCATGTCCTCTGAGCTGTTTGGTTATTTTGGAAAAAAGTTTCATCTTCATAGGTATAAAAATTTTCGATACTGTATTGCTTACTGACATATCCTAATCCCTGCCTAATATTATGTCGTTGACTTACTGTTTATCATTCTTTTTCCTAGTGAATAAATAAGATAAGAAAACAATGAATTTCAATCTTTATTTTGACGTCAACGAATTTTTTGGCTCACAGAAAAACATTACTTGTTTACTTCACTCTTTTATCCATTTTGATTTAGAATAACCCGAATTCTCGATGGGTGCTGGCATGTGGATGAGACATATACACAGTTAATAACTCAATTACTTTGGCTAACATCTATTGGTTCCGACTCAGCATATAACAGACCGAATAAACTACAGTCGATTGAAGCTATATTAAAGACTGAGCTGTAAGCCATTTCATATATGTTTCTTGTTTTTCAATTTTGTATTTGCCTGTCAATTTAGATTTACTTGCAAATCAACATTAGCTAAGTGACTATTAAAAGGGAGGAAGCAGTGAATAACTATTTTGTGCTGATTCTAGAATTCCAAAATACTGCTCACCCATAACTCCTACGCGTCGAATGAAGGTCTTTGATGTCTCTAGTAATCGCTTCGACTTAATGGATCAGCACTCGTGGTTTAATGTTTCAGTCTTTTCCAATACTTTTTATAGCTTTATCTTTGACAGTCATCCAATTCAGACAGCTAGTGTATAGTCAGTAAATGTTTTCTGATGACTCCATTCGATTAGCTCACTCCGTACGACACTGTTTTTACCTATATTCTTTTCTCATAATGCAATGTATTGTTGTAAGTTGCTCCTGACCGTTCTAAAATGCCGTTTCATTACCAATTAATGAACATTATAACACAATATTCACCAACCGAGTGGTTTTGATTCTAAAATCCATAGTTAGTCCTATTCAATAATTTTGGATTATTTTATCATGTCTCATTTTAAAACATATCTCATTTGTACGTTTTTTGAATGGAGTATTGTACTTATAGAGTTTAAATTGCAGTTTGCATCTGGTTATTATTTTACACATATGGTTCATCATCTTTGATTGGATCTATTTTGTTCATTTCTTTATTGTGTTCACTGTTTTACTGTTTGCTGTTACAGATACACAATGCAACTGGTTCGTCGGGGTGAACTTATCTTTCCATCCTACATAGTCAGTCGTAAATCTACTCTCTATCACACAAGTGACGAGTGTCGAAAGTTTGTTACGTATTTCAGTTCGATCGAATACGATTACTTGTTATTTTTTTTATTTTACTTAAAGATTTCTAGAACTCATGGGTTTGGAAATCCGATTAGAATATTTAATTAGTCAGAAATCATATGATCTTGCTTTACAGTTGTGTTTGGATAACAAAACTAAGTTAATCGACGAAGTTACAAAGTAAGAACAATATTTTGTTAATAACGTCTGTGTTCTGGATATATATACAAAATTATTTATCATTCTCCACATTTATCAGAAAAGATTATTTTCATAGTTGGTTAGGTACCGTAGCTAAGTGAACACGTTGTATGTTACACCTATTTTATGATTAAGTGAATTACGAGTCTGGCATAATAGAGTTTATGTTTACAACAGGTTCAATAGAAAACGTTTTCGAAAACTAATAAGTAGATTTCGAACTGCATTGGTGAGGATATAAATTATTCAGAATTGATTCTGAGGTAATATAGTGAGTATTTGTAGTTTTCGAAATTAGTTTATCGCACTGCACACTGAGGATGGTGACTTTGAGTATGTAATGAAAGTTCAGTGGTTAAAGATTCTGACTTTTAGTAATGTAGTCCCGAATTGTAAACTTGATCTTCCTACTATGGTTTCGGTATCCAGACAGTATCGTTAGTCCTCTCACAAACATTTATTGCTTATTTATAGGTGATTATTAAGTCACATTCGTAAATTAGAGAGATTAGAAGCAAGTATCCATTCACCAAGAATCTTTATGATTGCTTGTTTTATAAATTGTAATATAGTGTTGCAAGTACTGCCTACTAAACATTAGTTCCATAAAACATCAGTCTAAATTTTTTGTCATATTGCAAGTGTTGTAACCGAAAAATATACGTATTCAATACTGGTAGGTTAATTTAAAACTGTGTTGAAAAGTTGATAGGTATGTAAAAATAATGCGAGAATCGTAAGACATTTAATACATGTAAGCATTCGGTTTACCTTGATCAGTCTAACCGACTCATATCAACTAAATTAGGGATCAAGCTGTGCTGAAAAATAATTCAGTGGATTTGTTAAAAACCTCTGAAGATTGTTCATTTCGATGACTCACTGTTTTGAACATAACAGTTTTATTCTTCTAAACGATCTATAACCGATAAAGCTTTGAACTGCTGTTTATCAGTATCCGACATTTTTAATTGCTGATTTTAAGTTTTAGAATATTTTAGTTTAATTTAATCCTTCTTATTTCCCCATATCTCTTCCTTACCATAAGTGGACCTGCTTTGTTCCCAACTAAAACGGACTGGTGGAAATGATGTTTTTTAGCAAGTTTCTCTTCTACGGATTAGGGCTGCTTATTCCATGCCCATCTTTCTTTTTTCCGGGCTTGTAACCGGCAGTAACCTTGAAAGGACTTCGGGTGGATTAAAAAGTGTAATATGTAGTTAATTTATTCAAAATGTTGTCTTATTGCGTAAATAAATCACGCTCTCTTTTTCTCAAATCAGCCTTGTTTCTTCATTGCGCTAATGAAATTGAGAAAATATTGATTATTTTAAAAATACAAAAACTTATGACTGTATGTACAGTTCTGTTATCTAAATGTGAGTAGTGACTATAGCAGTATTCATTCAGTACAAAATAATCAGTACATTACTTTTTCTCACTTTCGTTGTTTATATATGTTCGTTTGTAGCCTTTCACTTCGTCGCATTGATCTGCCTCAATTTCTACGACGTTTCACTTCACCATATCGTGCATTTCGTTCATTACTACTAATGATCGATATATATGAACGTCAGAGAAATTATAATGAAGCCATCAAATTAATTGAAACATTATTGTCATTAACTTTTGTATCAGATATTGATGATCAATTTTTAAATATCAAGCTAACTGGTTGTGTTCTAGATCAACTTGGTCCTTGTCGTTTAGGTTATCTATTAAATCGTTATATCATCAATCAAGGCACACATAAGAAACAACCAATTAAAGCATTGAAGTATGTGGTTAATTACTTTAAAACATACAATGAATGTCAGTGTCTTAGAGCTGGTCGTCGTTTAATGATTCATGAACAATTGGTCAAATTGTTCGATGGTGTGAACAAAGAAAAAACTAATCGCTCTAGATTACAAAATGATCATATTGCTACTCCTATTAATAATAACAGACCACTTAATGGTGATGATGGCAACGATCATAATGTTTCTGATCATAATGAAGTGGAAAATACCATCAGTCAAGTAAAACGTAGAAGAATTCAGAATAGTAAGAATCGCAATGATTGTACTGCAGGAGTTTATCATGTGAATGAAATTTCTATGGACAGTGAAACACAAGAATTATTCACGATGGTACCTTCGCTTGTGATTGATATTAAACAACCACCTAAAGTAAATTCTAGAATCTTTTCAAATTCCATTCCCTGATATTTGTACAGTTTATATTTATTAGTTAATTTATAGAGAACATTGATTTATGTTTGAAATTATTCGATATCGTGATATCGTTTATAGTGCTTGATATTACTTGACAAACTAATCAGTTGTAAACCATGTCGAACGAACGAACGAATTCCAGAATTAAGAATTATGAGATAATATTTGGACTCAATATTTAGAATCAAACAAAAAATGAATGCATTTAGTGAATTTTAAACAATATACTTCAGGATCGCTAACCTCAGCTATCCATTCTGTCTCCGTTCTTAAGGCTCAGACAATCATTAACTTCATTAACTGATTCCATGTTTTGGTTAGTCAGTTATAGCATCTTTTCAATCTAATAAACTGCTTAGTTGTAGGATGATTTGTTGACAAAGCATACCAGGATACTCGAAAAACACTTGGTTCAACCAATTCAGTCGAAAAGGTTTTGTCAACTAACTACTTGTTTTTATAATATTCCTTGATCAAACTTTGTAATCTGAGGGTATCGCTGGATTTAGCCTCCCGTGATAACGTGAGTGCACAATCCTCATAAGTCTAATTACTTTAAACAGTTTTTCAGTTGAAGTTATTTTGTATTGAGAATTGATGTAAAACTGAACAGTTGACAGTCTCATTATCCTTATTTGTTACTAGGTAGTTTCTGTCAGTGTCATTCTACTGAAAAGTTAGTTTGACAGCTTAAATTTTTTATCTTTTGATGTCAATTTATTGAATCACTTGAATAATGTAAATTTCGTGAGTAAACGTTACTTTTTTACTTTATATAATTAAAAACAATCGATCAGGTACACCCTCACGTACCAACGATACTCAGTAGCATAAGGTTAGCATATGAACAGACAATCGAACGAACAGGTTTAGAATTCGCAGTTGATTTTTGAACTATTTCCTACTATATATTTTGATTTAGTCTCAATCATTGTTGTGTTTAATGGGTTCCGATTCACAACTTATCAATCATATCATTATCACGACTAATGTGTGTTTAACATAGCGATGATTTCTTAAACCCATAATATAAGTGTATTCATGGTAATAAGGGTTTAGTTAGGACTAGATTTAACTGAACAGTTTTCAAATTTTTGAAGTATTCATTCAAAAAAAGACCTAGAAATTTATACTCTTGGATTTCACTACTTTAATCTCCTAGAATCTCAATTCTTCTTTTATTAATCGTGGGCTGGATGGTTCATTTCATTTTTCTGCTTATAATACGCTTGGTTTAGAGCTGAATTCATTAATTTTTGCCTGGTCGTTGCGCCATGAATGTTTCCAATGTTAAATTGCCGGTATACCGACAATAGATTGTGTTTTGCAATCATAGTTAAATATTCTCTAGAGATTATTCAGTGGAGAAAATCTCATAATCGGTAAAACATTTTTTTTCAAACAGACAAAGTTAAATACATAGAATCTAAAGTATGTTTCATTCTAAATATGTAATCATTTTCTAGCATTTTACTTTTGTGTTTTGCATCAAGGTTAAAATTACTGCTCCTGTTAATGCATCAGCTAAAGAAATTGGAACGCATCGTCCACACTATGTGTGGTTTGAAAATAATTCACCGGATAAACTTCAACAACAGCAATCACCTCAGGGATCCAATACTTTGTTACTTACAGTTGAAGAATGGACTGTACGCTACTATACGGCTAATAAACATTTTGAACATGGTTGGTAGAAATAATTTCATATCCTTATGGTGATGACAGTTTTTCATTTCACGTTCCATACGCGCATCAATCTCTTCTTGCATATACATGTATATATAATCTAGGGATAATGCCTATGCATTTTTTTAAAATTAAGGACAATGGTTTTTATATATCAGAATTTTATTAATTACCCGACCGAAGTTGCTACCTTGATGTGGTGGTGGTCGCGCTTGCCTATCGTCATGACCCGACCAAGTTATATTGGCTGGAACATATGTTCCTGAAGGTTCTACCATGCCAGGCAGGTCGATTGGAGAACGATGAGACTAAAAGCAGCTACTCAAGGTCTGAGGGCGAAGTCGTACTGCTGACTGCAGAGGGGTGTGACAGTAGTAAGGTGTTTCCCTCGGACAGCCAGCATCTGCAGCGATGCTGCCTTCTCACACCTCACCCTACCTCACGGATTTCCGTCTCCGTCGGTAAGGGTGCTCGCTGAGGGCTTTCAAGAGCGGAGCTAACACTCAAAAAACCTTTCATAAAATGGCTGAGTGACCGGCCTCAAGCAGTTGTCCCTTAGGCTCTGCGGTCACGCTCCCAGATCTCTAAGACCAACACTAATCTGTTTTTCTCTTCAGGTTCCTCAAGAAACAACCTTCCACGGTGTGGGCAGCGGGGAAGTGACAACCGCCCTCATACCCGTAACAGCAAGCGAGACCAAATCGGTTTTAATCAAATCCTTCCTACACCCCCTAATATCTCTCTTATCTCCACGACTAACTCTTCTCACATTCCTTTATCACACTGCACCGCTGATGCAAACCAGATATTTTTACTAACTGAGTCAACCTCCGTCGCAAGATACGAAAGAGAAGTGATGACTGGTTACAAAAGACCAAATGAATTACTGTGGAACATATGCTTTATGTAGAGTCGCATAATTAGACTAACAAATATAGTGTCTGTCAATTCATTTAAACCATAATGTTTATTAAGTTATGCTCTTTCAACAATTTGTTTCGATTTTATCAATAAGTTGAATCTGTGTATTTTTATGTTCCTTGTATTTTAAACTTTCGTTGAACTAATTATATATTGCTGTCTTCGAATTATTGTTAATTAATTATCTAACTCTTGCTCTATCCTTTATAACATTTGTGACTTCTTAATTGTGTTTCTTTATGTATAGTTATTCAATGCATACTGTCATATAGGTTTCTGAGTTATGAAGGAATAGATTAGAGATATCTGCTTCTGATTGGTAACGGTCAAAGGGAGTTCCCGGACCAATAGGTGTTAAGGACCCGGTTTTTCAATTCATAGTCACTGATCCCACAGGTAGTAGTCGAAATAATCAGTAGCAGCCTGGACAATTCAGCGACCCATAGTAAGGTATCCAATCACACGGTCCAAAATGAAACAAGGAAATGCTATAAACATACAGCACAATATACACTTTACTGTGTGTGAATGTGAACTTAGCAGGTAACTGGTTTCAACTATCCATTGATTATTCGATACAAATCAGCAACTTATTACGTGTCTGTTAACAATAAAGGTTATGTTTATCACATAAACTCTGGAGATACATTAGGCCACTGTAATCAAAGTAATCTGCACGATTTAACAGAAGTAAACAATTTGCTAAAGTGAATAATATTTAAAATAGTGTTTAGTTGGAAAAAAATGTCTATTCACTAAAAAGTGGAAATTGGAAGTAAAACAGACTAACTAATATAGTGCGAACGACATTCACTTCCTAGATGCATTTTTTTTCCAACATCTCCATAAATAACAATTCGTTTCTGGTTAATTCACAAACTATTTTCCTTTTTTTTTCTCCAAAGATTATTTTCACTGTAATAAGCACGAATCTTTTTTTGATTTTTAAAGCTTATTCAATCCGAACGAAGTTATTTAAAGTCATTAGTTGAATGTGATGATGATATGCTGGGGAACGATTTAGCATGTAACTTTTTCTTCTGTTAAACCAGCAATCTGTAGAATATGTACAAATGTATTTTCGCAAAAAGACACTTGAAAAATATTAAGCTAGCGTTTTCATCAAATACAGTGTCGCTAGATCACACTACTCGATCAGCATATTGTCACTTTATTATAATGGCGTATAAATTTAGAATATTTGAAGTCCTAAATACAGTTGAACAACTGTTATTCACATTTTTTTGTTAGTTTTCAAATTGATATGACCCCGTGGTAAGCTTCGTACAAATACTCATATGCAAGATTGACAACTGAAACTCAACGAATTGTCAACAAGAACTTGGATAGCCCACAATGAATTTTACGTAATTGCATTTCATCTAACTGTAAGCCACGTATAATATTACTGAAAATCTTACACTGATATACACAACTTGGTTCAAGCGCAAAGAAAGCTAAGTCAACAGAGATTTATGTAACCATCAAGTATATTTAAATTGTTATTGACAAAATATACTGCTGTTATGGATTTATTTCACATTTAAAACTAAATTTCCAATGAATATTTGTTAAAACATTTAATAACAAACATTTTACCTTAATGAATTACATGATCAGTCTATATCTTTGATTATTCCTACCGTTATTTGCAACAGGTATACATTGTGAATCACAAATATACCATCTTTTATTCTGCATACTATTTTATGATATTTTATTTGAAACATCACCCTCTCCACCGGATGTCTTCTATTCATATCGTCAGTCAGCGCCATTAGATTTATTTACAGATGAATTTTATCAATCGAGAAAAGATTTAGTCGATGCTAGATTGCAATGGCTATTGACAGTTGACCAATCAGATGATGTAAGTAATTATAATTGATCTCTTAATAGTTAAATAAATGTAATTTTGTCGATATAAACATGGGCAGTCAGCATGAATAGGGAATAAATAAATCTATTTCAATTTTAGTCCAGTTTTGATCATTGATTGTTTGAAGAAAGATCAACGATTTAACTACTTATTATAAACCCTAAAAAGCTTTACAGAACAACATTGACAAGCTAGCAGGTAAAAGTGTTATCTCAAATTGTTTATGTGGTGTGCTTGAACTATTACGAGTTCACTTTACCCGGTAAATGGAACTAAGATCAATGGTTCAGTGACACGATAGGCTATTCTAATCCGATCGTCTCAGGCTCCACTAACTAGAGGAAGAAGTCTTGATAAGACGTAGAGAATGTATTCCCCAGAAAGTACGAAGTTAACAAGCACACAACTTAAGCTTATTTATACAATGATAAAACGCCCTTGATGAGAGCCAAAAAATAGCGTACTAAAATAATCCATCAACCAATGACAGTCAAGGATTTCCCAAGTGGGAAATACAGGCTGAAGGTCAAAATAAGCGTCTTCGGCGCGAAAACATAAAATTCGAAATTTCAGAATAAAATTACAAAACTAAGACCTTTCAAATGAGTTCAGGAGATCTAATGTTCCCAACGTTAAGCTAAATTATATCTAGTGTTATCCTATGCTTGTATAATAATTAGATAATAGTAATTCGTTACTGAATGTATGTAAATATTCGCTCCGTCTTAGTCATCTGAAAAAGATTATATCCTTAGATAATAATTGAAGTACCACTTAGAAACTTCCAATCCAGAATGTTGATATAAAATTAGAAAAAATAATTATCTAAAGTGCGAATTGTTTCGTTTAATAATCAGTAGTGTTAGAACATTTCGCTACAGTTATTACGATTTAAGATGTTTTTTAAACGACTCAATTTAATATATTCTATTAATTCACTCTTGTGTATATGAAACTGAATAAACACTTTAACATTCACTTACCAAGTAAATTATTATATACTCATCTTTTAGCCTCACTATGTGAGAGCTGATGAGAGTATTCAGTTGTCAGAACCGACATGTGTTATGGTGTTCGTACTTTTGACCGAACAGAATGACAGACACATTATTTGAAAAGTTTTCTAATGCACTTCTGTAAACCCTGTATTGGTTAATGGTTATTTTTACGTTATTAACTATAGATATCTTTTGGAGTATCTCAGCCAACAGCTAAACAAAACTTCATATGTAGTTAAATCAGTTTTAATAAGAATTTCCTGCGAAAAAATATTTGCATATACATACAATGACTTTCTAAACCAAATGACGTTTTTAAGCGTTCAATATACCAAGAGATTGTAGATATCTAAAATGATTAAACAGCTGCAGGAACGGTTGTCTAGTTAGACTGTTCGAGGTTATTCATTGTTCACTATATTTTATTTAATTTTCCAAAATTACTACCCTATGATTGAGCATTAACTAGATTTATTATTATTTCCTCCTTGAAAATTACTCAGCACTCCAATTCTTTAGCAAGTCGTATTCATACTTATTGGGATATGCATAATGGTGAGCGTTGTTTATGGGTTAATTGGGATTTATTGAAAAATTCACAGGAGCTTATAGTGAGTTAAATTTTTATTTATTCATTTATTTGTATTTATTGTTTATTGTTTGTTCATTAGATTTTGAATTATTTCATTGAATCAATTATGTATTCATCTAATGACTGAACGGTTGTTCAAAAAAACTTAGTTCATTTTTGAATGAATGTTTAATTTTTTAAACTGTCTTTTAAACATTGTTGTATAACTATTTGTAAAGCATATTAACTTGGAATCATTCAATTTGTGATTGAAAAATTCTAGTTATCCACTATTATATACTCTCCAAATATAATTAATGTAGTTCAGAAATCAATAGATGACTGGGTATTGAAATATTGAGTTGTATTTCTACAGTTTTTGGTAAAAAAGAACAATATGAAATGATACTTTTGAAACATTGATGTTTATGATTGAATAAAGTTAATTGTTTCTATTAATTATGTTATAGAATAAATATTAATTATTCAAACTCATTTTAAATGGATACATATATATGTTTATAAATAATGAAATAAATTGAAGAAATATCTATGAAGAAAAATGATGCGATTTAGTTACACATCCCAAACATTAATTTATTAAAACTGTAAATTTTATAATTTATACCGATGTATTCTTTTCTCTCATTCTTTTTACTATTAATTCTCTTAACCGGTTGATATATTTTTTAAATATTCAAACGGTAATACTGGTCAGAGTCCAAACTAAACTACTTCTGTACATTAATTTCTATGGCTAAGGCTTTCATAGGTTCAACTAAATATTTTACCATTTCTGTTGACATGTACATCTAAGAGATAGTAATGAATTTGGTTGTTATGAAACAGTACCGTATACATTCGAAGATCGTTGAAATTTAAAGAGCACACATGATAGCAGCGTAAAAACTACCCAAACGCATCAGCATTGGTTTTTATTAGCATTAATCATAAGAAAGTTTTTAACTTTTGTCTTCGTAAGTAGTTTATTACACAACCGGATGTTATATTTTGTATAATCTTTTAGTAATGATGATTTATAGAACGATAACGACTCTATAATTAAAGTATTATAAAAAAAATTCTTTTTCGTCTCAGGACATATTTTGGTGTCTTGGACCCCGTGTTGTTCATGATGTTTGTCATAAATTAGCTACAGATTACAGAAGTTGGAGGTCAGGTCTTCCTGATCTTTTATTATGGAATCCTACAGAAACGCGAGCTAAGGTATGACAATATTTTTTGTTTCATTTAAATTTTCTTATTGTATTTGTCAAAATTTCCGGTGTTGTTCTTATGATGTCGTATAAACTGGTTTAAAGCTTTCGTGTTCAGTATCTTGATCATCATTACTAAGCGTCTGAATAATACAAACCAATTATTCGTATGTTTTGTAAAGATAAACTGTTGCTGTTTCCTCATATAAAACTATATTTCCTAGGTGCTTAACGTAAAATGATTTTACAAAATTTTACATAACGTATCTGCAATGCAGAAGACACTCCGGTAAGTCAAGGTTGTTGTCATTGTAACTTAATTGGTTGGTTAATCAACAAGGACAACTATTTATGAATCCTTTGTTGAAAAACACAAGTTTTTTTATGATTGAAATATTTTTCAAGATTTCGTATGAACCTTTTTAATCAACAGACTATATCTTAAAACACAATCGATTACTTATCGTTCCTGACCATGATTTATCTATTCAGTTAGTCAGTCAATCAGCAACAATGTAGAACTTCGTACGTACGTACATTAATTCCAGTTGCCAAACCACATTAGTACAGAGACGCAATAGTCAATTCCAATCAGTCAGTCAATCATTCAGATGCAACGTAGAACTTCGTACGTAAGTACATCAGTTCATGTCGCCATACCACATCAGCACAGAGATATAGTTGTCAATTGAAATACAATAGTAGAAGAGGAGTAAGGGTATTAGAAGTAATCAGAGAGGTTAAGATTAGAAGATATTATTCAAGAAGTATGATTCAGCGAGAAAAGTTTAGAAAGTCAAAACTAGGGGTGTTGAAGAATCCAGAAGGCTATAATTTGAGAGAACACAAAGAATAAATGCACCGGCGCCATTGCAAACGGTTTTAAGCCATGTCATTCAGGATATCTAACCATCGATTATTATCATCTCGCGGACCCCAACCAGGTAGTCGACAACAACCGACATGGCTAAGTCCACTCGTCAATGACTTCATGGATTTCTGCCATGTTTTTGTTTGGCCACCCTTAACTTTCTTCCAACCTATTCCTACACTACAAAACATAGCTCGTCGAGGCAGTCGGTGGATAGGCATACGCAATACATGTCCCAACCACCTCATCGATTGATCTGCCATCCTTGCCTAGTACTCGTTTCCTAACGACAGCATTGCTTACTCGGTTGTCCCACGGTATACGAACAATGCTTCGAAGACATCTATGATCGAAAACCAGTAACCTACGAATACCTTCTACTCTCACTGGCCATGTTTCACAGCCATATAGGAGAGTGGAGCGAACTGCTGCACAGTACACTCGTCCTTTGGTTAGAGAACGGATATCACGCCTACGCCATAAGTGGCGCAGGTTGGCAAAAGCCAATCGAGCTTTCTGTATTCGCGCTGAGATTTCGTCAGTCACCGGGCCATCAGCACTGATGAGACTCCCAAGATAAGTGAAGCGGTCTACACGTTCGACTACTTCACTCCCTATCACTAGCTCAGGTGTCGATGTCAATTCCAATCCCATAGAAGTAGAGGTAGTAAAAGTATTAGCAGTAATCGCAAAGATCACAGTCAGAATATATAATTCAAGAAGTATAATCCAGTGTGCGAGAACCCAAAGAATGGATGCAACTGCGCCATTTCAATGTCATTCAAAGTCTGTAGCCATCGATTACAATCGCCTCGATGACCCCAACCAGGTAGTCTACACCTACCAGCTTGGCTCCGTCACTGACGTCATGGATTTTTGCCATGTTTTGTTCTGGCCATTCCTAACTTCTAGCCCTCTCCCCTACATCACAAAACATTGTTCGTCGAAGCAATCGGAAGTTGTTGATAATTAACACATATCTCAACCACCTCAACTGATGAACATTCACTACTTCATCTATGGATCTGTCATCCTTACCTAATACCCGTTTCCTAACAACTTCATTGTTTACTCGATTGTCCCAGGATACACGAGCGATGCTTTGAAGACATCTATGATCGAAAAGTAGTACCCTACGAATATCCTCTACTCTTACTGTCCATGTTTCACACCCATAGAATAGGATGTAGCAAACTGCTGTTCAGTAGACTCGTCCTTTGGTTAGCAGACGATATCTCACCTACTCCATAAGTGATTCAAGTTGGCAAAAGCCGATCGACCCTTCTGTATCCGTGCTGAGATTTCGTTACACACCAGGACATCAGCACTGATGAGACTCCCGAGATAAGTGAAGCGGTCAACACGCTAAACTTCTCCATTCACTCTCACTAGTTCAGATGCGGATGCAAGCCAATCATGAAGAAACAGTTTGCATTTCCACGGGGTGAACAGCATCCCGAACATGCTATCGGAAAAATGAAAATCAGATTAGTTAAACCAATATGCCAAAGTGAATTAATATTAAAGTTGGTGATAATTTATATGCATCTTTATTGAGAAATAATTATTTGGATCCATGACAATTTCAAATCATTCATTATCAAAATTGTTTTAGTTTGAAAGTAATCTTCTATTTTGTCATTCTTCAACTACCGATCCTGTGATAATTCCGTAAGATTTTCTTGTTTCAGTTGGTAAAATTCCACTTTTATTTAATTTGAACGTTTGAATAATTTGGATATCAATGTCACGAACTACTCATTCATATATACCATCTTTCAAATATAGATTGTTGAAGTTAAAGGTCCCGGTGATCATTTATCCACTCAGCAAATAATGTGGCTTGATGTACTTGTCCAAGCTGGTGCTGATGTAGAAATCTGTTTAATATCAGGTAAGTTATTTTATTTGTCTTGATGTTTGAGACAAAGACCACTATTCTACGTTATTTTAGTTATGTTTTATTATAAATTACTTATCTATGCATGTACAGTGTGGTTAAAATAGTAATCAAGTTAAAAATAGATGTTCAGAGCAGCAGCTGAAAATAATGAAGATGTTGATAGATACCATTCTGCAACGTGACACGACCACACAGCCTAGCTCATCTAATGCAACCGCAGCACCTTCAGTAGACGGTATAGCAAATAGCATTGCTGAGTTTCATTATGATTCTGATGCTAATGTTACTTCTGAAATGTGGTTCTGGAGTTATGAAGACCTATTTAAATTTAATTTTGCTAACCAAAATGATGCTTGGAAGGTTCTTCTCCTTCTTCAAGTGATCTGGATAGGTACTGTAATTTGATCCTGCCTTTGAACCCACGTGATCGCTCATTCTCAGATACAGTCAAGAAATTAATCCAACAGTTCGACGACAACTCGTTTTCGATGTTTGAAGCTAATTACGAACGAAGAGGATGATTTTCTTACTCATGTGGACGTCGTCAACCGTGAATACGAACGCTTCCGGTTGAAGTCTTTGTCTGAAGACCAGTTTAAAGCCCTCATTTTCATATGCAGCCCCCAGTCCCAAACGTTCTGTGACATAAGAACACGACTACTGTGTCGATTGGATCAAGATCCTAAACTTACCCTTAGTGACTTTTCCAATGAATACGAACTCCCCATAAATCTGCAACGAGACACGACTATGGTTCAGAGTGGTGGGTCTAGTCTATCTGAAGTGCATTTAGTACTACAGACACCTAACTAGAACAAATGTACCCCTGCTACACCCAGTCCATCCCACTCCAGCTCAGTCCAAAAGACGAAAATAAATACCCTTGCTGGCACTGTGGTTCATGGTACAATGTACGAAACTGCCCATTCAGGCAACATCGATGCAGGAAGTGTAAGGTCGTCGGTCATAAAGATGATTTTTGTCTAAAATGGAAGCCAAACTGATCCGGAAGTACCAATTCGTTGAGCTTAATATCTGCTTGTCAAAGCTCATCACCAGGTGAGAGGAAATTCATTATTCCTAATATCAATAGGCAATCGTTTAGATTGCAGATAGATACTGCATCTGACGTCGCCATTCCCTCGTAAAGTTTGGACCGAAATCAGCAGCCCAAGCCTGCAGCGTACAACAGAGACTCGTACTGCATGTGGTAATTACCTTCAATTGCTGGGACAGTTGGAATGTAAAGTTACTTTCCGAGTTTCAACGTTTGCTGGCGTATTTTATGTAACGCCAGTTGATCTAAAGTAACTTGGTTTAGATTGGTTCGATCAGCTAAAATTAGCTGACTTCCCGTTAAACACCATATGCCACCTGGTACCGCAGCCAAATGACTCTGAAGCATATATGAGGAAGCTAATGACGCAGTTTGCAATTATTTTCCAACCTGGTTTGGGTCAGTTTTCTGCTATGAAAGCAACACGTCGGTTGAAACCTGGGGCTAAGCGTGTTTTCTGTCCAAAGAAACCCTCGCCTTATGCAACATTACCAGCAGTAGATGAAGAATAACATCGCCTTCAACGACGAGGAGTTATTACACCCGTTTCTTACTCTGCTCGAGCAGCACCTATAGTTGTTACCAAGAAGGCCAACAGCACGATACACATAAGTGCTGACTTTTCTACAGGTCTCACTGCAGCTCTGGAACAGCATCATTATCCTCTGCCAGTCTCCGCATATCTGCTTGCTATGCTGAATAGGGGGGGAGTTTTTCGCAAAACTTGTTCTAGCTGATGCTTACTTGCAAGTGAAAGTAGATGGAGCACCAAGAGAGCTGCTTACTATCAATACTCATCGTGGTTTATTTCAGTATAACCGTCTGTCTTTTGGAGTCAAGACCGGCCCATCTATTTTCCAGCAACTAATGGATACCATCCTATCAGGTATCTCGGCGGTCGCGGCTTATCTCAACGACATTAGAACAGCACCAGGAACGCACGACATTGGTGCTACAACGCACCAGTGACGATGGGTTCCGGTTACGCCCAGAGAAATGCCAGTTTTTATTGCAGTCGGTTAAGTATTTGAGGTTCATCTTTGATGCTGACAGCCACAGACTGGATTCTGAGAACATCCGAGCTATCAAACTGATGTCTCGGAATTACGATCTTTTCTCGGATTAATCAGTTATTATTCGTCGTTTGTTCCTTCGATGCATGATATTCGCGCTCTAGTGAACTGTCTACTGCAGAAGAACAGCACTTGGAAATGGACTAAAGAGTGTGACGCGGCGTTTTGTAAATTGAAGTCCATTATTAGCTCTGAATCGTTGTACTACGCACCACGATCCATCCATGCCGATCATGGTAGCTGCAGACGCTTCAGCGTATGGCCTAGGTGCTCTTATTTCACATCAATTTCCAGGCGCGTCAGGAAAAGCCGTTATGCATGCATCCCGCACACTAACCCTGGCAGAACAGAAACACAGCCAAATAATGAGGCTCTTACCTTTGTGTTTGCTGTTCGCCGTTTCCACAAGTTTCTGTACGGTCGAAGATTTACGCTTCTCACAGATCACAAGCCTCTGCTCTCAATATTCGGGTCAAAATCTGGCATTCCAGCCCATTCTGCGAATCGTCTTCAGTGATGGGCCTTGGTACATTTGGGGTATGATTACAAAATCTGACATCACACTCAACAATTCGGTCAGGCAGATGCTTTATCACAACTCTTTAATGATCAAGTGGCGGCTGAAGAAAACATGATAATCGCATCTCTTTCAGCGGAAGACCACGCGGAAGGTTATACGATAACCACAGTACGTGCGTTTCCGGTGTCAAAATGAAAGTCGACATCAGGAACGTGCGCTACTAAAAAGTGGAGGAGTGTTGCGGATGTTAGATCCATAGAACTCACTTGGAAGGTCTCAATTTTGTAATTTTATTCTGAAATTTTGAATTTTCTATGTTTTCGCGCATGTTTTAAAGATAGTTTTAAGTACTGAATAGTATCCCGTTGTTGATATTCTGACTGAATTTTAATCAATCCTATTTAGCTGATTTGCGTCCTGTGCGGACTCCCTTGATATATCCATTATATCAAAAGTTTGTATAGAATAGAAGGAATGCGGTTACGTTTGAAATCCAGGACGCACATTTCATCTTTTTTGAGGCTTGTAAGCTGAATGTACCTGCATTCTATAGTTGATGTTCGCTATCAGATTCGTACTCAGTGTCTTTCGCTTAAAATTTCAACTCGTTATCCATTTAGTTAGTTAGTCAGTCCAGATAGCCAGTTACTTTTGCAGATAAATCCAACTGATTTGTCCCAAACAGAAAGAAACGCGCCTCCTGCTATCTATATCTCCTGTATTCTTTATGAACTTTCGTCACAGTTGTTATGTTGTGTTAATTTGCATAAACGCCAATCAAAATTGATCAAAATTCGTTTGGAATATTGATAATAGAATAATTCAAATCATTACAAATAATACTGTCTCAAGAATAACTGCTGACCATGCAACACCATCAAATTCTTTCTCTTGTGGCAGTGAACAAAGTTAAATCTATCAAGATCGTTTGAAATCATGTCACTTTTACAATTTGGCTACTTTTCCGTGTCAGTAGACTCATAATATAACACGATTTTCGTCTGTTATCAGTAAACTGTTAAATCCACACGTCACCAGTGAATTCGGTCGTGTCTATCCGAAGACCAGAATATTCTATGCTTGATTCGGTTGTTGAGTTGTTAATGGGTGTCCCTGAAGTAACTTCGTTTGTTTTGTAGTAGTTTCAGATCAGAAGAATAATTCTACCTTGATCCAATCCCTAAAAATATGTATTAAACTTTAAACACTATGATCAAAGTCAAATTATTTTGACTTGCTATTTACAATAAAAATGAAGTAATCTTCACATCCATATGTTTCTACCAGTTTTACTGAATATATTTCTTATATCTAAATGTTTATTTTTTAGCTGAACCACTAAAATCGCTTCATTCAAAATTCAGCCATTGACATCTACAAAGAAAAAATTTAATTAACTTTTTATGTACAGTATAGAAATCAGTATACAATCGAAATAAATTTCACATTATTGCATTTTCTTATCCATGTACACTATGATGCCTCATTATTTTTAAATCTCAGTATTAAATACTTTTAAAAATTAAAATTGTTTTATCTTTTTTATAATTTTTAATCTGGTCGGTATGAATGTTTGTAGCACAGTCAGTCAGTCTTACAACGTAGAACTTCGTACGTACGTACATCAGTTCAAGCTGCCATACCACATTAACACAGTGATGCAATTGTCAATTCAAACCCTATAGTAATTAATAGAGGTAGTAGAAGTATTAGCTGTGTTTTTTCGTATGCTTAAAGTTAGTGTTTGCTAGGAATAGGCGGTTATCTGAGCATATCAGCAGCACGCGGTGACCGTTGTCTGTTCTCTGAGCCGCGAAACCATCCGATCCACCTAGGTGTCTTTCCTTTTTACCCAGTTTACTTACTTGAGCATTAAAGTCGCCATCCGTTATTACTATATCAGAGCGCTTAACTCTCTGAAGAAGTTTAGATAGGTTCCTGTAAAAATCATCTTTTATGTCGTCTGAACTGCAGTCAGTGGGAGAGCAGGCACAGACAACAAACAGGTAACGGCGTTCCCCAATCTTTACGAGCCCGTACCGTCCCGTTTAGTCGGGCAGCGCACAAGCGACAGTCTACTGGGATCCAGCCTGAGAGAGACAGTTCTGCCCAGCGACTTAATACTATACTTACGAGACCACGGGAAGCAGAAGCAGGTCTTCCAGATACACAGAGATTAAATCGAGTTGGTTGTTTGTATTGACACGATGAGGTCAAATGAATGACACAACTCGGGTCCTTTATGCGCGTTTCGGAAGCGAAACATATGTCGGTGGTACGGGATTCCAGAGTCCTACCTAATGAAGCTTGTTGCCCTATTTCACACAAGGTTCGAACATTCAAAGCTCTAATATGTAGTATAGAGCGGGATTCAGAAGACCAGGGATAACGTTACGTGAGCTCGAACGTTTGCTTCAGAGGCGTGAGGCGACAATGGAACGAAAGAAAGACTGGTCGTGGAGATAAGAGTTACTAGGAGGAGTAGAAGGGATTCGGTTGTGACTGATTCGGTCTCCTGTGCTTTTATGGGTATGAGGACTGATGTTACTTCCCGGCTTCTCACACGGTGGAAGGGCTCTGGTTGTCGGAAAGGGCATCGGCCTCGTGACTTCCGAAGGAACTCGGCTTTCATCATGAGACGTCAGAGCTTATCCTAAAGAAGGCCTTTTAACTCCCAGGGTAGAGTTTTTATGGTTTGGATTATTATTTCTTCTTGGCATTATTTAACGGGATGCGGTCGCTACGCACAACCCTCCTTTTCTCGGGCCTGGAATCGGCAGTAGCATGCAGGGGCTCCATATGAAGCCATTTCAATTATAAAATATAATTTGAACATAATATTTATCAAAATTACGTAGAGTTAGTTAACTTACTTCTAGATAAATGAACTATAGGATGATCCATTCTCTATTATCTCATCGTTAGGGTCTAACGTTTAAAGCTTAATACTTATTGTATAAATTTTAATAATGCACACTATAGTTGGTAGAAGAAGAGTATTTATTGTTGATGTACGATTAAGTATTTTGGAAAATGAATTAATTATTAGTGAGATTGTACAGTTATGGGAGACGATATACTAAATAAGTGATGTAGATAATTAAGTAGTATTACTCTAGATATCAACTTCATAGTAAGATATTTAACGGTTCAAATACGAATCAGTGGTATAATATTCACCGCCTCAATATTTGCAGATCGATATTCCTTACTATTTTACGCAGCGTTTTTTCAAATAAGTTGAAATATCCATACCGATCTGCACTCTTTTGTACAGACCTATTCGAACTGTTATTATGTTTAGTAATTTAATCAATTGTGTGGTGAAACTCGTAAGATTTTTGCAATAATTTACACCTATATTCATCTATTTACGAAAAAACTGTATATAAAGTACTGAGTCTTTACAGTGTTGGCTGTGACTCATTACTGATTTCAAACTTTCTCTTTTCATGCATGCATGATTGGCTAGTAACTTTGCTTCACATCGTCTCAAAATAATTCAGGTAAGTGTTTAGTTGAGAAAACAGTCCAACTGTACTGTATTTATTTAGATAGCACAACATGTATAAATGCTGGGACGTCAGTAATTATACTTGTTATAACTGATATTCCTAGTTAAGGTGAACATACGAGATGCTGTTGCAAGGTCATAAGTTGAGATGCTAATGTGATTGGGCTTCGATGATCAGGTGAATAATCTATCTATTAAAGCTAAATCTTAACGCGTTCGTAGCAAACTGTCAATGCAGATTTCCTTGTTTCGTCGACTGACTGAATAGCAACGTAGCTTACTGCAACGGTCATTTTTCACCAAATCATATTTTGTCCTGGAATCTACTTAATCAATGATAAATGGTGTAACGGTTAAAGTCATAAAAATGTTTCTCGTATGGACTTGATAACAAAACATCTTATTGTTCTCGAGACCGTGAATACGAATATTTATTACTACTGGACACCTGGTATTATATCTTAGTGGATTCTGAAAATTTACACTAGTTTATTTCAGCAAATACACCAAGTCAAGACATTTGATGCACTAAGTTTTACTTGAATTTTTCAATAACTATATTTTCGTCTTATATATCTAAATAAGTCAGCACAATAGTATTAGATGGCAACACGAGGACGGAAGTCCTCTACGCTGTTAATCGCATGCCTAATCTAGGTCATTTTTGATCTCATTCTGAGTTTTTGAGTAGAGAACAAAAATAGACAGTGAAAGAATCGCTACTAGGATGTTGTATGGCGGTCGCGTAACGCCTTTCTTCACTAATAATCCGATAATAAGTTACTAGTCGTAAGTAAAGAACCGTGTACGTGGATAAAGTTTAAACCTAACTTCCGTCTGAATGAGACCTAGAGATCGCACCAGATAGTTCAATCAGTTATTTCAGACGTCAGCGTGACGAGATCGTGAACAAACCTAATGCGAATGTGTTATGAATATTGCGACCGAACTGACCGGTTGGCAGCGTGTAGCGATAAGATGGGACTGACTAGTCAATGGCGATTAGTCAGGAGTCTTTTCTTTAGTGGTGAGAGGTGTTTTTTCAGAGGCGATGAATGTGCGCAGGTTTATCACTTAATAAATAGTTTAGTTCATCCTTGTACCACTTTTTATCCACTTATAAAGTCATTTTCTTGTGTACTACTTACGGTAGAGATTATAAGTAGTATGCAGTGGGTGTGCACTAGTGTCGTCCTAATGTTACGGTCGAAGCAAAGAGTATCGGATTCGGATTTATTGAGCGATCTGGCTGTTTTGAGCAATAAGATGACAGCAATGAATACGCTGTATGTTTAATGATATGGTGTACACTTTTTGGTTAGTAGATTGTTTTCAAATAAATCGCTCATCCAATCTGTCTCCATCACTGTTCATTTAACTATCTCCTGGCTCTTTTTTATATACATTGGCAAGTAAATGATGTTAAAATTTTATTATTATTATTAGTATTATGAAGAAGTTAATTGATTATGACGTTGAGTTCATAGGGCCCAAAATTAATTTCGTGCATGAACTTGTCAGATAGTCTGTTAATGTTACATCTAATAGACAGATAGATACAACACAGAACTTCGTACGTAAGTACATCAGCTCAGGTTGCCATACCAATAGTGGCTGAGGACTAAATACTTACTACATAAGTTTCAAAAAACGACCAATTAATTAAACTAGTTTGTTTCAAATCTAATCCACTTCCACACTTTTTTAACCTAGTTTTAGCTGTCCCCAAAATAGATTTAACAAAGTGCTACCAAATGGTTGTTCAAAATATTTTATTCCAAAAAGTAAAATTGAAGACAGAAAATGTAGATCAGTACTTTTTTAATATATTTCATTTGAACGTTTCGCAGTTTTTAAAATATTCCATTTTTATGTATAAAACCCATAGAGCACAAAGTTAATGCAATTTCAGAATTTCAAAGCCGAATAAAGTAGATAGAAATACTCAAAACTACAATGGAGTGTAAAGAACAAAAGTGGGAATCGAGTACCTTGTAAGGGGAGGGGTGAAGAAAATTTCGGATTTGACATACTATTAATCTTTTCCCAAAGAGCAGAAAAATATATATATAATAGATGCTATGAACGAGAATGTACAATATTTATTAGCATTTCAGAACTAGAGTATACACAAACCACAATGTATAAACTCTTAAGTAGATTTCGATCCAAGCAGTTATACGATGCCTATTCTTCAACGACACATCGTTGATTTGAAAAAATAGTTGTTACATATTTTGAAATAACGAAAGAAATAACTGACAAGGAGCAAAAAAATTTTCATAGAAAACAATATTTCTTTGTTGCATATATATTCACATAAAATCATCATACTCGTCAGCGAGATTATCATCAACACCATACTCATAATCATTTTCTCTTTCGACCAATAATTTACCTTTCGTTTTTTTCTTTGTTTTGCTCTATAATGGCAAATAAAAAAACGACTGAACAAAATAAAGATAAATAATTATAAAATAATTTTTAAAACCATACCTGATGGATGTAGGTAATAATAGTGTAGATCTGTTACATGAAGACTTATTAACCTTGAGTATGTGGATAATATTGTATTACTGTGAGACGGTACACGAGTCATGCAATCCGTCCTTAATTAATTACAACCAATTTCTTTAGGTATGGCATGCGCTTCGCACTTTCTAAATGCAAAGTACTTTTACAAGACTTGTGGGACACTGAACCTGCACTTACTCTTCATACAGACAAAAGTAGTCGAAACGTCCGCGCATATGAGTAGCTGGGTAAATGCTAGTGGTGGCAAGGTTAGTGAGACTGATTAACGTATGGTGAAGGACAGCAGCTTGTTATCACCACGAAGGCTTGGCACCTTCGTAATGCTAGTCTGACTGGTAAAGCTGGGTCCACAATGTTTCGTTGAGAGCAGTTTCGTTGTGTGCGTGAAGGCAGCCCTATTCGAGCTGACGATGTTATGCGATCCTCTGTGTTTGCTCATCACTGTCTTCGAAGTATTGATGATATCTAATCGCAGTAACACGTTAGTAATGCGGAGGTTCGGGGACAGCAATGATAACTCAATGGTTGTCACTATCTTGAAACACCGATTTCGATGGCTTGGACATGTACTACGAAAGTCGTTCCAATGAATTCTACATCGTGCATTGTTATTAGAAAAATTGGAGACGGTCAGTGTTGATCCTTCATAACTCCCTGGTTGAGGACCTAAAGTTGTTATAACCGAGTGGTTTGAGACGTTATCAGACATGGCTCAGAATAGAAGTCAATGGCGGTCTTGCCTTTTACCATATATATATATATATATATATATATATATATATATATATATATGGGTTTTTTTAAGCCTATTATAGGTTACGTCGTCTGCTAATTTATCTAGTGAATTATAGACAGTTAGCCAAAACAAATCGTTAACCAACATGCTCTTCCCCTATCAGTGCAGACTGTTTTAAGTCAGCTCACGATAAATATATGTAAACTGATATTTCCAGGAATAAAAGTCTATATATAAGACGATGTATACGCAAAGACAACTGATTTCAAATATTTCATCGTATGTTAGACTACCAAGTTCTGATCTCAAGATGGTAAAAAGCTATGTTTTGCAAATAAACAGTGACTATTAGATGTGTACAACGATTCTACTTGAAAGAGAGTACAGAATTTATTTTCATGAAATTTTTATACTACTTAAGAACTAGAAAATTTACAAACATTTTGGAAGGGGAAGAGTGAAGAAACTGACGTTTCTAAAAAGTGAGTCATCTACCAAAGCAACACGATAATTGCTATCGTTTACTGAAACACAGCACAAATGCATTCACCATTTATCTTATCTTCAATTTTGAATTTCGATATCCCTTCATGCATACCGTTCTTTTTAAACTATGTTTTCAAGGTTTATTTCTTTTTATCATTGCTACAACATGATTAAATATTTTTGGATACTTAGTTTTTATCATCTTGTCGTGGCTGATTTGGTATGGCAACTTGGACTAAAGCACATTTGTATCCAAATTGATCATTTTTGCGATACCTACTTAGAGTAGTTGTTGACCTTCTTCAGTTGTGCCCCTCAATTCCCTATTCAGAAACTAATTATTGTTGAAAAATATAAAATCACTTATAGCTTTTGCACAGTAACTTATTAAACTAAGGAATTTATTTCAAAAAGGAGTCTCGATTAAGGACATCATCTCATTGAATACAGCTTAAATAATTCCATTATGATTGTGACTTACACACAATGAATTTGGTGCAAATCTATTGATATGAACACAATCATTTGTGTATTATTTACTGATGTCAGAACTAAAAATTTTTGCTTGTTATGAAACTTTCAAGCATTTCTGGTGCTACAACTTACAAGACATAGTGACTCCTAAGTCTGGATCCTACAGAATACAGTGATCACATAATAGACGGCTATGGATTTACATTAAGAAGATTGTCAAAAATAATTAAGTCGAAACGTAAGCCATCTCTACCAACCAAGAAATATATCAAGTAAAGTTATTACCAACTTCATCTATAATTAAGCAGTATGTACGCAGTAATATAAGCATTTATTCTAACATATATGACTATGCAAATTAAAACAATTTCAAAATGTAAAATATGTAAGGTGACATACCTTCACAAGCTTTTGTTTTTCATTTATCAACGCATTTATTACAGCATTAACTGTTCGAAGAGCATCAACTTCCACTTTAACAAGAAATAATGGCATACTAAACTGCCATGAAATTCGACTTACTTTCAATAACAAGGTCACGAATTAAACTTTCAGCAAATTCTGTGTAGTGAGGGGATTTCTATTTCACGTTATTAGTGATCAAATTTACTTGCCTGTATAGTTGTGATTTTAGCCACAAGTAGTGAGTGTAAATGGTTGAAATCTTCTTTGGTTTTTGGACAACATGAATCAATTGTTTCTTTATCACTACTCTGGACAGTAGAAGGACCTAAGAAAAAACAAATGTTATCCAACATTTTCACTAACCAAAAGTATCTACTAACAATCCAAGCTCTGCTTCTTCGGCAAGCTTTTCACGCTGCAGTTCTGTCACAGGTTGAGAAAGTTTTAATTCTTCCTCTTTTCGCAATCTCTCTTTTCTTTCTTTTCTCTTCTGCTCTTCTTTTAATTTTATACGCTCATTTGCTGACAACTTAGCAGGGGCTTGAGTAGCTGGTTTAGATGTTACTAAATCATTAGATGGTTCTGCATCCCAAGAATCCTGAAAATAACGAGGAAAATGTAATCCAAATTAGCGACACTTCCAATAAACCAAAAATTGAAACAACACGAAATTTTATTAGGTAGTTAAAGTTTAGGTAGTCAATAAAGTGGAAGTGTAACGTAACTCAACATATAACAAGGACAAAACAAAAAGCATGAATAGATATTCGTGATACAGTCAAGATCTCGGCGGTGACCAAGTGAAAACAATGCTTCCAACATGAGCTATTGCTTTTCCCATTTTCTGTTTCCCTCTTTACATCAGTTACAGAAATGTTGATTAAATAAAACTCATTTACTGATCGCAGGCTTTTGTACTTTACTTGAACTCAAATATTTCAAAAGTGCTCCAGCTACTATTAATGTATGAGAGCCCCCAAACTTTTTGGAGGTCTGAAAAATGTCTGTATAAACTAATCTTTAACGTCGTCTGAACTGCAGTCAGTGGGACAGGAGGGACAGACAACAAAGAGGCAACGGCAAGTGTCCATATCTTTACGAGACCTTACTGTCCCGTTGAGTCGGACAGCGTACAAGCGACTATCTACTAGGATTCTGTCTAAGAAAGCTAGTTCTGCTCTAGGACTTAGTACTATACCTACACCAGTAAGGCCACGGGAAGCAGCAGCAGGTTTTCCAGATACACGAAGATGAATTGAGTTGGTTGTGTATTCTGACGTATGTATATCAGTTCAAGCTGCCATACCACATCAACACAGTGATGCAGTTGTTAATTCAAATCCCATACTAATTAATAGAGGTAGTAGAAGTATTAGCTGTAATCTAAAAGATTACTGATCGAATACATCATTCGACACGTATACCCCAGAGTAATCAAATAAAAAAAGAGAAAAAACGGTCATGAGGAACTTAGACGATTAGCATTTGAGAGAACGCAAAGAGTGGATGCACATGCACCATTGCAAACGGTATTGAGCTATGTCATTCAAGGTCTTTAACCATCGATTACTATCATCTCGCAGAACCCTACCTGATAGTCCCAGATTCTAGTCTAGGTCGCAATCAATGTAACTGCTAAAACTGGACCACCATTTTTAAAAATCCCAGCCTATTTGAGAGTCGTAGGACTAGCCATTCAGGTTGACTGGAGAACGTGGGTAACTGAAGTGTTCTGCCTATCAATACAATCTCCTGAATTGACAATGGATAAAACGGTCATCGTTTTCCGAGATAGTCTCACTTACATTTGGAAACCTAATACCGGTTTCCTTGAAAAGTCGGAACAATTGTCTACTGTTGTATATTGCCATTGCCTTTTCCACCTCTCTCGACTTCTCTACCCACTACTGTTCACAATCGTTGCATAGGCATAGACAACAAACAGGCAACGGCGAGTTTTCAAATCTTTACGAGTCCTTACCAGCCGCTTAGTTGGATAACGCACAAACGACTGTCTACTGGGATCCAGCCTGAGAGAGCTAGTACTGCCCGACGAAACATAATTCAGTGACACGGGATTCCAAAATCCTGCCTAATAAACCTTGTTGCCCTATTTGACACAGACAGACAGAGACAACGCAGAACTTCGTGCGTAAGTACATCAGTTCAGGTTGCCATGCCCCATCAGCACAGAGACACAACTGTCAGTTCAAATCCAACAGTGATAGCAATAATAGAACTATTAGCAGCAATGGAGAAGATTAGGGACCGAGGATATGATTCGAGAAGTATAATTCAGTAAGATAAATTTAGGAGAAAGATAGAGATTATGAGGAATGCAGAAGCTTAGAATTTCATAGAACACCAAGAGCGGATGCACCTGCTCCATTGCGAACGATTTTGAGCCATGTAGTTCACGGTCTCTAACCACCGGTGACTATCGTCTCGCGGACACCAACCACGTAGCCTATATCTAGCAACATGACTCAATCCACCTGTAGTTATACAAAGGTACGAATCTATTTTGTATGAACTCAAAAGTACTGAGTATATTTTTTGTGGTGGTCGGTAGAAGTCAGCAGGAAACCAAAGATATATACTGTGTTGTATGGTACTAGTCAGGAATCTTAGTGTAACTAATTCATCATGTGAGATTTGAACTTGTATCATCTAGCTTCACAAACTGATACATCAACTACAAAGTAAGTAATTACACGATTGAGCATTTCCGAACATTGATACTTGACTGAATGTCGATAAAGTTGTTGAAATTTTGTACGTAACATGAAATTGATACGGCATGTATTTCCACTCAGACAGTTTAGAAAGTCAAAACTAGAGATGTTGAAGAATCCAGAAGGCTATAATTTGAGAGAACACAAAGAATAAATGCACCGGCGCCATTGCAAACGGTTTTGAGCCATGTCATTCAGGATATCTAACCATCGATTATTATCATCTCGCGGACCCCAACCAGGTAGTCGACAACAACCGACATGGCTAAGTCCACTCGTCAATGACTTCATGGATTTCTGCCATGTTTTGGTTTCGCCGCCCCTAGGTTTCTTCCAACCTATTCCTACACTACAAAACATAGCTCGTCGAGGCAGTAGGTGCTTAGGCATTCATAACACATGTCCCAACCACCTCAACTGGAGTTTCACTACTTCATCAATTGACTTGCCATTCTTAACTAGTACTCGATTCCTAACGACAGCATTACTTACTCGGTTGTCTCACGATACTCGAGCAATGCTTCGAAGACACCTATAATCGAAAACCAGTAACCCACGAATATCTTCTACTCTCACTGGCCATGTTTTACAGCCATAAAGTAAGACGGAGCGAACCACTGCACAGTACACTCGTCCTTTAGTCAGCAAACGGATATCTCGCCTACGCCATAAGTGACGCAGGTTGGCAAAAGCCATTCCAACCCTCTGTATTCGGGCTGAGATTTTATCAGTCACCAGGCCATCAGCACTGATGAGGCTCCCCAGATAAGTAAAGCGGTCAACACACCCAAATGCTTCACTCACTATCACTAGTTCAGGTACCGATACAACCCAATCTTGAAGCAATATTTTGCATTTCGAGGGGGAAAACCGCATCCCGAACATACTTGCATTGTTGCTTAGGGTAGTCAGAAGACTCTATTTTAACAGCGTCTTCACCAAGTAGAACAATGTCATCGGCATATCTCCTGGTATTTACACTACTGAAAATTCAGACGAGGATAAGGTTATATCAAGGAGCATGTCTATGATAAAGATGAACAAGAATGGGGAAAGTAGACATCCCTGACGGACACCACTTGAAGTAATCCATTCCGATGACAGTTCGCCATAAGCTCTCACTCGACCCGTAGTGTTCGAGTAGAGGACTCGTACTTTTCTGGTACACCTTTCAATGACAGACAATGCCACAGAACCTCACGACCCATTGAGTCAAATGCCGCCTTAAGGTCCAGGAAGACAAATAAGGTCGGACGCCTAAATGTGTATCTGTGTTCCAAGACCTGTCGTAGTGTGAAAATGTGGTCTATACAACCACGTCCGGGTCTGAAACCAGCCTGTTTTTTTTTCTAGTCTGCTCTTCACGAGCTCTAGTTAGGCGTCTAAGTATAATAGAGGCTAACAATTTAGAAACTATATTAGTTAGACTTATTCCCCTGTGATTGTCACAAGACTTTTGTCCTTTCTTATAAATTGGGACAATCAGGGATTGGGACCAGTCAGATGGGGCTACATACAGTTCCCAAATCCTACGTAAGATCTCAGTCAACCTAGATGCTAAAGTTGGATCACCACCCTTAATAATCAACCTTGATTGATGAACGTTTCATTTTACAAGTAAGAACAAAATTTACCTCATCATAACCACAGAAAAATAGTTAGGTGAATAGATATCTGATATACTAATTTCACCAACCACTTGACGCTTTGCAGGATCCAATGAAAGTTGGATTCAATAAAACTGGGAAGGCTTCTCACCTACGCTTCTTTTTTTTTGAAATACTCTCACGTAGCCAGGCGGACATACCCAGATAGTGGTGTTCTACTCACTAGCCTCCAGTGACGGTGTTCTTCATGAAATTAGAAGGCTGAAAAAGCTAATGTTCGGCGCTCAAATCAGGTTTCTGAGTATGGAAGAACCATCTAGGGCAATTGGGAAACACTTGTTATAAACCCAGAGAGTGCAACGGGTCGCGAAATTTTGATGAGACAAATAGCATATGAAATTATCGTCGGTCGAGGGTTTCCGTTAGACCGCGACTATGCAACGTCGTCCAAATATCTTGTGGACTGGATATCTAGGGTATAGACTATGAGAAGGGCCCCCTGAACAAATCACTTGTCTTGTTTCAAGTACCGGTGCAGTGTTTCGGACCAGACACAAACTCAACGTTTATGTGGTGCATGAATATTTGTGAGAGGCTGCATCGATGTGTTTGCTTAAACAAATAGTTATGACGAGGGCATTATAGGAATTTACCTCAGACGAACAACAGCAACAAAACCTATGACGTGTGATAAGTATTCACCAAGCAATACGATAGAAAAAATTTATGTGGGTCACAAAAGTAGTTTCGGTGATGTTAGTTTTAGAGTGTATCAAAATAAAAACACTTGAGAACGAGTGCATAATAACGGCATACGAACGGAAATGGAGATTCTTTACAGCTTCATTCACTACAGTTTACAGTACTAGTTTGGCTTGGCTTACATCAATACTGGTAGTCTCATCGGCATGATATTCTCATATAATTTATGTCCAAACCTATAACATTAGCATTAAATAGTCCTTGGTACATATCCTTAATCAGACTAACATGTACAGATAAGTAACAACATCAAAGTAACACTTGGTCACGTCAGAGAAGCCAAAATTCGTGTAACTATGAAACAGAACTTTAAGACACTTCGGACAAATCATTAATTGATCCGTTATTAATCAATTAAAAGCATGTTGAAATCACGTAAACCACCGTAACCTACCGGGACAGTATCATCTTCCTCATCGTCCCAATTAACCTTTACTTGCTTGGCAACATCTTCGTTGTCTGTAAGAAACAGAATATTGAGGAAGTTTTATTTACTAACCCCAGTCAACCATATTGCGGGAACAACACCTCACGCCTGTCACGCGAAAATCGACAACTAAACTTAGCGCGACTCTCAAGGTCAAGTTACTGTATTTGTAAGACACGAAGAGCAATACATGTTTCTAGAACTAGTATTAAAGAATTGCTTGCTTCGCGCTTGATATTATTTCTTTCTTTACAGTGAAAGGTGCCTGATAATATCCAGTGCGTGGTATTCTAGCCTCTAGAGAGTCCTTATTCTATTCATGAGGAAGTTATGTATGACTTTGCATCCAATATCCAATATCTTTTTCACTATCTAGTTTAAACCAATTGATTTATGTACTGCCGAAAATTGTTCTTTCTCTGCGGTACAGGTGTTCCATTGTGTTCAGTCAATGTTCCATGATTTGTGTAAGTGCGTTTGTTTACGAACAATACAGTTTCTGGATAACAGAAACTAGTAGATTAACATGCATGAGATCAGTAAGAAAGTTCAAATAATTACGATGGCTTCTAACAAAAATAGAAGAAACTTTCAATTGATGTACTTCTTCGTCCTGTTGCAAGCGACCACTTATTACGTTATTCGGAGGGACAGATGCAATAGGCAACCGGACTAAAAATAATAGTGCATCCAAAAAATACTGACCAGAGCACTAAAGAGTATGACGAAATTCATCTTAAAGGAATATTTAGAAGTTTTCACGCCACATCGGCAGAAGCTTATTCCAGGACTTCACTTCACTTAAGAAGTAGGTATGCTGAAGTTGAAGTAACCAGTGATTTACGCAGAAATTCCCGGTATAGCCTCGAATAATTATAATATTGATTATATTTACCAGGTTTCGTTGAGAGTGTTTATAACTTAGGAAGTTACATGGCAATAAGAAGGTCACTTCAGATTCGCATATTTTCTGTGACTCATATCTTAGTTCTAAAATTTGCTTCTCGGACGCCACATTCCTGCATATTCTTCTTCCTTCAAAATGAGGCGGCAAATACTTTACCTTCGTACCACGAATAGTTTGTAATCAAACTTTTTAAATCCATATAGTAAATTCTACTGTCAAACTATACAAAAATGCCCCCCTATGTTAATGATGCATAAACAAGTCTGAGGCAGATTTTGCCTCTCTAAATAACAGAACGCCAAGTCTCCTCGGTGCTTTCAACCGAATATTGCGATTTAAACTTAAATTTATGACTGTTTCTAAGCTATATACTACGTTATACTATTTCAATCAAATGATATGGGGGAATTCTTCTTAACCGGAGTCAGTCAAATAACCCTGACTGGTCGAAAATTATTAAATTTCCTGAGAGCATTCCTACCTTAAAAATATGGCCATTAGAGTTGAATTACTGATTATAACTCATTAGAGTCGACAGTTAAAATCAAATCTTAGGTGAAACATATCCTCATACATACATCATTCACCAACCTATTGAGCGGTAAAATGCCACAAAATGCTTGATACATTTGTCGAACTTTGAAACACATACAGAAAGCCTGGCATTAATACTTCTTCGGATAAGACAAGTTAAAATTTCCAAACATGTGGCCTCTGAATATTAGTGTTCGTCTTCATATGTTTACTTTCATTATTATTTACCAGAAATTTAATTTAATTTAATTAATAGTGAATCTAATAAGTTCCTAATACCTACTACCTTTTAGCTTATATGTAAGGGATCAGAAATATCACTCTGAAGTTTCCATAATACCATAGTCGGGAATTTATTAATATACGTGAAACACTTCAATACTCTATTCTGTATGACAATGAGAAATATTCTGTGTAATATTTATGTTAAAATCTTTCAGCTATGCATTCTATAAGACAGACACTGTTTATTTAACTCTACAAATAATGCTGCATCTATCCACCCCTTTGCTCGTTCATATCATGCTCAACATAGCTCTTCCTCGTTGACAGTGCTCCTAATTAAAAGTTTTCTCACTGCAAAGTAATTGACTCGCTGTGTGTTCCTACGCTTATCTAAATAAATATCTCGGCCACTGCTCGACTGATTCATCGTGATTGGCTATTTTATTAAGTATGAAATAAAGTATAGTCGTCTAGAGCCTAATATAGTACCTAATAGAATAAAAATATACTTTTATGAAGAACAGAACCATCGCGATTTTGAATGATATTTTCAGTGTAAAGGTTATCAAATCGAATAAAGTATAAATATCTGATATAAAAAACATGTATATCATCTTTACATGAAACAGTGAAACATCTCTCAGCAGAAAACAGGAGAAATTCCGAATTTGCAAGGATCAAACTCTGTAGATACTTGTAAAACTCAGCAGAAATTAATTGCACTTTGGGGCATTTATTAGTAACTAGCAAGCAGAATACAACATGACAGACCCAAATATACGTCCGTCAGTTTTCGGGATGTGGTGTTAGATTTACAGTTTCGTTTTTCTGATTATTGTATTCGAAGTAAGCTTATCATACATTTCAGGTTCACTGAAGCCAAGGGACTTCCCTCCTAATGTTTGTTTTCAGGTCACTCCTTTTTTTGATTGATCAATGTTCTTTCGGATTCCTGAAAAACAGACCAATGATTTTATGTTTCTGTTCCCGAAAGCTACCAAGAAAAACTAGGATGTAGATGCCTACGATACGCGGTCTAATTAAATTCGGTGAATAAAATTTGAGGTTCGAGAGTTTCCCCCGCATAAAACGTTCGGGTCAAAATGACATAACTCATGCATGCAAAAGCCGCAAGTTAACTTCAGTATATCTATGAATTACCTGAATCACCTGAATAAAAACAGCGACACCTTAAATTAAGAACTAGGAGCTGAAAATATTTTGTATGTCAGCGTTTCATAATATTTAAGCGAAGATCTTGGATTGTCCATCTATATCATAATCTGTAATTTCCGTTTAATATTCGGTTCATTTGCCTGCCGAAAAGTGCATACATGCGCCATTGTCGCAATATTTATGATGACGCCTCGGCACTCGCCAACGGAATGTATAACCAACTACAAAGTAACAGGAAAAATTAGCCTATTTCCATTAGCCCAGAAGGCTCTTCCAGCCTTTGAACAATATGATCAATTCGTTCTCCTCTAGTTATTGATATGCCTTTCAACCTTGTCAACTATTCGCCTATAAGTTTGTTGTTTTTGGTTGAATGTGCTGGCAGATGCTTACTTCACTCGTTGCATGTCTAGCTTATTTTGTCCGACTATTAGTGCTTAGTCATGTCTTATCGCGTTGAGCTGACACTCGCCTTCTGCACTTCGAAAATTGAAGGAAATATTCATTTCAGAGTATGTTTAAATGTTCGTAAATACCAGAGTTACATCTCAGGCCACTAAAGTGAGGAGCCATGGGTCGAATTCAACGCAGCCACTAAAAGCAATTTATAGATCCTCCAAAGCTTTTCCATCAAGTATGTTTTTGTTGGTGCATGTTGTGTTGAATCTGGGGTTTTGCTTTTTACACTGGATATGTTGAGACCTACTGCTGCAGAAGTTGCTGCTATAGCAGCCCCATTCTCATTCATTTGTTACTGTGTGTTGATCAGAAGAACAGCTCTACCTTGCTCCTAAATCTATGACGTTACCTGTGCATTTTCACTGGCAACTAAGTCAGTGAATTTGTTAAGGGTTGGCCAACATACATTGTAACCAAATGTAGATTCAAATGGCTACAGAAGTATAATTTCAAAAAGTTGTGACTGTCGGTTCTGAAGTGTACCTCATGCCGAATGTAAAATAAAAACAATGGTGAAAAAACAATATTAACTTTACACTGGACTTAAAAGTTTTAGTAAGCAAGCTGTTGATTCTCAAAGAAGTCATTAAGCCCACACAAAATTTACCTTTTCTTATTACGTAATGTTTTTGATGTTTTTTTGATGATTATTTGAATTTTATTCATCCACCTTTGACTTACTTTAGTTATCATATTTTATTTATCTTTTTACTATCCACTTGTACTTTTGCCTTTTTCATTTCATTGTGATTATCACTCAAATTGCCTTGATTGGTTCAACATTTTCATATGAATATTCATGTATATTAGAGTAAAGCCTGATTACGATCTAATCGAAAACAATATTGTTCGCTGATATGTGTTGTTCTAATTTTCAAATTTTAATAATTATATTTACAAAGGCATTATTTGTATCAAACAGTTGCCCTATACCATTCAGGTCTGCATTACATATAGCGATAACTTTTCTATTCCATCCACGCATAGTCTGAATTTGGAAATAACATCCATAAGCCTCAACGCCATAAATGAGTTTTCGACTAGCACTTCCGATTTCAGGTTTTTGTGCTAGCCCATCTTCTGATCACCGCGTAAATTAAAAAAAAGTTCTCGTTGTGTTTGTTCCATAAAAACATATCAAAGTATTATCCACTGGATGCTACGATGACCATTTCAAATCTTGCATGATTGAACCTCTGGCCCTGAATGGTCGGTAACGCAGGCCATCATGCGGCGCTGACTTCAAGTTGCAACACATTTCTGAAAAATGAGGTTAGTAACGGTAGTCTATCTTATCGTTTATTTCTAAACTTCAAAAGTAATGAGTCACTCACATTAGCCCATAGCAGTCAATTTCGTTTATTTTTATTTCGTATCCAATATAGTCACGGGGAGTTGTTCTTCTTGAGTGTCATCTGTCCAGATTCCACTAGATGATATTCTTTGAACAAGTGTGAGAATCCGAGAAGATACTATGACAAGTAGTCCAGGGTCTTTGTAGAACAGGGGTACATTCAAAAACTACACTGAGTGTGTCTGTTTGTGTACACCAGGAGTGCGTGGTTGGTCTTAGAAACAGGGTTATCGTTGCAATTTTAAACTAATACAATAATTTGCATCGGCCTCAAGTTTATGGTTTAAGTTGGTTTGACGTGTCCGACACGCAGTCTGGAGAATGTTGGTTGCCAATTGACTCCTTAAGTCCATCAAATTAGGGCATATCACTAACTGTAGAGCCTTTGACTATTATTCTAGACCTAATTCAGTGGTCTGAATTCCTCAGCTAATGCCTTCATGAAAATTTCAACCTTCTGAAGACTAAGTGTTAAAAATCAAAATTAGCTACACCTACTTGAAAGCACTCAGTTCTGGAACTTGGGTGTGGTTTTACGTCGCTCTTTATGAAATCTTCATTTTAGTTCCCCACTGTGATGCGGCAAAGTAAAATGTTTCATTTAGTTTCGTCTTGGCGTTTTCAGAAACTTTCGATCTCCAACAATCCTTTTGCATCTGCGATATTTGCTATTTTCCTGAGCTCGAAACAAATTTCCCCATGTTTTGTCCATCTATTAAAGTTTCGCTACACGCTCCACCTAAAATGGTGGCGTGATTCAATTTACTCTCACGACGAAAATTCATTCTGTCAGTGCTATTTTGGATTCTTAAACCTACGGCTAGTATATTTTGTTTGTAGCTTATTATACTCTGTAGTGACAACCTCTTTATAAAATATCAAGGCTCTGATCACTGGATGTATCGGGGTTCTCCGCTGTCATAGTACACATGCGGCTAAGTCATAGTCGTCTGACTTTTCAGGAATTGATCTACCAGCTGGTTCACTTGCCAACTTTGAATATGCGGATAACGTTGTCCTGACACTGACAAAATGCAATCTGTTGTCGACCGTAAGCAACAAGGTAAGCATCACTAAATCCGAAACTGTACTTCAAGACTAGTCTGTATCAAAGCCTGAATAGGTGATAGACATTAAAGTAGTTGAGGGTATCCACCACTTCACTCTGGTGGATTGGCGTCTGACGATTTGAGGGCACGGATTCAGAAATCCTGGTCCTCTTTCCCTAACGTGCATGCAGTCAGTCAGTCAGATTCAACGTATAATTTCGTACGTAAATACATCAGTTCAGGTTGCCATACCAAATCTGCACAGAGATATAGTTGTCAATTGAAATCTTTTAGTAGAAGAGGTAGTAAAGGTATTAGAAGCAATCGGAGAGGTTAAGATTAGAAGATATTATTCAAGAAATATGATTCAGTGAGAAAAGTTTAGAAAGTCAAAACTAGGGGTGTTGAAGAATCCAGAAGGCTATAATTTGAGAGAACACAAAGAATAAATGCACCGGCGCCATTGCAAACGGTTTTGAGCCATGTCATTCAGGATATCTAACCATCGATTATTATCATCTCGCGGACCTAGCACCCGTTTCCTAATAACAGCGTTGCTCACTCGGTTGTCCCTTGATACTCGAGCAATGCTTCGAAGACACCTATAATCGAAAACCAGTAACCCACGAATATCTTTTACTCTCACTGGCCATGTTTTACAGCCATAAAGTAAGACGGAGCGAACCACTGCGCAGTACACTCGTCCTTTAGTCAGCAAACGGATATCTCGCCTACGCCATAAGTGAGTTGCTCGAGGCCAGTTGAACTGGTCCCTAAAGTGTTCTGCCCATCGGTCCCATCGTGTTCCTAATACCGGTTTCTTTGATAAGGTGGAAAAGTTGTCTAGCTTTGCCTTTTCCATCTCTCTCGCTTTATCCACCTACCTCTGTTCACGGTCGTTACGTAGGCTTTTTATCAGTTTGCGTCTAAGCTGACTTCGCTCTTCGTCATGTTCAGAGTCAGGTGGGATGCGTTTTCGAGCATCCATCAGATCGGTGGATGCTACAGAGATCCACGACTTCATTCTAGTCGTACTGCTGACTGCAGAGGGGTGTGACAGCAGTAAGGTGTTTCCCTCGGACAACCAGCATCTGCAGCGATGCTGCCTTCTCACAAGGAAGGAAGGGTTAGAAAAGGTCGGCCCTAAAAATGTCACACCTCCCCTACCTCACGGATTTCCGTCTCCTTGGGTAAGGGTGCCCACTAAGGGCCTTTAAGAACGGAGCTAATCCTCAAAAAACATTTGATAAAAAGGCCATGCGTGACTGGCCTCAAGCAGTTGTCCCTTGGGCTCTGCGGTCACGCACCAACACTAATCTATCTTCCTTTTCAGGTTCCTCAAGAAACAACCTTCCACGGTGTGGGCAGCCGGGAAGTGACAACCGCCCTCATACCCATAACAGCACGCGAGACCGAATTGGTCAAAATCAAATCCTTCCTACACCCCCTAGTACCTCTCTTATCTCCACGACTAACTCTTCTCACATTCATTCATCACAGTGCACAGCTAATGCAGACGATACGAGTTCGCGAAACGTCGTTCCTGGTCTCCTTAAACCTCGCTCTAGACTACATGTTGGAGCATTTAATGTACGGACATTGTGTCAAATAGGGCAACAGGCTTCCTTAGCTAGGACTTTAGAATCTCGTGCCATCGATGTATGCTGCGTCTCGGAAACGCGCATACAGGATCCGAGTCACGTCATACACTTGACCACACCATGTCAAAATAAAGAAGCAGCTCGATTTACTCTTCGTGTATCCGGTAGCCCTGATGCTGCTTCCCGGGGTCTTGCTGGCGTAGGCATAGCATTGAGTCGTAGGGCAGAACAATCTCTCCTTGACTGGATCCCTGTAGATAGTCGATTGTGCGCTGTCCGACTAAACGGGACAGTAAGGACTCGAAAAGATAGGGACAATCGCCGTTGCCTCTTCGTCGTATCTGCCTATGCCCCCACTGAATGCAGTTCAGACGAGGTTAAGGATGAGTTTTACAGAAAGCTTTCGGACCTCCTCCAAAAAGCTAGGCGCTCTGACATAGTAATAATGGCTGGTGACTTTAATGCTCAAGTAGGTAGACTAAGTGAGCAAGAGAGACACCTAGGTGGATGTTATGGTGTCCCGGCTCAGAGAACAGACAATGGTGACCGTCTGTTGCAAATATGCTCAGACAACCGCCTATTCTTAGCAAACACTAACTTTAGGCATAAGGAAAAGCATCTGTTGACCTGGCGACCTCCAAAGTCGTCTCAACGTTGGACTCAACTAGATCACATTGCCATCAGCCACCGATGGAGGGGTTCGATAGAGGACTGTCGCTCGTTCTGGAGCACATGTCTAGATTCAGATCATGCCCTAGTGCGAGCGCGTATTTGTTTGAAGCTTACTGGGCGTAGGAAAGACACCGTAAGAAAGCCTCTTAGGGTTTTGCTTAATGATAATAAGGCGAAAAATATATTTCAGGAACAACTAGAAAAGCAGTTAGGCGACCATTTAAGCGATTCCCATCCGGAAGCAGGATGGAATGATATCAAAAAGGCTGTGGAAACAGCAGTGATATCTGCTAGTAAGGTTGACCATAAGGCTAGAATGAAACCGTGGATCTCAGTAGCATCCACCGATCTGATGGATGCCCGAAAACTCATCCCACCTGGCTCTGAACATGATGAAGAACGAAGTCAACTTAGGCGCAGACTTATAAAAAGCCTACGTAACGATCGCGAACAGTGGTGGGTGGCGAAAGCAAAAGCGATGGAAAAGGCAGCGGCGATAGGCAACAGTAGACAACTTTTCCGACTTATCAAGGAAACTGGTATTAGGAATCCTAGTGTAAGCGAGACTATCTCAGAAAATGACGGGACTATTATTCATTCTCAATCCAGGAGACTGGATCGATGGGCAGAACACTTTAGGGATCAGTTCAACTGGCCTCGAGCCACTCTTCGGTTACCCACGATCTCCAGTCATCCTGAATGGCAAATCGACGTAAGTCCCCCTAGTCTTAATGAAGTTGAAAAAGCTTTAGGAAATCTGAAGCGAGGACGAGCTGCAGGTCCTGATAGACTGACCCCTGAGATATTTAAGGATGGTGGTCCAGTTTTAGCAGCTAGGTTGACTGAGATCTTAGGTAGGATCTGGGAACTGGACGTAATCCCATCCGACTGGTCTCAATCACTGATTGTCCCAATCTATAAGAAAGGACAGAAGTCTTCTTGTGACAATCACAGGGGAATAAGTCTAACTAATATAGTATCTAAAATATTGGCCTCAATAATACTTCGACGCTTAACGAAAGCTCGTGAAGAGCAGACTCGAGAAAACCAATCTGGTTTTCGACCTGGACGTGGTTGTATAGACCACATTTTCACACTACGACAGGTCCTGGAACACAGACACACATTTAGGCGTCCTACAATAGTTGTTTTCCTGGACCTTAAGGCGGCATTTGACTCAGTGGATCGTGAGGTTCTGTGGCAGTGTCTGTCATTGAAAGGTGTACCAAAGAAGTACATTAACCTCATACAAGCTCTCTACTCAAACACCACTGGTCGAGTGAGAGCTTATGGCGAACTGTCAACGGAATTCTCTACATCAAGTGGTGTCCGTCAGGGATGTCCACTCTCTCCATTCTTGTTTAATTTTATCATTGACATGCTCCTAGAAATAACCTTATCCTCGTCTGAATTTTCTGGAGTAGACCTTTTACCAGGTGGCTCGCTTATTGACTTAGAATATGCCGATGACATTGTCCTACTTGGTGAAGACGCTGACAAAATGCAGAGTCTTCTGACTACCCTAAGCAACAATGCAAGCATGTTCGGGATGCGGTTTTCCCCCTCGAAATGCAAAATGTTGCTTCAAGATTGGGTTGCAACAGCACCTGAACTAGTGATAGGGAGTGAAGTAGTCGAACGTGTAGACCGCTTCACTTATCTTGGGAGTCTCATCAGTGCCGATGGCCTGGTGACTGACGAAATCTCGGCACGGATACAGAAGGCTCGATTGGCTTTCGCCAACCTGCGTCACTTATGGCGTAGGCGAGATATCCGTTTGCTGACTAAAGGACGAGTGTACTGCGCAGTGGTTCGCTCCGTCTTACTTTATGGCTGTGAAACATGGCCAATGAGAGTAGAAGATACTCGTCGGTTATTGGTTTTCGATCATAGATGTCTTCGAAGCATTGCTCGTATATCGTGGGACAACCGAGTGAGCAACGCTGTTATTAGGAAACGGGTACTAGGTAAGAATGGCAGATCAATCGATGAAGTGGTGAAACTTCATCAGTTGAGGTGGTTGGGACACGTGTTGCGTATGCCTAATCACCGACTGCCTCGTCGAGCTTTGTTTTGTAGTGTAGGAATAGGTTGGAAGAAAGCTAGGGGCGGCCAGACCAAAACATGGCAGAAATCCATGAAGTCATTGACGAGTGGACTTAGCCATGTCGGTAATTGTCGACTACCTGGTTGGGGTCCGCGAGATGATAATAATCGATGGCTAGAGACCTTGAATGACATGGCTCAAAATCGTTCGCAATGGCGCCAGTGCATTTATTCTTTGTGTTCTCTCAAATCCTAATCTTCTGAGTTCTACAACGCCTCTAGTTTTTACTTTCTAAACTTATCTCATTGAATCATACTTCATGAATAATATCTCCTAATCCTAACCTCTCCGATTACTTCTAATACCTTTACTACCTCTTCTTCTATTGGATTTGAATTGACAATTATATCTCTGTGCTGATGTGGTATGGCAACATGAACTGATGTACTTACGTACGTAGTTCTACGTTGCAACTGACTGACTGACTGACTGACTTCATTCTAGCCTTATGGTTTACCTTACTAGCAGATATCGCTGCTGTTTCCACAGCCTTTTTGACATCATTCCAACCTGCCTCCGGGTGGGAATCGCTTAAATGGTCCCCTAACTTTCTTTCTAGTTGTTCCTGAAATATATTCTTCGCCTTATTATCATTAAGTAAAACCCTAAGAGGCTTTCTTACGGTGTCTTTCCGACGCACAGTAAGCCTCAAACAAATACGCGCTCTCACTAGAGCATGATCTGAATCTAAACGTGCCCCAGAACGAGCGACAGTCCTCTATCGAACCTCTCCATCGGTGGCTGATGGCGATATGATCTAGTTGCGTCGTTGAGAAGACTTTAGGGGTCGCCAGGTTGAAACATGTTTTGGTTTGGCATACGCAGCACATGTCCTTACCACTTCAATCGATGAAGATTCAGTCTCCCGTCAACTGGTTTGCCACCCTTACCTAGGACACGTTTCCTAACGACTGCATTGCTTACTCAATTGTTGCAGGACATACGAGTAATGCTACGGAGACACCTATGACAGAATACTAGTAGCTTATGAATATCCTTTACCCTTACTAGCCATGCTTCACAGCCATGAAGTAGGACGGAGAGAGCTTTTGCCCAGTGAATCCGTCCTTCGGTTGATGGAAAGATATCTCGCCTACTCCATAAGTGACGCAAGTTGGCAAAAGCCAGTCGAGCCTTATGTAAAGTAAAAGTTCAATTCCTAAAAAATCATACGACGAAAGTGTTGTCCCTAAAAGCATGTCTATGGGAGAGTGGACAACCATGACAAGCACCACTTGAAGTAAGTAGTTCCGACGACAGTTCACCATAAGCTCTTACCTGTCCAGTAGTGTACTTCTTTGGTACACCTTTCAATGACAGACAATGCCACAGAACCTCACAATCCACTGAGTCAAATGCCTTCTTAAGGTCCAGGAAGACAACTAATGTCGGACGCCTAAATGTGTGTGTGTTTCAAGACCTGTCGAAGTGTAAAAATGTGGCCTATACAGCCACGTCCAGGATTGAAACCAGCCTGTTTTTTTTTCTAGTCTGCTCTTCACGAGTTCGAGTTGGACGACTAAGTATTTGCGAGGCTAACAATTCAGATACATAGTTAAATTGATTCCTCTGTGATTGTCACAAGAGGGATTTTGTCCTTTCTTATAAATTGGTGCAATCAAAATATTGCTTCAAGATTGGGTTGTATCGGTACCTGAACTAGTGATAGTGAGTGAAGCATTTGGGTGTGTTGACCGCTTTACTTATCTGGGGAGCCTCATCAGTGCTGATGGCCTGGTGACTGATAAAATCTCAGCCCGAATACAGAGGGTTGGAATGGCTTTTGCCAACCTGCGTCACTTATGGCGTAGGCGAGATATCCGTTTGCTGACTAAAGGACGAGTGTACTGTGCAGTGGTTCGCTCCGTCTTACTTTATGGCTGTAAAACATGGCCAGTGAGAGTAGAAGATATTCGTAGGTTACTGGTTTTCGATTATAGGTGTCTTCGAAGCATTGCTCGAGTATCGTGAGACAACCGAGTAAGTAATGCTGTCGTTAGGAATCGAGTACTAGTTAAGAATGGCAAGTCAATTGATGAAGTAGTGAAACTCCAGTTGAGGTGGTTGGGACATGTGTTATGAATGCCTAAGCACCTACTGCCTCGACGAGCTATGTTTTGTAGTGTAGGAATAGGTTGGAAGAAACCTAGGGGCGGCGAAACCAAAACATGGCAGAAATCCATGAAGTCATTGACGAGTGGACTTAGCCATGTCGGTTGTTGTCGACTACCTGGTTGGGGTCCGCGAGATGATAATAATCGATGGTTAGATATCCTGAATGACATGGCTCAAAACCGTTTGCAATGGCGCCAGTGCATTTATTCTTTGTGTTGTCTCAAATTGTAATCTTCAGAATTCCTCATCGTCTCCATCTTTCGCTTTCCTCAAGTTATCTCACTGAATTATACTTCTCGAATCATATCTTCGAACCCTAATCTTCTCCATACTGCTAATACTCATACTATCTCTAGTACTATTTTATTTGAACTGACAGTTGCGTCCCCGTGCTAATGCGGTATTGCATCCTGAGCTGACGTATGCACGTACGAATTTCTACGTTGTAATTGACTGACTGACCGGTATAAAAGGCGTATTGTAAGATTTTATGCCTTTTTATTTATTCTAGCTATCTGTCTGAATCCAACATTTATCAGTTTTAGATTATCTTTTATTGTTCTTGCAGGTGACTGCCTTAATTCATGGATTTGAACTTGTGTAATAATTTCAGCGTGTTTGCTTTTCTAAAATCCTCACATTTTGTGACGTATGTTAGTTGTGATTTACTTTTGGTGTCTTTCAGTCTGTCATAATTTTATCAAACCTGGGACATAATGTTTTCTTTTACATTTACAGATGTAATAAATTCTTCAGTTCTCACTTTCTGTGGAAATAATTTCAAAATGAATATAATTTCAATTCACTTTCTTCCTGGGGAGAAACCCATAAACGTAAAGTCGTTGGCTGATGGAATTTTAACTCTTACAAATTATCGGCTCATATTTGCAACTGAAAGACCACAAAGTTCGTGGAGTATACCTACTACTTTAGTATGGAAAGCTGAAACATTTGAAATGATTCATATCAAAATCATAACAAAGATTGGTATATCTGTTACGTAAGTATCTGTTTTGTATTGACAATTCTATACATCTAGCTGGTCGTTTGTCGATGAAATTGCTTGTGATGCTGGATACACTCATATTACGTCATTAATAGATACACCAAAAGATATTGACTCCCTGTTTGCTTGTAAATTCCGTTCGTCTCTGGAAGAGAACATTCCAAACCATCCTTTCCTTTTAAGTAAGTTTTTGCAATTTCCGTGTTTGATATGACTATATCTTTGTTCAAATATAGGTGCCTGTGAATTGTTACAAATTAATGGTAAGCGTTTTTGAGAACGTGTTTGTAATAAATAACCTTCGATTATATAGATGTAGACAAAGCTTTGGATACAGCGTTAGTATGCTTCGAATTTCGTCGCATGAATTTTGACAAAACATGGAAGATAACAGATATTAACAGTGAATTCAAGTAAAACATAATTTTCAATTTTATTTAGTGTTAAATCTTTTAGGATTTGCTCCACATACCCGAGACATCATATTGTACCTCGATCTATTACTGATAATGATATAATGAATATGGCTAATTTTCGGAGTCACAACCGATTCTTAACAGTTGTCTGGCGGTAATTTCTCTAAATTATTTTAAAATATTTCTTATAGTTCTCAAGTTACCGGAGCCGTGCTACTTCGTTGTGCTCAACCTTGTGTAGGATTAATGTGTTCACGAAATGAGTATGACGAGAAATTCCTGCGAACTGTTCTTGCTTGTTGTCCAAAGAAACCTGTTTCAAATGCTAACAAAGGTATGATTTTGGTGAATTAAAAAGGAAAACCATATTTTAAGTCTCATCCATGGAACTTTAAGTAAATAAAACGTTTCGCTAGGCGATCCGGTTCAAGTTTATTCAAGGAAATATGTTTGTAGTGTTTTTTAATGGTGTAATAATCGTTACATTATTGTTTTATTATCATAGATGTAATTCACCGATATCTTTTGTCTTGTAAATCCCTAGTAAGTACAAGCCACCCCTTCATGGTTTATCTTCAGATGTAACATCTATTAACAAACTATTACACCAGGTAGTCTGTATTTATTTACCTCAAAAGAAAGCATATAATACCTTTATCCTAAACCACACTTCTATAACTTACCTACTGGAGTTTCTTACTTTTAATTTTGTTTTATGCATTTTATATCTCACAATTGTCAGATATGACGCTAGTATGTCTATTTAGAAAATATCTAGCTTAAAGTCAACTATTAAATTCCCAAAAGCTGCTTTCATAATCTACCACTTACTGGGTGTACTGGACTAATTGTAAATTGCTTGTTTGATCCTTAAACAATCACTAAGCTATTTTATTATTTTGGGCTCTCTATTAAGGACGACTTTTCGTATGAAAAAAAGACAAATTATCGTGTTAACCACTTGAACATGTGTATGCGTATCAAAGAGAACAGTACTCAAGTTTTTTAACTATGGATATAGCTGATGTATTATACGCTTGTATAAACAAGAAATCTACTATTATCATTTATCAATATTAGATACTCATCGTTTAATGATTGTGGATGCTAGAAGTCGTAGCAGTGCACAATTCAATCGGATACGTGGTGGCGGTTTTGAATATCCAGAATACTATGATCAAGCAGAAGTTGTTTTTATGGATTTACCCAATCTACATACTGTTCGTTCAAATTTTGAAGCCCTCACTAATCTATTCGCTGGTAAATGTCCGAAGTAAGACAGTTAATTGCAATCAATTTTAAAGTTAATCTTTAATATTTTGAGATACATTGTTTTACTGCAGCTTACTAGAAATAATATTGTTATCCTGGAATTTATTTCTTATTGTAAAAAAAATTACCTGATATATTTTTAATACAAACACTAATCGTACTGGTTTAGCAGTAGTATCATTACCAAACCTGAAGCCTATTTTATTCAATTATAGTCTCACAAGTGTAGATTTTTTAAGTTCTAAAGCAGAGGAACCACATATCCCTTCTTACATTTCAGTAATATTTCATGTGGTACCGTTTTACAACAGAAATGATGTTTTGATTTACTTATATTTGTAAGGTCTTGTTCAGTTCTGTGTTAACCATTTTTCATTTGTTATGCTTATGTGACAAAAGACATATTTGCATAGGATTTTCTTAAAAGCTTCGCCAAAACGTTTTCTAGTCAGCATTGAATCAAAATATTTTGGTCTAATGAACCAAACAATATTCGTGAATTATTTATCTTGCATATGCTGGGAAACAGTTTTTTTCACTTTTAATGTGCAACTATAGATTGATGTTCTCGTGTAAGTTTGCAGATAAGGTACTAGGTAAAAGAATGTCTAACACTGATTTTCCTACATATACGTAATTGTACGAATCCCTGATCATCGTGTTTTTTTTTTCAAATTTCTGTCGTGCTCGTTTCTCGTTATGATTTAGTTGTCCAAAGGTTTAAAACACGTTAAAACACTTTTATGGTTTTCGATTTATTTTTAAAGAAAAGCATAAATTATATTAATGTATTTCAAGTTGTGCTCATTTTCATACGTATATGTACTTTTGAATTGTAGTTGGTTTTCTTCATTGGAAAAATCATCATGGTTAAATAACATTAGTCAGCTTTTAAAAAGTGCCACAGAAATTGCTATAGCATTAGAAGAAAACGCTCGTCCGGTTATGGTTCACTGCACAGATGGTTGGGATCGAACACCTCAAATAAGTTCCTTAGCTCAATTACTGGCAGATCCGTTTTATCGAACAATTCAGGTAAGAGTCGCGCCAAACTTTGAAAATCATACTTATTATTTATGTGTTATTGAAATAATTTTAAATTACTTTTTTTTTAATGTATAGGGTTTCAATATTCTTGTTGAACGTGAATGGCTACAATTCGGTCATAAATTTTCTGATAGAAGTGGACATACTTCATCTTCACTAAACATGAATGAACAAAGTCCAATATTTTTACAATGGCTCGATTGTGTTCATCAAATTCGCAAGCAGTTTCCTCATTGTTTCGAATTTAACGAATCATTTCTGGTAGGTGTTCACATAAATTCTTCCAAGCTAAATAATACTTGTCTACGATAAATCTTTAAAAGCTATTTATGTCAATCCAGTCTTTGTAAACTTTATCAAATGAAAACTTCCAGATTATTATTTTTTATCCATTTATCATAATAGTAACTGTAGTTTCTACACAACAGTTATTCATTTCTGAACTACTTTGTGCATATGTATTTGGATTCTTTGAGTAAGTAAATATATTTCTTTGTTCGACCATAGATTTGCAACTGCTAGTGGATGCCTTGGTACCTACGGGTATATATATATATATATATATATACATGAATTTTGTGCTGCATCATGGGAAATTGAGCTAATGCACGTTTGTGCCAAGTTCGACGTCAAGTATGGCTAACTGATGTACTCCTTCAGCGTGTTAGGTTGAGAAGACTTTAAGAGTTAAAATAGAATGGAATTTAGTGATATTCAAATACAGTTTTATGAATAAATGGTTTTTCTGGACTTTTCGTTATTTTTTATCAGATGATATCAGTTTAGATCTGGGAAAATAAAAGATTACTACCTTTTTTGTTATTGTGCTTATTGATATTTTGATGATCAATATATCGTGTTTAGTTCAGTTAGTTTCCCATTTAATATATTTATATGTTTTTCCATAAGTGTTTCAGTCATGAAGATTGGATTATGATTACTATCAATTTGTAAATTTTTTTGCGATACAGCTAAAACTTGGTCTACATATCTGTTCAAACTTATTTGGCACATTTCTTTGTAATTCTGAACAAGAACGTCAAAAAGCTTCAGTCGCCAGTCGGACATGTTCATTGTGGGGGTTATTATCCCCTAAGTATAATTGGACGATCATAAATTACTTTTACGAGCCAGAAGCAGAGGTAAATTCAGTTCACTTTCTTCCCGTTAAAGTTTAAATCATACTTTGTTGATGTTCTAGACAGTTAGCTCCAATTTTGGCGTGGTAATCGGGTTTGACGATTGTCATGAATGCAATCGATCCATAATAAATGAGGTTCTTGCTTTTTGACATTTTTCCATTTCAGAGTGGTAAGGTAGATAAAGGCTTCCAGAAGAGTGTAAATAATGAGCATTTTCTTTGACGGTGAAGTTATGCACATTGATAAGAATGAGACAGCAATAACTTAGCTGAACCAGGGAGCTAGAATTCTCAGTCATTTTACCTTTCACCTTACAAATGTGCTAAAAGAGGTCAACCAAACAACTGTACATTCTATCCTGTCATATGGTCTCCTTTAGTCGATGCAAGATTATTTTACCAACAATTAACTCTCTTCAGTAGCAAATATTTTCAATATACCGTGCATGACAGACCTTAAAGTTTTCCTTCAAGCTGTGGGGTTGCGTAACAACGATAGCTCATTTTCTCTCTTACTTCAATTAGCAGTTTCGTAATGTGTTTATGAAACCAGGCCTGTTCGAGTTGTGTGTTTGCTCATCATTGTCTTCAAAGAATTGCTGACATCTAGTGGCAATAACATGTTAGTAATGCGGAGGTTTGGCAACGTGCGTTTGGGGACAACAATGATAACTCAGTGGGTGTCACCATCTCAAAAACCGATTTCGGTGACTTGGACGTGTACTACGAAAGTCGCTCTAGTGGATTGTACATCGTGTATTATTCGCCAACACAGACTGGCTGGAAAGAGCGGAGAGGTGGTCAGTGTGTGACATGGTGTCGTGGTATACAAGAAGGTTGTACTGGACTGACTTCTGTTGGTCCTTCACAACTCCCTGATTGAGGACTTAGAGATGATATGACCCAGTGACGGTCTTGCCTTTCACCTTATGTAAATGAGCGTGGGCTTCTTGGACTGAAAGAATCTTTTCTGACCGATTATGTCTTAACTAAACCGCTTCTCTCCTAATTTCTACTCTTGTTCACTCTTTCATTTATTGTTCTTTGCTCATTATTATACTCACTTCTCTTCCTCCATCTCTTCACAATCTCATATTCTTATTGTGTGGTGCATATTCATTTAGGTGCCTCCTGTACCAATATTTATGTTTTGCTTTTGATATACTTCTATTCGATTCAAGGTCGGTTTTTGCTTTAACTCCATGTGGTATGAGTAACTAATTAACATGATGAGATTGCAAAGTATTATCTTCTATGTTTTTAGCTTCAGGAACGGTCGTTCTGATCATTAAATCTTTCATTTTTAAAACTTTTGCTCCTCTGTGCTATTACCGAAAAATAAAGCCATAAGAAAAAGTGTATAAGTGTGTACTTTTTTATTGCATTTCTCCCTGGATTTTGGTATTGTGTATTTATGAAGTAAGATTTGAGGTTCGCTATCTGTGTTCCTGGAACAAGCAAGACTTCATCAAACAAGTATGGCGATTAGAGTATACCTTTTAGTGTATACCAAAACAAATTTACTACCCTACGCAATGTGGTGTTGTTTTATTTGGTCCATCGTAGTGTATTCATGTGCTGAATGATTCTCATTCTTGTTTGGTTCATTAATAGATTTCTGGGATTTTACAGGAGCACTACAAGCATTTAATGTAATGGTTTTGTATAATTTTTGAGGATTGTAAATATCAATTTGACGGGATTCTACTTCTCAGTTCAATTGTAATTCTCTTAGTTTCCTCCAGAAACTATAAATGACAATTTTATGGATTCATTTTTCAAGGTCCCATGAACTGCAAAGTTATAAGCGAATAGTTACATTGTTTCTTTTATTTTATACGTAGCGATTTCTTCTGAAATCATCTCTTATTTTCTGACGATTAGAAGATGTAAGCTACAATCTATGAAACATGAATATTTTAGAATATGAATATTTTCCTAACTGATAGTTCCAAATCGATAACCGATTTTGATTAACCTTGTTCAGATTGGCCTCCAACTATTCAATGTATCACATGCACCAAAGATCGTGACTATGGTCGTGTGATCTTTATATGGTAAAGCTAACCAGTTATTACTTAAAATTATATTTTCTATTTCTGAAAAATTTATCGTCACTTCATATAAATTAAAAATTGTTGTCAAACATTCTAATTTCTTGTGTTGTTATGTAAGTGCAAAATAGTTATACCATAAACATGATAGTTGATCCATTCTGTTACTGTTTTGCTTTTGTCACATGTATTCTATAATTTTTAAATCGTTTGCCTTTACGGATACAGTAAACTTCAAGGTCTTCTGTGATAGTAATGGGTCGTTTATCTGTTAGTTATCTAATATCACTCTTGTGCAACGAATCATGGGACCACTAGGTATTTTCTGGACTGAACAGAAGGTATGTCATTGAATCCTTCTGTTTTCTAATTCCAGGATGTTCAGATTATTACAGAAAACTGCAACTGGGTTACGTAACTCCAAGTGATAATAAACTCAACGAAGTCAAGCGATGTTTTGATGTCTAAATATTGATGACAGTATGAATTCGGCTAGGCAGTGTAGAATAAATGCTGGTGCTTCTTACAACACTGACACCGATACAAAAGGGTTTTTGTGTAAATGCATTTGAAAAATACTACAGGAAAGCTATTTTTATCAGTACTAATATAAAATTTTGAATTTCAATCTTTTGAATGGAACAAATGTTATTAGGAAACTATGGAAAACCTTCGTTTTATCATGAAATATATTGAAGTGGACAAGTTAAAACAGTATGAAATTTTTCAGAATTTGTTTGAATACCATAACCGACTTATAAAAAAAAAACTTTCGTTGCTTATACTGTTATCAATTCTGTAAGGAGCATTATTTTTTCCTGGGATTTTAATGAAAATAAACCATCGCCTTAGGAAACTATTTTTGAGTTCTTGACTTGCATATCTAACATATAAGACAGTTGAGTAACTGTAGCGGTTGTCTTATGGGTCCAAGCGGCATTCTTCCACTAAAGTTGCTGTATCATTCATTGTGCGTCATTGGTTTGAAACATAGGTTTTAAACTTTTTCAGATAATAACATTTACACCTATCGTTTTTAGTCTTTCACTTGTTTCAAAAGCATTCATTATCTGAAGATTATGAGTGGAACCTAGCTACGGGATTATGTTGCTTATAACTATATAAGATGATGTAAAAGCCACCAACAACTAACTATATTAAAGCATTCAAGCTTTGTAGAGGTTGGATTTAAATAATTATGTTTGTTGTTTGCTGTAAATTGCTTTAACACAACATCATAATAGTATCTCTTCATTAAATCTTCATTTATTTTTGGATTTAAGGGTTTAATAAATGTTGACTTCTATCATTTATGGAAATTTCTTATTTTTCACACCTTTTTCAATGGTTACTGATATCGTAAATAAATTTAATCATTTCATTTCACTATTTGTTATTTTATTTCAGCGTCTTCTTCAACCGGATTGCCAAATTCGTTCTTTGAGTCTTTGGAGTTCTTTTTATGGTATTGCTTTATCTGCCAGTAAAGTGAATGTTACTGTAGAAATTCCTCAGGATGTAGTTGAAACGACGGCAAATAATACTGATTCAACTATTTCATCTACCAAACATCAATCTTTTTCGTCCATTGATCCAGCAGCTCACAAGACTAATTCCGCTTCTAATATCAAATACGAACAGTTATCTCAATCTACAACTAACCCGCTAAATAATGATTACCCTTCAGATTCAATAAAAATAATACCAAATTTAAAACTTGATGCTTCTGAAGAAGTGAATTCTAATGGAGATTTATTTGTCAGAGGAGACGCTTCTAGTCGAAACTCACGTCGGCGTTCTCTTGACGATCTTAGCTATGTTGTTTCAAAATCTACTAAAGAACAATCTAAAGAACTTTCTTTATTAAATTGTATTTCACCTACAGTAATAAAATCATCGAGTCAATGTTTTTTTGAAACTAATGTGTGCGATGGGGGAAATAATTCTGGACCAGCAATACTTCGTCTTTCTTCCCTATCCGATGATACAGGTATTTGTTCTGGCTTATCAAAATCATACATGCGATCTTTATCATCGGTTATTAATGGTGCTTGTCCTTTTCCTGAACATTCAGATAAACGTATATCTCCTGAATCAAATCCTGCACAGCTAACAATGAATTCATGTACGTATGTTAATCAATTTCAACAACAGGAATGTGTCCTTTCTCCAGATGAAAATATTGATGTTTTTGCTTCTGATGAACAATTGGAGCAGAATAATTTCTCTTTTACTAATCATAATAATCATATCAATGGCATGAATAACCGTAGTAATAATCTACAGTCTTCAGGTCGATTATACCGTTCACAATTTAGTCAGCCTGTTCAAAATTGTCAATTTTACGGAAAATTTTCACCACTGTCTATTTCACCAAGAAACTTTGAGTTCAATGATTGTGATGACAATAGTCATAATGATGATGTCAATGTCGAATCTCAGAGTAAACTGCCTTTTAATTTTAATCTTGAAGGAGTGCAAGGTGATAACTTTGTTTATAATAGTCCACGATGGTCAGTCACTACACGTGGGAGTAACACAAGCCTTTATGTATTATCCGATTTGAAACAGTCGTCCGTCGAACTATTAAAGCCTGTTTTAATTAATTCAACACAGCCAGTGGATATAAAAATATCACACAAACTTGATAATCCTAACAGTTTAATGTCACTTGGAAATGGTAGTATATATCCTAATGAATTTACAGTACATGTGAGTTGATCAATCAGTTAATTCCATTTTCCCTGTAAATAATATAGGATGGACTAGTAGTAGTATAGTAGTGATTGTCTTTTAAATAAAACTCATTAATTCTTCATTAATAGTGTCTTTTAAAAAATAAATGTTTGTTTAACTGGTATTTTCTGGCAAAACAAATTTGTTTCGTCGGCTTAAGTAGGGGTGTTTTCTTTTCTAGTTCTTTCTTTTTCTAGGTCTTGGTAGTCGTTTCGACCTTAGTAGGCGTGTACGGTAACATCATACACTGAATTCTCTGTAGTTGATATGTTTCTTTGATTACTCAATCGTAAGATTAACCGATTTAAAAATATCCTATATTGTTGTTGTTGTACAAGGCTTATGAAAATTCTTTGTTGTTTTCGATCCTGAAAATATCCTCTATATCTTAGTATAACTTCCGTATATCATTTACAATTGATTTAAAATGAAAAGTACATTCTTAACTTCTATCACGAAATAACTTTTGCATTTTAGGCAAAACGATAAAATAAAACTAAACACATATAACAATAGGTCAAGTTGTCCAAGGTTAGCAGGTGTAAAAAATCTTGTTAGGACGTGCTAGTAATTATTTATGGTAATTTTACAACATCCAAAATCTGACTTAATCATTTTCTTATTTAGGTAGATTCTAGAATTCATGATATGCTCCTCTAATCCCATTAGTTGGAAACATTTTGCATTTTTAGTTTTGACAATTTTCTGAAACTACAATATCGTCTAAAAATAAATAATTACTCTGGAACCTAGCTTTAAAATAAAACTCTATTCCTAATGTTTTTTACTTACAAATTAATAATGTAATATGTTTCGTACAATAGGGCACCAGAAATGTTTATCATAAAGCGAAATGGTAGTACTATACGGAAATTATGGAAAAAATCATATAGTTCATTCGTTTTGAAAAACATTCAATTAAAGTTTGTGTATCACTTTTACAAGACGTGACAGGCTACAGTATAATACCTATTGATTTATATTATGGGCCATTTCTGAAAACGTTTCAATCCACTTGGTTAGAATCCCATCTGAATTGTGGAAGTTCTGAATTAAACTGAACATTTATTATCATAGGTTTTCAATATTCACACGTCATAACAAACAATGTAAGTAATGTACTAATAATAAGTTTTCTCAATGAGTTTCTTCAAAAAAATATCTTGTTTTATATCATGTTTATCCGAATCTAGTTTATCCAACCTTTTTAAATGTATTATTATTTAATATAAAAAGCTTCTTGTCAAAATTTCGCTAATTTTCAGCCGCTTTATTGATGCCAAGTGGTTGTGGTCAGCATTCTTAAATCAATAAGTCAGTAACCACTCCATGTTTGATTTCTCAACATCTTATCTGTGCAACAAATTGTAGATGGTAATTATAAATGTTATTCGGTTCATGATCAACATAATTTCAATGAAAGTTCACACGTCTCATTCAAAAAGTATTGGTTAGAGAAAATTCTTGTTCCCTACAAACTAATGTACTGTAATTTTACATTTAATTCTATTATGATGTTAATTTTCTTCCAAACATATTACTGTTATTAGAGTTTACCGGAAAATGATGAAGTGCTTGTCAATGGAGCAGTATCACTCACATCCGATTCAGATGATTCTCCCAATGAAAGTAATGACTTAAATTTCTCAACACCTCTTGGAGAATCAGTATCTGGTCCGGTGGTATCAACGAATAAAGTTGGAATCTCTATTTTTGGTTATAACAGTTCTGAAAAATTTCAAGATATTACTATATCAAGAGTTGATGAGGCGAATCTAGATGAGACATTTGTAACAAAATGGTCTGAACTACTGATTCCTGAAGATTTGGTACGTAAAATACAATCACTTTTTGCTATAGTTTATTTTTTATTTTAGTAAAACGTATGAAATGTTTGTCATAACTATTCATGTAGTCTTTATAAAACAAGGACACACCTAGAGTATCTGAACTAATTATTTGCTCGTCCATAAATCTTAAAACGAACCTATGACCAATTGATTGTAAACAGTATATTGGATGACATAAGCGTGATTCACCTTTTTATCGAATATTGTATGAATAGTCAATAATGAAAATGAAAGATCGTTGGTTCTTCGCTTCTCTTTTTCTAATTCTTATTCCTTTTATCTCTTGTCTAGCTTTACCCGTGTCAACTACGATAGTTTAGATCGATAAATTTTCATACCAAGTTCTAGAAAGACTTAGTCAATGATAAGCAAAATATAACCTAGCACGTATTAGCATTAGTTCAAACTGCTATATTACATCAGCACAGCGTGACAAAATTATCAAAATAAAGTTTAATCAGTGGTAGTATCAGTGATAGAAAGTAGATTGGAGAGAATCTGATTGCTAAGTAAAGAGTTAATTCGCGGGTATAAAATAATTTTGAAATTCAGGATCTTAGGGAAGGCTAACCGGTTTTGAGCCGTGTAGCCCAACGTGTTCGTGTACACTAATTGACTGGTCATTGTTATAACCAGAGTACCTTATATTTATTTTAGGTGTTTATGCGCTGAACCTTTTGTCTAATAAGTCAAATAATTTTGATGTATTATCTGTCACTTATTATTTCTGCAAATCTACATATTTATATGTTCCTGAATTCAAATCTTTGATTAACATTATTTTAATTTTTAATTCCTACTAAAGCTTGCATGGCGAAACAAATACTTCCGTTCTGAATATTTTACAAATATCCTTTCTCAGTCGTCGATTTCTGGTGATAGCAGAAATTCATCTGCCAAGCAAATGCTTGGTTATTCTATCAGTAGTAATAAAGCCCTGAAGTCAGGTGGGTCATTTGACTCAAAAAGTCATTCTGTAACGGTTAATCCTAAAATTTCTCTGCCTGAATTTACTCGTATTGCAACTAATGGAGATGACGTCTGTGATCGACCGACATCAGCACCAATTAGTCCAACTTCATTTGTATCATGTTTTCCTTCCCGTACATTACATAAGGATTCTAATCCTTTAAATAAGATGGTTCATAATCTTTCCCTCGGTCAAAAAGTCTCAAATGATACGAATGTTTTAGAAGAAATGCAGAAAAAACCATTGTCTTCTACACTAGTAAGTTTTGTAGATTTGTAAAACGTTAATTATGCAATTTATCGGTTTCTAATTGGAGTCACTTTTGATCTTTAATCCTCTGTCATATGTCTATAAAACTCATGTTCAGCTGAAGATAGTTAACAAGGGGGATTTTTCTAGACACTTCTTGTTATGATGCGCAGTACCGAGATCTCAAAGTAATAGGTTCTACCATCCATCCAGAAAATCTGGAAAGAAGACAAAGAGGAGAAGAGAAGGTCTATTTGACCACAGAATCCCATGAACAATTACTCGTCTTCACATATGTATCCACTTTCTTAAAAAAGAAATCCATTTCTTAGCCAATGGTATGTATTCATCCTGTGGTATTAAAAGGATGGCAATTCTATTGATGAAGTGGTGAGTCTTTGTCAGTTGAGATGGTCGGGGCATGTGTTACGTATGTCAAACCACCACCTGCGCAGAAGGGCAATGTTTTGTGGAGTAGGAGTATGTTGGAAGAAAGCTAGAGGCGGCCAGACCAAAGCTTGGCACAAATTCATGAATTCACTAACAAGTGGACTAAGTTTTGTTTGTAGGTGTAGACTACCAGGTTGGGGTCTGTGGGATGATAGTAATTGATGGTTAAAGACCTTGAATGACATTGCTGAACATCGTTTGCAGTGGCATCTATTCTTTGTGTTTATAATTCTAATCTAAACCCCTTATGATCATCTTTATCGTTTAAAATCTCTTTCACTGGATTATACTTCTTTAATAATGATATTTTCGGACCATGATCTTTTGGATTACCGCTCATATTTGTACTACCTCTACCACTGTGGGATTTGAATCGACATTTGCATCTGTGTGCTACCGTGGTATGGCAACTTGAACAGATGTACGTACGTACGAAGTTCTACTTTGTAGTTGACTGACTGACTTTCTGTTCTTCTGATATATGCGCTTCAGCACGTACATATAAACTGGTTTTTGTCCGTATCTTTGAACGTATTCTAGAAAAGCTGAAACTAAATGGACAAAAGTTTTTTTCAACAACGCAATTACTCGTTATCTATTCAACAGTGGTCATAACTTTGAAGTCCCTAATTCTTCCTAAACAATCAGTAAACGAAGCTATTTAAAATGTTTACGTGTTGCTTAAGCTGTTGCAATAAAAGGGCATAAACCGAATTTACACATCCAAAAAGAAAAAGTTATCAATCTTTCTTCCTTAAATCAATAAATTTTTTTATCGCTGTAATCATGTGACTAAAGCAGTGTTTCGACTCCTTGCCTGCATAACTTCCAAACAATTGACTGTTATAACTGAACATTGAAAGTGCTGACTTTATTTAAGCTATTTTTAATTATAATTAACTAGCGAGCATTATTCGTTCATGGTCGCACATAATAAATGTGACTACGTTATGAATAATTGTTCAACTCAGTGTATGACTATGAAGTTGGATTAATTAACCTGTTTGTCACCAAATTTACATTAGGCTACTGGTTATTTTTGAAGTGTACAGCTTTGTATCAATTTTTTCGGCTATAATGATTTCGTTTTCCAGATAACAATGAACTTTGACTAAATGTATCAATTTAAAACATTTCTCCTTTCTCTTTAAAAATTAACTGTACTACTTTAATTACTTTTTAAGCTTTTTTTTACTAAAATTTTTTTAAAGTACACTATCAATACTTTGTTTTCATCAGTTTTGATTGCATAGAATTATATCACATGATATGTGCTCATTAACTGCGTTGAAGTAAAATCGATACTCAATCATTGTGAAGCATATTTATTACACGATCTAAACATGTATGTATACCTACTTAGTCAAACCGAAAATCCCAGATAGAGTAAGAGTTATACATGTAGACAGTCTTTCTAGAGATCAGCCCATGAAATAGCAGTAGCTAATAAAATCACTAACTATCATTCTGTATTATAAATTGTAACGTATCTGTTTAGTTCTGCTGAAATAAAACGACATTGATAATTGGAGGCTTAGTGTTAGGTACGTTAGTACATATACCATTATATTCCAAATATTCAACACATTCAATTCTTTTTACTCTTTGTCGTAAATTGTTTTCCTCTGTCAATCTTTCCACTTCCAGTATCTTCATTATCCTTGGTTTCTTTGCGTGTATATTATTTATTTTTCTATATACTCTAGCAATACGAAACATGACAGCTTATGTCAATAAAAGCGTGTACTGTAACTGTGTCTGATACATGGAATTAAAAGAAATAGAGCATTGCATAAAAGTTCTGCTGCAAATTAATATTTCTCTAATCATTATACTAACAAAAAAAATTCTAAAAGCACAACTTTTTACCGACTATAATGAAGAATATAATTTTCCAGCTCTCAGACTGACGTAATACAGAGTGTTTTCAAGATTTAGTAAAATTGGTCTTAAAAAATTGTGTCCCTATCTCAGTGAAAGGCTAATTTAGTACAACTCATCAATGTATTTAGTCTATCACTAACCTTGTAGCATACAGGACAAACCAACATAAGAAAAGATATGCATATATTAGTATTCTTGTAGAGAGTTTGTTTTTCTGCAGGATAGGGTCGCTAACCCCATGCCCAACCCTCCTCTTTTATCTGGGCTTGGGACCGGCAGTACTTCTAGAAAGACTCCAGGCGGAGTTATATACATATGTTCGTTATTTTTAAATGCTTTTTTTCTTGTTTAGATGAACACATTGTCATGGTTTCCAGATTGGGATGGCTTACCTATGCTAGTGGATCGGCTAACAATACATGCTCACTCACAATTATGTCAAGAGCGTTATAGTCGTAAAACACAAAAGCAGTCTATGCTTGCATTAGAGGCCAAATTAAAATATACACAATTAGAAGTTGAACGGTTGAATTCAGAGGCGAGAAGATTGAAACAACTTCTCGAATTTACTAAAACTCGAACATGTAAACAAGAGATAATAAATACGCATGCCTTATCCGATGATCATTTATCATCCGTTTCATCATTGTTATCATCCTATGAACAAAAGTGTACACAAGATATTCATACTAATAATCAGTGTAAATCTAAAGAATCTAGTTTATTGACTAGTGAACCATTTGTTTCCATTTCAAACGATAAAAATGTAAGTTTATTATTTTAACTAATTTTTTTTTTTTTAATAACGCATTCAATTGTGCATGTGTGTTGAAGGGTATTTCGATATTTATGATCATTTGCCAAAACAGAAGAATAACTTGATTATGAAGTCATGTCTCAAGAATTTTTTAAAATTTACCATTGATTGAAGTGTATCGTTGGGTTTTAGTCTGTGTGATATTTAAATACAAAGCAAACGTATGCTAAACGTTTTTATAGTTAAGTTATTACTTTACAGTGAATTCATAAGTTTCGGTTATTTTCTGGCATAATTTTGTTAAAACGCTTTTCTACATAACTTTATTTGATTAATTTTAGTCATACTTAGTCTATAGTTTTACCCAATACTGTTGTTTTTTACTACCTGTCGTTATTGCACATATTGTTCTCAGTGAATAAGAGTTCCAATATGCTAGAACTCAATTTTAACCGACTTAAATTGTTCCTTGTCTGGTTTATTGGCAAAATAACCAGTCTCATAAACTATCGGGACTAAATGTAGTGAGGAAAGGAACTGACAGTTGACGAAACCATTCACTGAATCTTAAGTGAATATCTCTGATCAACTTTATTTATTTCTAGCATATTTTAAACCACTTAACTAATACAGTTATCTCTATACTCATCATTTCGATTGTGATTATTGGTTTGACTATTTGCATTTTTGCAACAGTTTTTATTTTAATCTACTGACCAATGTCCAGCTGTATATTGATAGATAGTGTTGGATTGGAGACGCCAATAACTGAGTTTCATTAGTTTCTGTACTAATAACTTTTTGCAACGTTTTCGTAACCTTGATTCTTTTCTTTTTGATTACTCATTTATGCTTACTGCTAACTTATTAAATCTTGAATAATAGATTTCAGAAGATCACAATCCATCTGACGTTAAGTCTTGTCAGTCTGATAACTGGGATTCTCCGTTAGGTGATCCAGTCGAATCAACATTTTTCAATTCATCATGTAAGACAACTTCGTTTGAATTGATCGATACTGAAGATGGTCAGTCTGTTTTACTGCAACCAGATTGTATTGCTCACCATTGTACACTATGTCGTATTGAATTTTCGGCTATTCAACCTAAACACCATTGTCGGTATGTTTTTTGTTCTCATTTAATTGACTCCTGTGCATAACTGATTGCATGACAGTTTTACTTTGTACACTATTAGAGCTTACCATAAATTAACGGATAAGATCATGAGTGTTGATTATTATCTTACATTTCACAGTGATTATTTTCTATGCTTATTTTAATTGAAGAAAAAGGTTAGTCAGCTACGACGTAGAACTTCGTACGTACGTACATCACTTCGAGTTGCCATACCACAACATTAGGACAGAGATTCAATCGTCACTTCAAATCTCATAGAAGTAGATGTAGTAGAAGTATTAGCACTAATCATAAAGATCACGGTCCGAAGATATTATTCAACAACTATAATCCAGTGAAATAAATTTACCACGAGAGAAAGATAAAGGCAATGAGGAATTCAGAATATTAAAATTTGAGAGAACAGAAAGAGAACATGCACGTGTGCCATTGCAAATGATGTTCATCCATGTCATTCAAGGTCTCCTCTAGCAATCGGTTACTATCATCTCGCGGACCCTAACCAAGTAGTCTACACTTACCAACACGACTCAATCCACTTGTCAGTGACTTCATGGATTTGTGACATGTTTCGGTCTGGCCACCCCTAACTCTCTTCCAGCTTACCCCTCACTAGGCAGCATCGCTTGTCGAGATAGTCGGTGGTTTGGCATACATAACACATGTCTCAACCGCCTCAACCGATGAACTTTCACTACTCAGTGTATTGATCTGCAATTCTTAAATAGTACGCGTCTGCTAATAACAGCATTGCTTACTCCACGGTCCCAGGATATACCGGCAATGCTTCTCTAAACGCATGTCCATGACAAAGCTGAATAAGAATGGAGAGAGTAGTCAACCCTGACGGACACCACTCGAGGTAATCGATTCCAATGACAGTTCGCCATAAGCTCTCATTCGAACAGTAGTGTTATAGTAGTGTACTTCTAGGTACACTTTTGAATAACAGACACTGCAAAAGGGCCTCACGAAAAACACAGTCGATCGCCACCTTATAATTCAGGAATACAACTATTGTCGACGTGTAAATATCTGGTCTAAACAGTCACGTCCAGGTCTGAAACCAGTCTTGTTTTCTCTAGTTCGCTCTTCACGAGCTGTAATTAGGCATCAGTGTTATCGGGGTTAACATTGTAGACACTACACTAGTTAAACTGATCCTTCAGTGATTGTCACAAGAGGACTTTTGTTTTTTCTTACGGACTAGGACAATCAGTGATTGAGGCCAGTCAGATGTGATTACGTAGAGTTCTCAGATTTCTACAAAAGATTTTAGTCAATCTAACTGTTGAAACTGGACCACTATCCTTAAAAATCTCAGGGGTAAACGTGTAAGGCTAGGGAACTGAAGTATGGCTGGAGGCCAGTTGACCTGCTCCCTAAATTGTTTTAGAAACACGGATGTCATTCATGAACAGTTTCATGGTATTTGAATGATTTTGTGAAGCAACTAATGTCATCCATCTACAAAAATATTCTGTGGATCAAAAGCAATTTGATGTTTTATGAAAATATAGAAACAATCAGATCTTTGAGCATATTTGTTGGTTGCTCAGTCCCATTCACATTTGTAGCACAATTTGATTTTTCGATATCTGATAATCTATTTAACTGTAGTGTATATTTTTAAACTATTTCGAACTGCTATTTTATTTCTTTGTTCACCAGAAATTGTGGTTATATATTCTGTGCGAATTGTTCTGATCGTCGTATTGTTACATCAAGTCAACCAAGTGAACCAGTTCGTGTGTGTCGTCATTGTTACTTTCAACTATCTCGTCCTACAGTGAAATTGTCTAAACAATTGATTGAAGAATACACTCCATATGTTCCAAGAAACGCAGTAATGAAAGAAAATAATCATGGTGGTAAACTGGCGAAAAATTTCACCAATCCTGATTTTCTTCATTTTATGAATAATTCAATCACACATTCTGTTGGTTCTGATAGTGGTTGTATGCCTGTTTCCTCTTACTCAAGTAATGGTACAGTACGAATCGCATCAGGCGGTGTCTCACATTATATGAATCGTTCTTTTAACTCAGAAGCCACAGCGAATAATGCCACAGCAACAGCAACTGTTAATCATCGTCGTTTAGATTCACTCATTTCAAACAATCCTCCTTTGTCCAGATGTCATAGTGCTGGTGGTACTAGACCAACTTCATCCGCTGCATCTGATGGAATTGCTCAAGCTTAAGAAAAATAAACTATTCTGTTTTACAATATCAGATAATATGTGCTGTGTAGTACACTATGTATGCGCACTCTGGCAGTAAAACAAATACTCATATCGACACATGGCTACTGTCAATTTATTCTCCTTCCAAATTTGTCTTTCAGTTTTGTTTGTGACTAGTCTTTGATTTGCTTTTTAAAAAAGTACTTTTCTCTATTTAATTACTCCCCCCCCCTTACACACAATTTGTATATTTGTGTACGTACAGTTCTTTTTCATCCTTCCATTGCTTTGTGTTTATAGCATTAAGAGGCAAAATGGTTTTGAAGAATTAGAAACAATTACAATATACTAATTCTATCGTTCATGTTTGGATATAAATGTCAGGAGTTGTTATCACTTGTTTATTTATTGATCATTACACTTTTTCGTCTCGTTGTGGTTGTTTTAAAATTTTGCCAGGTTGTATAACTTGGTCTCTCACTATTATAGTTGTTGATATTATGATTTATAAGATTTTTGTGTTCCTAATTTGTCAATCTTCATAAACAGAAGCGTAGATTTGTCTCTATGTAGACTATGTTTGTCTGTTCCATACAATTTCGTTGGCTTTCATTCTATTTCGTATCTTTCTTTTGAATTCCATCAGTTGCTGTTTATATATTTACTCACATGAATATAAATAGTTTTACATATTTACATCATTATTACTTAACTCAAACGGTTTATAAAATCTGACTCAGTTATTTTCTGTGTGTCTATTTCAGCCCACTAACTTTGTTCGGCAGACTATATTGATTTAGTGAGCTAATGTATCACAAATTAAAAATCCCTTTTTAGTGTTCATCGATCTTTCTTTTCAGTGTGTGCGTTTTTTTCCTTCCATTAGATTACTTAAATAGCGCTTATTTTGTGATAGTCAAGATTTTATGTGTTTACTATTATGATTATTATGGTTATTTAAATCGTTACTATTATTAATGCGAATACATACTACAGACAATTGGAATGGTGTAATGTCGTATAATCTCTTTAATCTTTAGTGAGTAATTTTTGATGATCTATTTTTGGCGCCCGCTTGCTTGTTTATGTGTGTATTCATTTATCTTTTGTATTTATACATTGTCAAATCTGTTTCAGTTGTAAAAAAAACAGTTTGATTTAGTAGTTTGAATACATCTGTGCTCTATTTGAAGCTATGTAACTGTTTTTCGATGTGTTTACATTGGTAGGATTCTGCTATCGACACAGTTCAGTTTTATACATAGGTTGTTATTTCTGTATTGTAGTGACTGGGAGCTGATCGATACCACTTGTGTATCTCTCATACTTGTGAACCTAAATACCTATATTTTGAAAATAAACCTAGGTAATCAATTATCGTAATCATGTCGATAGTACTTCAGCTGTTTGACACGATTTGTTCATTGAAGATTTATCATTTTAAGAGTATTTGCAAAGAAAGAAAATTTATATTGTCTTGTACTAAAGTCAAAAGGATGACATCATGAGAATAGTACATTAATGAAGTGTATGCAGTACTTTTATTTACTTTTTCATTACATCAAATGATTTATAATTGGATCCATCATCGAAGTTGTTTGTACACAGTACAATCAATCACTAAAATCACGATGAGTGTAGTGAAAACAACCAATAAGAATCTGGTGTGGTTCTGATAGGTCATCATATAAATAGATCAAAATCGGTAGGATGATTGAGTTTAATTAACACTAGCCTAAAGTGACTTTTGCTGAACAAGAATATATTTTTCATCAATACTTAACTTTGTCTCTTGTGTAAGCCATAAGAAACTGTTTACTAAGGCCAATGATTACAGACAATCCTATTCCATTGAATAAATAATTAATTGTACAAAGAAATTTATCAACTTAATACCCTTGAATAGTAGTAAAATAACAATTCACAAGTTCCAAGAATTACAACAAAATAGGCCTATATTATTAAACTGATTGAATTAGTTGGCTTATTTCGATTTCTATGGTGTATACAATAAACTAAGTTACTGATCGGCAAATGCAAACCTCACATCATTCTCTCAAACTCTTCTTTTTATTAAATTTAAGTCATTTTGACATCGATGAAATGGTATTGTGAAGAGGGTTTTGATTTGTAAGTGGCACACGTCGCAGAATCATCTCAATTGTGATAAAACTGTAAACTATGGAATGATGGTTATTTAATTCATCCTAGTACGAACCTTCTCATCAGTATAAATACACCAAAATCTGAGAGGATTGAACTTCAGGAATGAATTAGGATTTTATGTTTATTATTAAGTACCGATCTGACAACTTAGCGCTTGGAATAAGATCTGAAACTCTTGGTGCTAATCGTTGTAGGAGGGCGGTTGTTGATGCACACTGTCAAGGAGTTCTGTACTAAGATCATATATTAGTTGTCCATCACCCCTTAGTTTTCAATTGTAATTTAACTGAGCAGAATCTACAGTAAATATTACTTTATTGATTTTCTTATCTTCAGATACACTAATTGTCTTTATGCTGAACACTTCGTCAAATGGTTTTTTTTCATAGAATAATTTATTTGCACCTAATTCAATCACATAATATTTCGAAATGAAAATGATAATTACAATAATAACATTTACATATAAACCAAAAATATACTTTTTAGTTTGGATACAGTAAACAATGTGAATTTAACTGCAATAGAATTATTTGTTTTTCATTATCAACAAATTAAATAATAAAAGTTCAAAACAAAAAAAATTATTCAATGAACAATTCATCATTTAATTACTTGATGGTTGACATGGTTACTTTTAATGGATTCTTAAAAAAAAAAGAAGAAAAAAAGACAAACGTTGAAATTAAATTCAGAATAATCAATTTTAAACTTTTCTCATGGTCGATTGAAAATAATTGATTATAATAAATCGATTTTATATAAATATATAAATATACTCTTCTAATTTCTTCATTATAGTTGTTTCGAAAAAGTATTTTTAGATGTGACTATTAAAGTTCATACAAAATTCATCAATAAATATGTGGATATATTGTATTTTTAGAAATACCTACGTAAGCAGTTCGATGTGAATAAATATACTACTAAATAAGGAATACTCGATGACTCTAATCTATCCAACTTGTTTTCTGTTGATCATAGAGTGGAGATGATTCACTGGGCTTGAATAGGCTGTTTGAATGCTTGCATAATTGTTTTTCTTTTTAAACAATATGAAATCTTAACATTTTTCATGTTTTCTTGTGATTTATAATTTGATTGTTTATTGTTTTCTCAAACAAATCATAATTCTATCAAGTTCGAATATTATTTGTTCTGCTGATTTCCAAGTATGATTTTTTACTTTTACCCTCAAAAATGTCATACACGTCGCTTCTTTTTATTTTTACCGTAGATGGAAAACACTGTTCCTTATTTATTTGTGATTTATTTTTCGAACAATATTTTTTCGTTGGGTCCGCTCACAGAAGTATTCAGAGTCTTCCAAGACACTAAAGCGCCCACATCTAATCACAGATCGACAGAGTTTCTAGAATATCGATCTGGCATGTAGTGACTGGTTGATGACATGATATTCCTCATTGATAGTTCGATGATCTTATATTCTGTCTTCACTCTGTATGAAAAACTATAAATGCATACGACTTTTTTGCACATTTTTGACACTTACTAAAGTGAAGATTTCTTCTGGCTCGTGTTTTTCGATCTGGAGGCTGTTCTACTTGTTCTAGTGCCAAAGGTCTAACTGTATCAGTCTTTCCCATGACAGAAAACCTGTTTTATCTGGATTGCCGTCAGGCTTTACTCTGATTTACATGAATATTTTTTCTAAAGATATTAAACCAATCCAGGCATTTTATTAGTTAATAAACTCAGTGAAATAGATTACATAACTACACATAATAGGATCAAAGGTACAAATCGCTGACAAGAAGAAATAATGTACTATTAGTGGTGAAAATGATGAGTTGCTGAAGAGAGCAAGAACAAAAGAATTGAGCACCTGAAAATGGGTACCTATTGGTCTTTGATAGGCGTAAATAACATGTAGTTCCTATACATGGATATCATCTTCGCTATAGGATAACTGCTTGTCAGTGTGGTGTCTAATGTGTTTATTGTCGCTACAACGTCACCACCCTTGAATTCAGGTTGAATGAAACAGGTTCCTTGTCTTCTGTAATTTCTTGACCTGTTTTTTCCTTACTTTTCTCATATTTCTCAATCAATTTCTTTGGATACCTATTGTTTCATCGAAATTCCTTTACGTTCATGATTTCTGCTTCTAATATTTCGGTAGCACATATAATTTCTATTCTGTAAAACGGTGATTTGATAAGTACCCTTTCGTAAACAAATGGACAATTGCTGTTAGAACTCAGATAAACATTCTTCCATGTATATTTCCAAAGAATTGAACTTTGGATTGTACCATTCTCCATCTGTTGTATGGCAATATAGAGAAAGCAAATATGTCGAGATCAAAGGGCTTGTCCCAGTGCTCCTTATAATTAAAATATTTGTCCCTTCAAAGTAGTTGACTCTGTGCGTTCTTCTGTTTATCTAAATAAATATCTTGGCTACTGCTTCACTGATTCATCGTGATTGGCTGTTTTAATAGTTGCGAAATGGAGTGTAAACGTCCAGAGCCTAATACAATACCTAATAGAATGAAAATATACTTTTATAAAAGACATAAACATCGCTATTTTGAATGATATTTTCAGTGTAGATGTTATCAAATACGTATAAGGTATAAATATCTAGTATAAAACACCTGGATGTCATCTTTACAGCACACATGTAGTTTATAAAATACAAAAAACGACATTGAAAATGACTTTGAATATGCCAATGATATAGTGCTATTTGGTGAAGACTCTGACAAAATACTGTCTTTTGACCACCTTGACCAACAATGAAAGCATGTTCGAAATGCAAAATGTTGTTTCAGGATTGGCTTGCGTCGGTACCTGAACTAGTGATAGTGAATGAAGCAGTTGGATGTGTAGACTGCTTCACTTATCTTGAAAGTCTCATCAGTGCTGATGCCCTGATGTGTGACGAAGTCTCAACACGAATACAGAAGTCTCGATTTGCTTTTGCCAACTTGCGTGGGCGAGATATTCGTTTGCTTACTAAAGGACGAGTGCTCTGCTTGTCCTACTTTATGGCTTTGAAGCATGGCTAGTAAGAGTAGAAGATATTCGTAGGTTACTGGTTTTCGATCATAGGTGTCACAGAAGCATTGCTGGTATATCCTGGGACCGTGGAGTAGGCAATGCTGTTGTTAGGAGACGGGTACTATTTAAGGATTGCAGATCAATACATAAAGTAGCAAATCTTCATCAATTGAGGTGGTTGGGACATGTGTTATGTATTCCAAATCATCGAATGCCTCGAAGAGCGATGTTGCCTAGTGAGGGGTAAGCTGGAAGAGAGTTAGGGGTGGCCAGACCGAAACATGTCACAAATCCATGAAGTCACTGACAAGTGGATTGAGTCGTGTTGGTAAGTGTAGACTACTTGGTTAGGGTCCGCCAGATTATAGCAACTGATGGTTAAAGAAGCCATTGAGCGACATAGCTGGACATTGTTTGTAAAGGCACACAAGCATCTACTCTTTCTGTTCTCTCGAATTGTAATCTTCTGAATTCTTCATTGCCTTTATCTTTTTCTCTTGTTAAATTTATTTCACTGGATTATAGTTGTTGATTAATTTCTTCGAGGTCCAATCTTCTTCATCACCGCTAATACTTCTACTACCTCTACTTTTATTAGATTTGAAGTGACAACTGCATCTCTGTCTTGAATTTGTACGGCAACTTGAAGTGAATTTCAACGTTGTATCTGACTTATTGACAGTTTTGTTTGTCTTTGTCTTCTGTTTTTAGTTTAGGATAATTTCCAGCAAGCTGCTTCGCTGTATCGCCTAGCTTTTTTCATATTTCTTTCTCTCGCATTGTTTTATGCTATCATTACTACTAGAACTGTCGTCTATTTATATCTGTCTGCTTAACTGCTCCTCATCGCACGCTTATTTGCTTGTATTTATTCAGCTTATGCTTTTGGCTTTCTCTACTCTTGTTCAGGAGATGCTGATTACTGCCTTCCTCAATGGAATCTCATTCACAATACCAATAAAGAATGTTTCTTGAGATAATTTCCAAGCTTTTTTTTATACTATATCCTAGTTAATGTCATTACTACCATAATTATTACTATTATCATTAGAGTGATTCATTTCGACCTATTGATTATTATCAATAGAAAGTTTGTATTTTATTGATTAGTGTTAATAAAAGTTTCTCTGAACTTTGTGCTGGTGTGATTCCTATTCTTTGTTGCAATAT